ATCTTGTGAGTCATGACTACTCTTATTCGGTTTCTGAGTGCTAAGTGGTGTTTCCAGACGCCTCCTGAAATTGGTGAGCTCATCGGAATACCAAATGCGGGGAAACTGGTACATCGACTCGTTCACAGCTTCCCTAAGCTTCAGTGTGTAGATCTCTTCATCATCATAAGCAACAGCTCTAATGTTATACTAGGCTTCAAGCCCAGGTACAACCTATCACCCCTCCTTGCTGCGTATTGATCTTTCGATCATCCCTGACTTCCGTTGGGATGAGAAGATTCATGGTGGCGCGCGAAACATTCTTGATCATGGTAGAGGATGTGATGAGGAGGTCATTCTTTTCCATGATACTTTTGTTCTCCGCCAACGCTACGCTGAAGATGAACATAACGTCACATTAACGGTTCCCATGTTCGAGCCCGTACCTCCCAACTATTACATCTCTATCATCTCTGACCGGTGGCTTCACTCCGAAACCAGGCTTCCCATATCCTTCAAGCATCTCATTCTTCCCGAAAAATTCCCCGCTCCGACGCCTCTCTTGGATCTTCAGCCCCTTCCGTTGTCAGCACTCTCCATAACAAGGAATTTGAGAAGATCTACGCGTCCACAATAGAAACATTCAACAAGATACAGACACAGGTGTTCCAAGCGCTGTATACTTCGGATGAGAATGTTTTCATTGGTGCTCCTACGGGCAGTGGAAAGACCGTTTGTGCCGAGTTTGCTTTGCTCAGACTATGGAGCAAGCGCGAACAACCAAGAGCTGTTTGTATCGAGCCATATCAGGAGATGGTCGACCAGCGGGTGAAGGAATGGCAGGATAAGTTCTCCGGACTTCAAGGTGGTAAGGAGATTGTCAGTCTAACTGGCGAGACAAGCGCCGATCTGCGACTTTTGGAAAAGGGTGATGTGATTGTCTGCACTCCCTCTCAGGTACTTTTTTCATCTTTCTATGCTAATCTTACTCATGCTCGTTGTGCCAGTGGGACGTACTTTCTCGTCGTTGGCGTCAGCGGAAGAATGTCCAGAATATTGGGCTTCTGATCGCTGATGAGGTGCAGCTTGTTGGAGGAGAAGTAGGTCCTACATATGAGGTTGTCATCTCCAGGACACGATATGTGTCTGCGCAAACAGAAGTAAAGACTCGAATCGTTGCGTGCGGGGTTTCGCTTGCGAATGCGCGCGACCTGGGTGAATGGATGGGTGCACCCTCTCATGCTATCTTCAACTTCTCGCCTAGGTATGTGTCTTCTGCGCTCTTCAACTTGTGCTCGTATTCATTCATTTTTCTCTATTAGTGCACGGCCCCTGGACATGGATATCCATCTGCAATCATTCACAATACCGCACTTCCCTTCCCTCATGATGCCATGTCGAAGCCAGCGTACTTGGCCATCGTCGAATATGCACCCACAAAACCTGTCATCGTCTTTGTTCCCTCACGGAAGCAATGTCGTCTCACTGTCGACGACCTGCTTATCCACTGCGCTGCGGATGACAAACCAGACAGGTTCCTTAACGTCGAGGTCGCAGATATACAGGTTCATCTCGACCATTTGCGGGACGAAGGATTGAAGGAGACGTTAAAGAAGGGCATCGGCTATTTCCATGAGGCCATGGATAAGCAAGACAAACGGATCGTCCAGCGTCTGTTTGAGAGCGGAGCTGTTCAAGTGCTGGTGGCTTCGAAAGATACAGCATGGTCATCCCCGTTGCTAGCTACATGGTTATCATCATGGGTGTGCAGTACTACGAAGGGAAGGAGCACCGATACGTCGACTATCCTGTCATGGACGTTCTGCAGATGATGGGTCGAGCATGTCGGCCGAAAGACGACGAACGGAGTCGGTGTGTCCTCATGTGTCAACAGACCAGGAAGGACTTTTACAAGAAATTCTTGGCGGAGGGTCTTCCGATTGAGAGTCATCTTCCGACTCACTTACTACATGACTATTTCCTGGCGGAGATTGCAGTCAAAACTATCGAGAATAAGCAAGATGCTATGGTAGGATGCTTTGCCTCTGGCGCGATGCTGAGCTGACTTTGTTCTAGGATATTTTGACATGGACTTACTTCTACCGCAGGATGACGCAGAATCCCAATTACTATAACCTTCACAATGTCAGCCACCAGCATTTGTCGGACCATCTTTCGGAGTTGGTTGAGAACACTCTGACTGATCTCGTTAACTCCAAATGCATTGCTATCGGTAAACCTACCGACTTTTTCACTTTCGGTACCTTGCTTACCTTTCCTTTAGAGGACGAGATGGACGTTTCCGCGCTCAACCTTGGAATGATCGCTGCTTACTACAATATCTCTTGTGAGTGCTTCCCTACTTCTTCCTCGCGCGACTAATATCGTTGTGGTAGATGTGACCGTTGAAGTCTATACGCTATCGCTGAAGGAACGCACGAAGCTAAAGGGTCTACTGGAAGTCGTATCATCTTCTGCCGAGTTCGAAGTCATTCCTATCCGTCGACACGAGGATGTCCTGCTCAAACGACTGTATGAGCGTCTTCCTGTCAAGATCGACGGGGTCAACTTTGAGGCTCCTCACTTCAAGACCTTCCTTCTTCTCCAAGCACATTTCAGTCGTATTCAATTACCAGCGGATCTGGCTGCGGACCAGAAGATTGTCCTAGAGAAGGTGCTGAACTTGCTTTCGGCGTGTGTGGATGTCATGTCGTCCAATGCGTGGTTGAGTGCCTTGGGTGCTATGGATCTGGCGCAGATGTGTGTTCAGGCTGTTTGGGACAGAGACTCTCCTCTGAGGCAAATACCGCACTTCGAGCCAGAGTTAATCGAGCGGTGTAAGGACGCTGGTATCGAATCTGTGTACGATATTATGTGGAGATGGAGGACGACAAGCGAACAGCGCTTTTGCAAATGACCCAGGCGCAGATGTAAGCATTTCCGTGCATTTGTTGTTAACGTAATCCTTATTTGATTTTACAGGCAAGACGTTGCTACGTTCGTCAACTCGTACCCGACACTCGATGTCACGCACGAGCTTGTCGGCGGGGACTACACAGCGGGTGCTCCGATAAGCCTGCACACGTTGCTCTCGCCCGGGGAACGTCGACGAAGATGACGAAGAAGGCGACCAGACGGTGATTGCGCGCGTTCTACCCAGGAAGAAGATGGCAAACTGGTGGTTGGTTGTCGGCGAACCTTCCACGCGACAGCTATTGGTCATTAAGCGTGTGACGGTGACGAGGAACTCTGGCTGTCAAAGCTGGAGTTCACGCTACCAAAGGGCAAGAGCATTCGGTTGAAACTATATGTGATCTTGCGATTCATACGTAGGGGCGGATCATGATATCGGATTGGAACGATATCGAAGTTGCGGAGGGTGAAGATTCCGACAGTGATGAGGATGATAGTGATGATGCCATGGAGGAGTGATTTTTGTATTTTTGGTAGAGCTGTCTGCGTTATTGTCTTATGTAACTGTATTGTAGTCGATGAATGATTTGGTGAACCTGCTATGGCAGGAAAAAAAGATACTGTGCAATGTGTACTCGCTCAAATAAGAATATATCGACACACTTCAGCATATGCAGATCCTCTAATTTGCACTGTTCTTCCTCAGAAATTTCCAGCATCGACACTTTCTCGAACCTTTTCCCTAGCAGGCTTCGCCCAACGATACAATAGTAGCGACCACTAAATGTACCCAGTCATGAGCAGAAATCAGTGTATAAGTGTCTTCAGGTATCGGGTACTCGTGTGTGGCAGTGATCCCGAATCCATGTTCTATCCCACTCTTGTCTTTAACAATCAACTTTCCATGTCGATCACCCCCTTCTACAACGACAGCCAACCCCTGCACCAACCCCTTTTCAATGCACACCTCATCAACCGAGTCTTCTTCCTCTGCCTCATCCCGATCAACAGAGACGTTGGGGTCAAAATCATATGCGGGAAGAGGCTTCATCATAAGCTGCTCCCACGATGGCCGCCATTTTGTGCCTGCATTTCCCGGTTCAGGACACGAGAAGAATAACTGTCCCCGATAGAGCGTATCCATCGAATTCACGAGTGCTGTCCATGCGTCCTCGAGAGACTGGCTCTCATAGTATGCCGGTATCTTCTCGGACCCCATGACAAACGCCAATCCCGCAACTTTGTCTACTGGGTTGGTCGATACCCATTGCTGCATGCTCTTCAGTGGCCCAAGCACCCGATACGACATGTCCTGCATAGATTGCAGCTGCTTATGAAACCTGGTTAGCAGTTCAGTCTCATACTTCCCATCTTTACGCTCCGCATGCATTGGTCCATCCGGCGTGTCTCCAGCAATCTCCCTCCATTGGCCAACCTCCTGTAGTGTCCAAGCACGTCTAAACCAAGATCGATCACTGTCCAAGTCACCCTCCTTCAAAGTGAAAGGCAGACCCAGCCCGCTCAAGTAACACACCATATGGCTGCCATCAGTATACACTGCTCCGATGGTGGGTACATCCAGCTTCCACTCCTCTGCACGTGCATCCTCCCCTGGTCCACCCACCTGTCTCAAATACAGAACGTCCAACCACGCGTACTCCAGTCCGAGGTTGAGCATCTCGATGCGGATCAGGTTGAGGTCACTCTCCTTCGGGACGGGAACAGGCCATTCGTATCCATTGATGGGTGTCCACACGTCGGCGCGATCTTCTCGTCCACCCACGCGTGCGATATTGGCCGAGGCCACCCCCGTATGCCGCGCACCACCATGGCATCACCCGATTGCTATACAGATCCCAGACACGTCGAGGTGGCATAAATGTATCGACGATCCGGTTACCAACGAGTGCTTTTCGTCGCTCCTCCCGGTCCTCTTTCTCTCATTTACAAACTTGAGCTCGTATAGTGCTCCAGTTGTGGGTGTACTATATTGGGCGGAGGCGGCCATATGCTGTGCCAAAGTCGTAGTCGTTTGTGATACAGTCTTCAAGAAGGGAGGAGAGGGATGGAGTGTCCAGGGTGTGTGATGTGCCGAGTGTCGTGTTCAGTTGATCAAGAGGCCCTGAATGCCGAGGATAGCGCAGGGAGTATCGGCAAGGCGGGATGATATCACAGGCGCACTACCGGTGTACGCCCGTTGCTTTGGAACGATGATCGATGATTCCGGTTGTCCCGTCTCAGCGAAGGCAGATAGCGTGACTTCGCGAAGAGAAATTCCCTGGAAGTGTTATCAATTTCCCCTCCGCTTCAGTTTGCCAACTGATTTACCTCCGGAGGCCACTGTCCATCGTCATCAAGCATCACACCCGCCAAAAAGTGACTGCTATAAGAGAGCTCGGACGGTGCTAATGCCATCGTACTGAGTATCGAAACGAGAGGGATAATGATACACACTAGTTCCTATCTTCCAGGCTCAGGACGGGTATATAATCAAGAGAGTGCTAAATGAGAAACTGTTTGGGCAGTGGTCACAGGTCACAAGCTTGAATCCCACTCCAGCACTTCGAGCTTATAAAAGGTCACGGTTGTACAACAAAGAATGCCTGTTTCATAGATTGTTGGAGTATCAAGTGTCGCGCATCGCAGCGCAGTTGACGTCGGGAATCTTCGGTTGTCAGGCAAAGGAAACTTGTTCTTCTCCTCGGCCTTGTTTACTACGTGGTATTACCTCTATTAGTTGTACAGTGTAGATAAATAGCTAGACGAACGATGATAACCCTCGCCTGTTTGCGAGGGTTCCCTGCTATATCCGGGTGAGCGGCTGGAGAATTACCGCTCATCTCAACATAGATTGGGTGCAAGTTTATTATGGTACTAAGGATTGGTGGAATGGCCTCAAAGGCATGGATCTGCCAAGGGACGGTATACTAGGTTTAATCATATTGTAAGCGCTACTTCGAATGGACGCGCATGTTATGCCCATTTGGACATGTTGCGTTCGGACGAACGGATGAAGTTCCCAAATGGGACCTTTCTTTAACAACTGAAAGTATCATCAGGTATAAGTTGCAGGAGATAATGTAGTATACACATGAGAAAATAAGATCAACTGCGCTTTCGAAGCTCTTTCCTAGGTAACATATCTGAAATTTGGTGCCTGAGGCAACCTAAATGAGCAAAATCTGAACCTTCGAGGAGAAATAACAAACCTTGTCAGCCAACTCGCTAGTGTCGACCCGCGTATTATAGCCAGGAACACCATAGAGAGCGTTTCTCCGTTTATTTTCGAGGCGGTAAGAGAACTGGAATTCTCAAGTTAATGGGGGTAACACCATCGAATCCAGAGTGACCTACGTGCAGTATGACCGCGCAAATGGCAGCTAAGAATTCAAGCGCGCACGAAACTGATTGTGATAAGTATTCAAAACGACGGTGGTGAGCAAGGTGGCTTACTAGCAAATCCCTTGCTATTTCAGACAATGATAGATGAGGAAAGACGTCAAAGGAGAGGCGAAGGTGGGCGCACATATACTTGGGACCCTCAGTCTTGGGGAAAATATGCGAGCCCAACACACTGCCACACTGGCCAATAGCCATAAACATAGGGATACCCGTCGCCCTCTTCGTTTCAGAACCAAGATTGTGAGCAACTATGTTAACCATGTCGTTTTAGTATTAATTAAGCGACATACAAACGACACTTACACCAAGCGATAATGATGCCGATGGTAGTATATGTTCCGCTTGTAATGCAGAATGTGGCAAAGTATCTAACGTGGTTGTTTGAAGGAACGGTCAGAAGTAGACTGAAAATCATGGTTAGTGGGTGAAGGATCCAAAATGATGCGAATGAAGTACAGGTATCCAATGGCGCCGATGAGAGATGCAATGGCCATGAACCAGCCCCTCGTTTGGAGACGGTCAGACGCGTACGAGAAGAGTGTCAATACAACGGCAGCAACAGCATATGGAGGTACTGTCAAGAGTTGTGCAATGGCGTTGGCTACGGTGATAATAAGTAGCAGCATTCTAATCACTCGGAACAAAAGTATACTAACTGTTTCCGAAAGTTTGGATAATAGTCGGCAAGAAGGCTGAAATCGACGCCAGAGCGCAATTTAGACCGAAATAGATGACACCACCAGTATAGATCTGTCTCTCATGCTCAGCGGTATTATTCCATGGGAAGCTTGGTGCCTTACCCTCCAGTCACGGAAAGCCATCCATATATGCGCTGTAGAACAAAGAATCAAAAACTGTCGTAGTCTCAACGCAAGATCGAACCTTTATTCACGACATTCCCGACATCTCCACTTGTATTTCTATTCATCCTGGAGACAGCGATCTCTCTTTCTCTATCATTGAATAGATGCGTTTTCTCAGGCCGATTCGGAAGCAGAAAAAAACAGATGATTCCGAGGACAATAGTAGGGGTGCCCTGTGGCATTACTGATATGAACGGGTATACAAAGGGAAGTAGAAAGCGACATACCTCGACTATAAGCAACAGTCTCCAATGCGCAATCGCAATGTTTGATGTTGATATACCGAAGGCTATTAGTCCTCCAAAAGCGCCAGCAACAGCTGCGAAACCAAACCAGTAGGCCATCTATGTGCCACTAAGCCCATTACTTGCTTGCTGAAAAACGCTTTCACTGACCCGTAAACCCATTTCCTCTTTGGTGTAGAAGAGCGCTTCATTACAGTCAACCCACAACATCGCGTGGAAAACAGCTATGAACTTACAAAAATATAATGGGATTCCAGGCCCGAAGCCTGCTTCGAAGATGCCCAAAAATACCCTCGCAGTAAGCAGGCCGCCGAAATTAAACGCTGTCGACTAGGCAAACACGACCATCCGATAAGCATCCGGTGTGATGTCGGCATTTATTATGCTCACCATAAGGGTGGACGACAAACCCCACCCCACAGCAGCTCCTGCAAGCCAGTAATGCGGTGGGATAAGTTTGGAGACAATTGTCGCAGGAATTTGGCAGATAATCTGATTCATACATCTATCAAACCTTCAGGGAGGAGCAATCGACACGAGTGCTCACGTAAGAAAAGTAGAAAGCGGAGGTTATCCAGTCAAAAAGCACGCCAGTGGGATCGCCATTGAGGATATCCTCCGGCAGGCCTTGTAGACGCGCATTTCCAAGATTTGAACGGTCGAGATCTAAATGATTATGTGTAAACACGAACTTGACTTGGGAGAGAAAAGACATACATGCGAACAGATAGAGGAAACATGCCAGCAGGAGGATACGTTCATCAAGTCTACGTACGAGCCTCCGTTCTTCGATCTGTAAGGCGATTTTCATTTCATCCTCGACAGCAGGAATGATTTGCTCTTCGGCCGACTTAGAATCTTCATCTTTCGCGTGAACGCTAGAAAGAGACATCGAGTGGATAGAAAAGGGAAATAAAGATAAGAGTGTGATCCTGAAGCGAGAAGGGCAACCTTACTCGTAACGACATTCGGGTGGGGGTCCTTTATAGGCATGATCTGAGGACTCGATCTGATCCTTACGTTCCCCGGACTCCAATCAAAGTCCCCATACCTCATGATCATCTATGCGGGGTAGGTCCCCACTAGCCTGGTACGGGAACCCGTTACTGTATGTAAAGCCTGGCACCCAGGACGGGGGTTCGCTCGTGAGTGTGTGCAATTACAAACTCCGACGCATAACCGATTCTTAACCGGCGGTTCAACGGTCATGTGATATAGTCGCAGAGCTCGAAAAATCGGTTGCCATGTAATCAGGATGGAGAAAAGTAGCATCAAGCCTAAATCACTACACCTAGCTTCAAATTACAAGCGGCACAGCACCGCCGTCCAGCAAAACCGTACAGAGAATCCGTCGTTGTCTTCGGACTGAAGCTCGGCATACGATCGGAGTCTGAACAACCGCGCAAGAATGGTTGACAGGCTAGATCTTCACTAGCCTGGTAAACCGGCTTTATGAGATACCCACTTTAAATTTCGAAGTACTTGCCGACCTGGCACGCCTTCAATGGATGAAACGAATGAATCAGCCATGTGACGCATGAAAGAGCTCCTTGCGATGCATTCTAGCCTTTTGTACTAGCCGGGAAAGGGTCGGTGAACATGAACAACTTCGTCGGCATTCCAAATCCATGATCTTAAACTTGGGCGCTCGTCGAGAAGAACTTGTAAAGTCGTTAATTTTCTGACACGTAACTCTAGGCACTCACGTTCCACAAAAAGGAGGCGGTGATCAGACTAATAATGACCTTGAGAACAACGAGGATGTGGGTGAGTGCTTCTCAGATCAAGATCATGATTTCTAAAAATAACGTCTCGCCTCCATCACGCGTGTATACTTAAGTATTAGCGTTCAAAAATGTGTGTCAGAGGCGGGTTAATTGAGTTGTACGCTCGGATCCACGGCAAATATCAGCTGTCGGCCGAGTCTTGTGAGAGACTTGGAGCACAGATGGAGAAATAGATCCACAGAAGGGCGGCAGACGAATGAGGGCGAGTTATGTGCCAGGCACAACGACAGGGTAATGCTTGGACTATAGAATTTAGTGGATCATGTAACACAGCAGAATAGTAATCATCGGATTTTCGGATTGGCGCTATGAAAGAGCCAAGAACTCGTCTTTGATACAAAACTCGGAAAGTCGCTATCCATTATCAATTCTTTTTTGTGAATGCTTCAGAGACCTATCGTGACCTCAAGCGGATGGATGGACACTAAGGCGCAAAGATCGAGGACAACCCAGAGATAGATCGCTTTCACCACGACAGATATAAGAGGCACCTCGAGCTGATAAGATTAGTGCGACATTGACGGATCCATACAACTGAGTCGTTCGATGAACAGCCGGCACTTTGCTCGGCTAGGTTGTCACGGACGTTTTCTGTCTGTCGTCGAGAAGAAGAGGACGAACACATGATCGGTCGACTTACTTGGGTCTTCATTCCCCATCAACGAGTCCACCCATCACTCCAGCGCTCGGGTCTTGCTCTTTAATAACCACTTCAGACCGGAAAATCGATATCAGCGACGGACTAGCACGCAATAAAAACCTTATGCTCTGTGACAACTGCTGGCCATTGGCGATAGTGCTTTCTCAACATGAAACCGCGTGCTCAAGTACCGAATGGTGGTCGATGAGGTGTGAGTACGGGTCTCTGAGTTGATCGTGGCACATATTGAGCTAATTGAGTCGAATTTCGTGAGACTGCAGAAATCGTGAGTTCATAGAACAACGAGGCAGCCCAGCTTGAGCTCACTAAGACTAACACACGAATATACCCATCATAATTTCAGTGATCGATACAGTAACGATGTGATGAAATGGGAGGAATGGGGATGGGATATGCACCAAAACGTTGGCTTCATCGATGACAGAGATGGTTCTAGGGCGATGCCCGACGGATGGATAGAAAGACATAACCCAAAGGTTTCTTGACCAAGTCGGCATTACGGGCCGGTTTTCCCGGGGTATAAACCTTCTTTACCAGGAGAACGGGTCCGGTTCAAGTCTCAAAGCTGCGCCCATTGATTGCACACCCACACCAGATATCTGTACGACGATTTTAGTCAGCTTCGTGTGAAGGGTCCTCACATCTGGAAAGGCTGAAGTCTTCACCGCCTTATCCGACAAGGGTTCTGGGGAACGCATGAGGAAGAGCAATCCTTGCTTGCCCTCCCCTCCTACATTTCTGTAGTTTCCACGGCAGATTAGGGGACGATTACGGATGTCATATTTCCATACAACCGCCTATGCTTTGTGAGGTATGCGAACGTAGCCCATCCGCAGCAGGGTTGTTCAAGAGTCTCCGGGAAGATAGCTGCTAGATGCCGGGAGTTCTCGAGACTCTACATTCCGAGAGACCTGCAAAGGAATTTTCGCCTGAAAATGCGCTGTGACTTCACAGGAACTCGACGTACTGCACCGAAGCACCCCCACAACTTTGCACCTGCGCACTAGTTTAGGTGGACTTTTATTAGCTTTTCTCGTTGTTAATAAGGTAGACACAAAAAATCTATACGAAGGGCGGAAGTCGAAATGGCACGTCCACGCTGACCAAGACATAAATGACATTGGTGTAACAAGCTTGCTTTCTTTATGTTGCAACAGTATGCACATATACAAGCAGAGGCCGGGCGCCGTAGTTTGGAAGATAACTTGACTAACCGACCAACTTCAGATAAGTCCGAGTCGAGACAACTTCAGATCCGGCGTGTGCATTTATATCAGCACCGCAATATTATCCTAGTGAGAACATGACCCAACGGATGCAATTCTGCCAGGGTTCCCGTTAAGCTTTTTTTTAGACGAGTGTCAGATACTAGCCTCGACTGTCAAGACGATCGATCAGAGGACGTATTATACTTGATGGACCAATATGTTCTAGTGCAGCTGGCAAACAACCTTGACCGCAAAGGTAGAATTTAGTCATGTTTCCCATGTCTGTCACAGTGAGACTGAGGCGGTGATCTTGAACTTTAGATGAAGCAAACCGCGCCCAGGCATGTATATGCCGAAGGTTTGCATGCGGACCAATTGGCCCTGAGCCCTGCATACAAAAGGTTCCTTGTCAGCATTAAGGACGAACGAGAGGATAAATGAATCACCGCAGCAAGTGTTGATAGCAAAGAATCCGACGCAAGAAACCTTGAGCCGACTCTTCGCATCCCCCAATTTTGCATGATAGACGGAATAATCATCTTCTAGGGAAGTAAGCGCACAGCATCCTCCTAATACCGTTCTTCATCCGTCTGCACCGAACTCCCACACCCATCCACATTGATCCACGGGCCCACGCAGACACGGGCTCGTACCACTGCGGAGCCATCAGCGGAGCAGACATCAAGAAAACGGCTTGCAATGGCCATAGTAGAAAAAAGGCGAACGTAGCCCTCGTCGCTCTATTACCTAGCTTCGAAACTTGAGATCAATGTATGCTTCTTGAATTCAATAATACACTGAATCCCGCCTTACGAACATCTGATGCGGATGTGTTCAAGTACCGCTGTAATCGGTGGATTATCTCTTCCGCTTTATGAAAGGGTCATCGAGACGGACGCGTAATATTCCCCCAATGGGAGAGGCTGAGAACAAATGAAACTTGTAAAGTATACATAGAAACAAGGATGCTTCACAGCATTCGGTTGAGCGTCCAGAAAAACGTCATAGGAAAATCAATGACGACAAATAGAATTTGAACATACGTTCATACAGCACAGCTCTCAGCTATGGGCGGTGCGAGGGGAAGGAAGTTTGACGCGCTGGGTGGCGGTTCCTACCGATCACAAAGCTGTGCAAAGCATGCATGTCAAGAATGTCATTATTTGTCCTTGCTTGCCGATTCTGGCGTTACCAGCGTTTTCTATAAAGGGGTGCTATAAAGAGCGCGTTTCACCAATCATCCTTTCTCAACTTCCATCTCGCAACGACACGCCAGCGCTCAACGACCAAACTTTTTTCAGTGAGTTAATGTATATGGAAGCTTCGGTGTGGTGCTGATGATCTGGCTCATCACCAGTTCAATACCCTTTAATTGACGATGTGTGGAATATTCGCCTACTGCAACTTCTTGAAGGAAAAGGCAAGTCTTGTCCACCTCTTTGCTCGCGATGGCGCATAAGATCCTAGAAATGCCGTCGATGGCGAGCGTTACCCCATGTTGTTGAGGACACGTATTTCTTGGTAGCATCTGGTGCCATCTGATGGTCGTGGTCCGTTTTGCGATCTTGGTTGCTGACGCTATTTCCATTTACAGCGTCGTCAAGAGGTCCTTGAAATACTTTGTGGCGGTCTTGCTCGCCAGGAATACCGAGGATATGACTCAGCTGGACTGGGAATCGACGGTGACAAACCTGGCGAGGTTGTTTTCTTCAAGGAGGTTGGAAAGGTAGCTGGCCTCCGAAAACAAATTGCCGGAACCGTCATGGATTACGACAAAACCTTCGATTCTCAAGTCTCCATCGCACACACTCGGTGGGCAACGCACGGACCTCCTTCGCGTGTCAACTGTCATCCCATCCGCTCCTGATGAAAAGGCCGAATTCATCGTCGTTCACAACGGTATCGTCACCAACAGCGGCGAGCTTCGTGCTGTGCTTCAAAAGCGTGGATACCTGTTCGAGACGGAAACCGACACGGAAGCTGTCGCCAAGCTCCTGAAATATGTTTATGATTCGCAGGCGTCCAAGCACCTCACTTTCACCGACCTTGTCAAGTTGGTATTGAAGGAGCTCGAGGGTTCCTTTGCATTCGTTTTCAAGTCGACCCACTTCCCCAACGAGGTCGTGACGGCTCGTCGCGGTTCTCCTCTTCTTATCGGCGTTAAGACCGACAGGAAGCTCAAGGTCGATTTCGTTGATGTCGAATTCGCGCGGGACCCTAGTCAGGCCGCTAACCGTGAGTACTACTTTTCATGATTTCTGCACCATTTCCTCAGTAATGTCTAGTTCAACCTACCTCGCCCACCTCCACCACATCTTCACTCCTTGCCCCTCCCACTGCAAAGCCTGGTGCCCTTAGTCGACAGTCTCGCGGGTTCATGTCAGAAGATGGCCTTCCTCAACCTATTGAATTTTTCATCGCCTCTGATGCTGCTGCTGTCGTCGAGCACACCAAGCGCGTTCTCTACCTCGAAGATGATGACATCGCTCACATCGCTGAAGGAGAACTCCACATTCACCGTCTCCGCCGCAAGGAGGATGCCAACCAGACCCCTGGCCAGATCGCTTCCACCCGAAGCATCGAAACCCTCGAAATTGAAATCGCTGCCATCATGAAGGGCAAATTTGACACCTTCATGCAGAAGGAGATCTACGAACAGCCAGAGTCGGTTGTCAACACCATGCGTGGGCGTGTCAACTTTGACACTAACAAGATTACACTCGGTGGCTTGCGGGAGTACTTACCCATCATACGTCGTGGTCGCAGAATCGTTTTCATCGCTTGTGGCACCAGCTATCATTCCTGCATCGCTACCCGTGCCATATTCGAGGAGTTAACTGAGATACCTGTCAGCGTCGAGCTAGCTAGTGACTTTTTGGACCGCAAGACGCCTATCTTTAGAGATGACATCTGCATATTCTTGAGTCAAAGTGGCGAGACTGCGGACACGATCTTGGCATTGCGATACTGTTTAGAACGCGGAGCACTCTGTGTTGGTGTTGTCAACACCGTCGGTTCTACTATTTCTCGGGAGACTCACTGTGGTGTCCACATTAACGCCGGTCCCGAAGTCGGTGTGGCTTCCACCAAAGTACGTTTTGCTCGCTCTCTCTCAGATCCCCCTGCTGACAGCCGTCTATTAGGCATACACGTCCCAATACATTGCTTTGTTGATGATGGCTCTCCAACTTTCGGAAGATCGCATCTCTTTCACAGAACGTCGTAACCAAATCATTGAAGGTCTTCATGCCATGCCCTCCCAAATCAAACGTGTACTGGAACAGGACTCCCAACTTCAACAGTTGGCCAGCACGGTTGCCGACAACAAAAGTTTGTTGATCATGGGCAGAGGATACCAGTATGTTCCGACTTGCTCTATTTTTTCTGTATTCTTATTTCATCACTTTCCAGATACGCTACATGTCTTGAAGGTGCCCTCAAAATCAAGGAGATCAGTTACATGCACTCTGAGGGTATGTCATGATTGGCTAAATGATGGCAATACTGATTAACGAATACTTGTACAGGTATACTTGCTGGAGAGCTCAAGCATGGTCCCCTGGCCCTGATTGACGAGAATATGCCCGTCATCATCATCATGACGCAAGACTCCCTCTATCCCAAGGTTCAGTCTGCATTTGCACAGATAACGGCCCGGAAGGCCCAGCCCATCGTCCTTTGTACAGAAGATGATGATGGTATCCCTAAGGGCGCTAAGACGATCCGTGTTCCGAAGACCACCGACTGCCTCCAGGGCCTCTTAAACATCATTCCCCTTCAGTTGCTCAGTTACCATCTGGCTGTGAAGAACGGATGTGATGTTGATTTCCCCAGGAACTTGTAAGTCTCGTCAGTATCAGACCTGTCGCTGCTAACTGAACCATATTCAGGGCAAAATCGGTCACTGTCGAGTAAGGAAAGACGGAAGATAGATCTCACACTCATTTTGCACGTGGACTGGAAAATTACTGTACTTTAATGTCGCGGACTCTGACATATGATTAGTTTTGTAGGAAGTATCAGAACGGATTGGACATTCAAGAGAGCTGCCATCATCATTCATTGTACATACGTACTCCTTTCGCCTAGCAGGACTTCTCAATTTGCATGTCGTTGTGTTGTTCGTTCGGAGCCGGGTGTTATGGACGATCTGCGCCACGGAATTAGAAGAAGGAACCGAATTTTGAGCTTTTCTGACTTCAAATATTCTTCCTTTCTTGCCTTCCCTTATCCCGCACAATGTCCCAAGACCCTCAACCGCCGCTGCGTCCGCCGTCGCTTTCCATCGCGCACGGTACTGAGCAAATGGTATCTCTTCTCCAATCTGAAAAAGCTCGAGCTATCGCGGAAATAAATAATCAATTATTCGACTTGCAGCGGCGATATGCCGAGCTAGAGCGGCATTCATCGCAATACCGCCAAGTCGCAGTGAACAGCCTCAACGATGCCCATCACAGGGAATCCAATCTCCACACTTTACTCGCGCAAATGTCTGGGGAATTAGAGGCCGTAAAGGGGATCATCACTGCACTGGGCATGCATTATGAGATGAACGAGCAGACCGGACAAAGAGGTGTTGACTTGTTATGATTCTTGGCGACCCCACCTATCAGAAAATTTGGTCAATGGAGTAACACTCAACTGGATCCCGATCCCTACGCACGATCAGCCGGATTGTACTACATATGAGCCACCAACAGATTCACAACCGATGTCGGCAGAGACGCCCCACACAGATATAGTGTGTATGCCGGCGACGTCGTCGCATTGATTAAAGGACTAATTCAGGTTAGTGCCTCTCAAGTAAACTTGTGCGGCGTCTTTGGCTAATGATACCCCAGCTGCCAAGGAGGCCTACGGCCGATAATGTTGGATCACCATGATTTATGATCAGCTCTTGCAACGCCGACGCTCTTCTAACGCTCTGTTCGCACTGCCATGCTATTGACTGTTTTTGTTCCTCCTGGCCTCCCATTTCTACAAGTGCATATTTAAAAGTCTGTAATCTCTTGTCATCTTGAAGTCTGAATTGGAGAGTAGTGGCCAAAATCTCATGTTATGACTTGATATATTGTACAATTTGACTAGAGCTTAGCCGCCGCTTCTATCCTGATGAACTCGTCGACAGTATCAAGAAGACACTGTTCGAAAGATGTCCATTTGATTCCAAGCTCGGTCTCCGCGATAGAAACGTCGATTTTGGCCTTCTTGCTCGTAACTTTGAGCTCAGCACCATCCAGCGATGGTAAGCGGGGAATTAAATTTGGCCGTTGCTTGCTCAAGATATTCACGGCCTAAGTGATACATTAACAAGAGAAGTTCAGCGGATGAATTGATATCGTACCTCATAGAATGTGAACATGGCGCCGTTGAACAAGAACCCTCTTCCCAATGACTGAATCGACCTTCAAAGCCTTGACATGGAGCGTGGCGACATCTCTCACATCAGTGCATGCAGGTAACGCCGTATCTTCCAGCTTGCCACTGATGAGATTGTATATGTCCTGAGACGAGGTATTCAAGGCCGAAAGGTCAGCAGGTAGGACGAGGGGACCAAATATCATGGTAGCTAAAAGAAGAATGAATGGAACAACCCTAGAGATAATGTAAGGGCACACGTACGACTCATCACGGTGACATGCATTGCTGGATGCTCGCGGGCGAATTCGAAGGCGGCCATTTCGGCAATTTTTTTGGAAACAGCGTAAACACCTATTCCAGGAAGCGCGCCAGAAACAGCTTGCTCATAGGTTAGAGAGTTCCTGGCGTATCAGTGAGCCTATGTTGCTAATTTCACAGAATTCACTACGTCATACCAGTCCTCTGCAGGTATAGGTATAGTCACGCCAGATATCTGGATAATGAGGTCACAACAAATCGACGGTGGCATGATAGGCAGCTTACCACCCTTGGCTGAGTCGATGACTGCGGCGATGCTCCCAGTGACAACAACACGTTGAACACCATGCTTGAGACATGCTTCCAAAACTTTGACCGTCCCCTGCCTCGCGGGATCAAGAAGATCCTTTCTAGGATCATTTACGCTTCGAAAAAAAGGCGATGCCACGTGAATAACGGCACTTATACCTAGGTGAAGTAAGATCGCAGTCAGGGTACCAAGCTGGAAATGTAAGGCACCTTTCAAAGCCTCAGTATAATCTCCTTCGACCAAATCTGGCACGACAACCGAATCAAATCTATCGCCGTAGGATGTCCAAAAAGTGCGGACTTCCTTGGCCTGAGACGGGGACCTCACGGTCCTGTGAGGCCGCGGTTAGCACGGTACGCGCTCAGGCTCATAATGGAAGAAACTCGGAAACGGACCCACGAACTGCGTATCCATTCTCAAGAGCCTTGATAACGACATGACTGCCCAAAAAACCTGTCGCGCCAGTGACCTACTTCAGTGAGCGCGGCATTGAAAAAGCAGTTACGAAAGGATGGCATACCAGAATTCTTTCTGAGGCCATAGATGAATTAATGTCTAGAAGAATAAGTGGTTCGCTTACCTATAAGTCCCGAGAAGCCTCGGGCAGGTGCTCCGCACTTGAATACATTGATTACATTTTCTTACAAAATAGGCCTTCGGGCAGAGTCATGCTTCGGCTTCCTGAGGCCAAGCTTGTGGGGTCAATTGTATTGAGTGCGTGGGATTTAAGAGCAGAACAAAGCGCACCGATAGTCCCAAACGCAATCATGCCTCTTCATCGCTTCTTTATCCCTCCAAATCTTTACTCGGACGAGGACAAGCAGACTTTGTCCAAAGTTATCACGGACTTGTATGCCAAAATTGGCCTTCCTGAGTTCTACGTCGTAGTCCTCTTTATTGATATTCCGAGACACGGTTATTTCGTTGGTGGAAAGGCAACGGACAATTTTGTTCGCATAATTGTCCACCATCTTGCTAAACAATTCGCAACGTACGCGTTTCCTCGATGGGTTGACTTATTCACCACGTCTGAACATGCAGATAGTGATGAAGACAAGACTAAATTCATGGACAGGTATGAACAGACAATAGCGCCATTTACCAAAGGCCGCGGCGTTGATTGGGAAGTTGAAGTAATCGATTCTGATGTGAGTTCTCCCCTTTCAGATTGACACCTATACTCATTCAATCATAAGCCACAGTTATGGAGGGAGAATGGAATCATACCTCCTCATGTGGTCCATAACGCCGAGATTGAGTTGCTTTGGGCCAAGGAGAATAGGCCAATCCCGTACTACTAAGAGCGGCACCGATTATCATCCCTAACAGTGGAGATATGGGCATGTATATAGTTTCCAGCGGATAACGTACCTGTGGAGAAGCACCTTGCTAGAACAGAGACTACTCGCGTAACAGCGGTCCGTGGCTGGTGAGTACCTCTATCGCCACTTACGAGTGTTCGGGCCGGAAATGTCCCTGAGGAGGCCGACAATCACCAACTTCGATAGAAAATGCTAATTCTGAACAGTGATACACGAGAAAGTCATCGGACCGCCCAGGCCAGCGGCTACCGCTTTATCCTCTTTCCATCTGGCTCCAGAGATAACGTTCCTAGTGGTGTCCTATTGCTCAAACCCATTCCCGGACCTGGTTTCCTTCTGAGGAATCGTTATCTTAGCATCAGCAAGAACAGCAGATAGGTACTCACGGAACCCCATCCGCGTTTCGCTTCACGCCACTATGCATTGACGGAGGTCCAGGGGGATTCTAGGCAAAAACGTTGAGTCCAGTGCAAACCGGACAGCTGGACCTTCGACAAACTTACCATCGCCCCGGTCGGAAACCTAAACCCGCCCGTGGGTGTGTCAGGGCGTCTTTGTGAGTTTGGAGCACTCTGCTGCCCAGTCGGCTGTTGTTGATAAGAGTTGATAAGGGCAACACGATTCTGGTTTTGCTGTTGTCGCTCCAGGGATGTTCGTGGTATAATGGGCTTGGGATTGTTGGGAGGCAATATCGCTCCTCCAACGTTCGCTCGTTCTCCTAGCACGCTTCGTTCGGCAGGATGATTTTCGATTTCGGCTTTGATAGCGGCTAGTCGATTCTGCTTCTGCTGTTGACGTTGTGCTTCACTTTGTGCAAATGGTAGTACTTGTGGTTTATTCTCTCTAAACTGCTCCCCAAGGACGCTGCGATCCACATCCTCGGCCCGTGAGCCACTGTTTCCGGTGCTATCGTCCTCGAGCTCTTCGCCTTCACACAAGATGGGCCTTCCCATATCGCCGTCACCAAGATCCACTGTGGCGAGAAAAGCGTCGTCTTCGGAGCCAAACAGGAATGAATCATCGCCGTCGGGCTCAATCGATGACATAGTCGACGAAGAGGTGGCCTTGGTATGGATGTTCCCATTGCCGGAGGAAGAGGAATTGGAATCAGGCTGCTGCAGTGTCGTTGAGAGATTGAGCTGGTTATGAGATTTCGAAGTAGAGGATTTGGATGTGGCATTGATTGGTTGGGGCAGTCTTTGTTGTTGCGGCACCAAGGTATTTTGTTGCGGTGGTGGCTGTGGCTGCTGAGGTAGAGGAGCTCGCTGTGGTTGCGGGGGGATGTATGCTTGTGGCTGCCGGGGAACTGGTGCAGGCCGTTGTTGCTGCTGCTGTTGAGGTGTTGGTGCGCGCTTGTACAAGTGTATTCGTCTGTGCCGGGGGCGGATTGCCTGACGGTAGTGGTTCAACAAATTCTGGTCTTCGATGCAGCTGTGACTTGTCAAATTTCGGCTGAGTCCGTCAGTATGTATGGTAGAAGCTGTCATGGATAGATCAATCCATACCTGCTGAACTTTGATTTTGACGACTTCTTGGGCATATCCCTTGTCATATAAACAATTTCCCAAGAGGTTTCCGAAATTTCTGAGAGCACGCTTGAGACCGTCCGTGACAGCCTCTTTCTTGCACTGGATAACTATCAGGTTGGTAAATTAGACAGCGACGAAGAACTCACTTTGTCCAAACCTTGCCCTTTGCTCTTCGTATTCTCTACCATCCCATATCCAACATCTTCATGAAATGACCCACTAGCCACCAAAGTCACCCGCACGACGGCCGTGATCCCAATGCTATATCTGCGTGTCGTCTCGTCGAAATCCAAAAAGTCGGTGCTCATAGTGACAATACTTGAACTCCAGCCGTCAAATCCAAAGACTTCATTGGCAAGATTTATTATCTTCCAGCCCTCAGCATAAGTAAGCTTTGGCCCTCCGCCAGGACCTGGTCGAGTGGAAATGTATTCGGGACCGAGCTTTTGAGTCAGTTTCTGCTGAAGAGTCGCAGGATCATACGGTGGGTGAGATGAAGAAGAGGCGATACTGCAGGAACCGTGCATCGAAGGGTCAAATGATAGCGGTCCGGACGTCGTGATATTAGACTTGGTACTTCATGTTGCTTGATAGAGATCCTTTGGTAGCAATCGATAATATGGCCGCTGAAGGCCCCAGCCATTCAACTAAGGCTTGTAAAATGGTCGATTGAAAGCGACGCCGTTGAAAAATCGACGTCAAAACAAGAAAATAGTGGATGGTGGTCGCAAACAGACAGAAGACTTTACACGTGTTTGGACGCCACGGTCCCGGTCCGTGACTCCGTGTTCAATTCACGTGATCGTTTTTTAGAATATTGATAAAAAATCAAAAAAAAAACTACAACCACTTTCGAAGATGCTCCAATACTCTGAGCATTACATCCTCGGCGTGCTTTCTTTCGACAAATCTAAAGAGCCTACAGTTTTTTCTTCGGGCGAAAATTTTTGACTGCTTACCCGTGGGGTTCTCTTGGATATATTACCATCTCCACTCGGTCCTTACAGCGACTGTCGGTTCTCTTCAAGCTTCTGTATAGTCCTATACCTTGGCCAAGCGGAACGCGCTCGTCTTTTTCGCCATGGAGAATCAAAACTGCAGTGGTCACCCCAGCTACTCGTTGCACAGGACTTTCCTTTCTCAATCGCCCCTTCCAGGGCGAAATACCCCCGAGCGCGCCCTAAAGAAATCTATATACTGGCTCTGTATATTTCTGGTGGCAGCTTACCTCCAGCTCCGGCGAAGCAGCTTCCATTACCATGCTCTCCCAGTTGGAGACGCCGGCCCCCACAATGGCTGCTTGGAACATGGTCTTAGTTTGCGTGACACCCCATGCCGTCAGTGATCCACCTTTTAGGAATTTAATGACCGAGATATGCCGCATAGCAAGAACCATTTACCATGACTCCATCCCGCTACTGCTAGCCTATCTGGATTAGCAAGGCCGCGGGCGACTACCTCATGCACCATGCTCTCGCAGTCAGGCCAATCGAAAACACCGATACCACGAGCCGCGGCGTGTGCAAAAACATGACCTTTTCCCTGGCCTTGAATACGGCGATCAGCTATGGGATTTTAGCGACGTTCATAGTTTACTCACTTCCTCGGTAATTAGGCGAAATTACAAGGTACCCGGCGGATGCGAGCATCTCGCGCCAATTACAGAAGTAGGGCATATAATCTGTTTAATTGTCGGTAAGCCTTGCCACCGCTCATCTTGGTAAAAACTAATAACCTGGGACGTCTCGGCTGAATCAGTCTCAGCATCAACGGGATTTCGAAAACAAAGAGTAATCCGAGAATCCCTACCGGTATGGCCCTCCATGCAAGAATAGGATGGTTGGCAAAGCACAAGCGCACCTTTGGTCAATGCCCGGGGGATATCTTACCAGGCCGCTAAGTTCGACACCGTCTTTGCTTTTCCATCGAATGACTTCGGTCTTTACCTGAGGTGCGTCCATAAGCCACTGCAGATGGGACGATAACTGTTTCCTTATGCTCGGCCCTGACAGGCTTTTCGCGCAGTACCTTTGCCCACTATCGATGCGAACAGACCACACATTCGGTGCCTCGTGTCGTATGCCAGAGCTCAGTACCGCAGCAAACACATACGAGACACCTGTCGCACTGCGTACTCTTTTGGCGTCCCATGCCCCGAACCATATGGCTTCGTCCTGTGTGCAGAAAAGCGAATGGAATTCATATTCGTCGTCGTTTGATGCAGAAAAAGAAAGTCTGTCGATCCGTGTGTCAGTGTCGGTGGCTATTTCGACAGCTATCATCCCACTGCTAGTAGGGTCACTGTGATTCGACATATCGACAATCCGGATAGCGTCTTCTGTCACGCCATATAACTTCCGTACCAACGCCCTCTTGTCCGCCCCTTGACTAACGTACAGCGTTCGTGCATCGAGGATATTGGATGCCTCATGGTTCTGCAGAGTCAGAATGTGGCCTGAACTGAGCCATATATTCGATCCAGAAGGCGAGCGGGGATACGCGTTAATCGTCACGGGCGCGTCTTCAGAGACAATGGGCACCCTTTCCAGCAACACTTCCCGTTCGGCTGCCTCCGGTCCTCTGTCCTCCCGTAACCTATAAAGTAATTCCTTGCTATCTGGGCTCCAAGTGAAGCTCTCGACATGCCGATCCTTTCTTATGTGGCTTATGGATGATACCTCTCCTGTAATTGGATTGAGCAGGAAAAGATGCGATAGCCCCCGCTTATCCCCTATCCTCCTTGCATCATCTCTATCCCCTCGGGAGGGCCCGTCGCCTGCAGACGTGAAGGCGATGTACTTCCCATCAGGCGATATCTGGAATTGCTGCACACCCTTCTTCATAGGTTCCACCATCAAGGGCATGGGCTCTTCGTCTTCTGCCAGCCTTAAAGAGTAGATGTTTCCTCCCTTCCCTGGAGCCCATCTGTCGGAGAGAAAAACAACCACGTTGGAGTCAAACGGATGGAATACGCCTGCACGGTCGTGAAAATCTCCGTTTGTCAATTGCCGAGCGCTGTGAGCGACGTCTGTCCGTGCAAGCCATAGTTCAGCTAGGACGCGATCAGCTGATTTGTAGAACTGCTGGACTTGATAGAGAACGCGTTCGCCGTCTGGGCTTATGCTGATGTCTCGGACTTTCTGCGAGGATGCTATTTGGGAGGGAGTATGGTGCATGGCTGGATTGGGGGATGCGTTGACAATGTCATGCATTTATTTCCGGCCTTTGCATACTTGTGTGCGAGCTCTCACGTTTGCTTGCCACGGTGGGAAATGCACTGGGAAATATCTGCGCGTGAAGGAAATATCATGAGAACATTCCCACGTATATTCAGCGGCAAGATGAACCAAGAGTTTGTTTGCTTCATAGGTTTGTACACCATACTACTAGATAAACTCTTCACAACTGCTGTGCCTTGTGCACCATTTCCACTAAAGCGCAATAAAGTTTACTAAAACAGGTAAAATAGGGGCGATCTTCACGATCATGTGATATATGTTTACCAGAATTTCAAATTCTTTCTCTTTCATCACCGCCGCCGTCCTTCTTTCAACCTCTCACTCATCCAGAGACTTGCTTCTCAATGTCAACTCACGAAGAACCAATTCAAGGACAATTACCTGCAATTGTAGACTGCGACCTGCTTGAGGCTGCCAAGGAGAATGTCCAGCCTCTTGCCACTGGCCGTCGAGTAACAGCGCTGTCGTCGATATTGTCCACCCCACACGCACACAGAGAATCGAAGCTCTCGGCAACCAGAAACAGACTCCGGATCAATGTCGAAATTGCTATGGAAGATGAAGATGACGATCCTTTGGAGGCCTATTGCAGACTGGTTTATTGGACAGTTGAGAACTATCCCCAAGGCCATAATGCGGAGTCTGGCCTTCTGGAGCTTCTCGAAGAGGCAACGAGGGTTCTCAAAGATAATAGGGATGGGAGATGGAGGGGCGAAATGCGCTATCTCAAGCTGTGGCTGCTCTACGCGAGCTACGTCGAGAGACCCACCATCATTTATCGTTTTCTGATCGCAAACGATATTGGAATCGATTTCTCTTTGCTGTATGAAGAGTATGCTGCGGTCTTGGAGCGCGATGGAAGGTGCGTCGTATGTCCACTACTTCGTTTCTTGCCTATTCATGCTGTGTCATAGGAGGAAAGAAGCAGACGATATTTACAGACTGGGGATTGCGAGACGAGCGTCGCCACTGGATCACCTCAAGGCCAGACACGTTGATTTCGAAAAACGGATGATGTGCGCGTCACCCATTGTAGTCCCCGAGACGGCTTCTTCGTTACCCTCTCGCCGGCCAGCTCTGGCTGCTACTGTAGACCGTACAGGCCCCGTCGTCGCCAGACCCATGGCTCAATTGCATTCTACCAATGCTTCCACATCCAACGCCCCTCTCCAGGTCTTCGTAGACCCAACAGGCTCAGAATCTCGGCCATCGCTAATGGAACAGAACGCGTGGCCAGATATTGGTACACGTAAAACCAGGATCAAGGAGAATATTCCGCAGACCAAGGAGATGGTGGGCTCGACTGTTAAACAGTCCAAGAGGATAGTATCTTCGTCAGGTCCTCGTATCGTTCCATTCGTGGACCCTGCCGAGAGCGCGGCTACACCTGCATCGAAGAAACGACACGCTTCGCAGAGCCATATTGTGCCCTTTGTTGATGACTCAAAAGAAGCTAAGGAGGACGTTCCACCGACTCCCAAGTTTACACCTTTTAGAGACGAGGTCTGTTGATGATCTGTTATTAAAGTGTTGGCATCGCGCTAATTTTATTTGTAGGATGCGTCCGTGACGTCGCCTACAGTTCCGGCCGAGTCTGTCATGCAGATTAAGACGCCGGCTTCAGCTTCGACTGCTAATTCTGAAGCGGAGGCATTGAGGAAAGATCCCTTGAAGAACTACGGGGATCATGGCATTGGTTTTGATGATCCCTAGAGCGGCGTCTTGCTGTGTACGAGCTTACTCTTTCTTGGATCTCAGTTTGGCGCATGTGCTTGTTCTTCTGATATGTTGATTATTGTATTTTTGATCTTGCTTCCTCTTATCTTACTTAAATAAAAATACCAAGATAATCATTTCCTGTACAATAGTGACGCTTAGCTTCGAACATTGCGTATGCGACCTTCTTCCTGGCGTAGAATAGTTGCGAGCGAGTAGGGAATAACCATCGCCGTCTACATTCATTAGAGCTAGAGCCCTTCAAATCGTTGATTCGAGATCTTCAAATGGCGGAATGAAACAAAATGAGGGCTGACTCGCAGAGCGCTACAGACACGAGTTAGACTAAGCCAGGTTTAGGCGGGTATACTTCGTCAATAGTAAACGAATAAAGCAGAAAAACCCTTACCATCAGCGGTGGCGAAAAACTACCAGACGATTCGCACAACCGTGACAGACAGCATGAACTTGCATGACAAGGTAGTTCACTCATTTCACTCATTGAAATGCCCTGGATACGCTGGCAGTTAGGAAACGTCACGACGGTGCTGAAAAAGACTCTTGGAACGATGCCAACTGGATAGACAGATGCTCTCTTCGGTATAGGAAGCATCGCGATTATCAGCAGATGGGCATCTTTGAAGTTTTCAGTTAGCCTTCCTAGAGAGAATACATGTCATTAGAACGTCACGCGAGGTAGAGACGTTTTGTGCAAGTGGCAACATGCTGAGAAGGACACCTTTTTCGGCTGGGGAGGGCCCCGTTTCCAGTGACGCTTCACACAGATTTAACTTCTGAGAAGCCCGCAGTCATTCCGGTAAAATCCTTTTCAGGCAATCACCGCCTCTTATGTTATTGCTTCTACAGCAACGATATGAAATACCTCTCCCGCCTCAGAGAGCTGAAGAGCTCGGGTTGCAGTGCTGAACTTAAGATTCCGTACCTTGGATTGAATCTATTGGTACCTAGCCCTTCTCGGTCTGAAAATTAACCCGTTTCCCTGGTCCCATTCCTACACAAGCGAGAGATATGAGTCGAGCGCTAGGATCGCCGTTTAGGTGGCGGAGAGGTCAAAAAGTGGCCTATGAATGGTTCCGTAAGTCTTGGCTTGCATGCACCTGATGTGTCCTGCATACTCAACCATAAGGTCTTCCCTTCTGAACACGTCTCCAGGTGGAGGAGAAACCCGTCAAGAGAGTAAGTTAGCTCTCGCCGCCTAAACAACGCCATACGCTCGACGTATGAGACTTCAGGATCATTCATAGCACTCTGATATGCACAATCACAGCCACGACAGGACACGCCATAATGCAGTGTGCCCGTAGAGCGGTCGAGATATGGGAGAAACGTCGCTGAAGAGAACTGAACGCCGGAGCCGCCGGTGAAATTCACAGTAGAATGGTGAGTACTGGTTGAGGTTCCGACAGTCCTATAACCGCTCTTCTGATGCAGCGCTTTTCTAAGCGGTTTCTCCCCGAGTCCGATATGAGATGCCCCAGGATCATCTGGCAGGGCCCTTCGCCGGAGACCCAATGCAGCCATGGATTCACGTTGCGTTATGGGTCGTAACTGCGGAGACTCCCTGAGGCAAGGCACGCAGCATCGCTTACATGCAGGAAGCCATATGAACCCGCCGAACTGGTCACATACACTGCATGTGCTACTGCACAGTACGTCGTAAAGCTGGCCGACGGTGAAATATGCAGTCGACCTAGTCAAAGCACAGAGTGCGCTGGGAGCATGAAGAAGCAAGTACTTGTAGGGTATGGACGAGCGAGCGATTATCCTAGCGCGTTTGTTAACACGTTGGAAAGATGCGATAGCGCGCAAGTCCGCTGAACGGAAAATCAATTCGAAGAGCTCAATCGGAAGGGACGTCTAGCGTCCCGAGAGTTCTTGTTGGAGGGGATAGATAATTGTCCGGAATTCCGTACGGAACCAGGTCCAAGACTTCTGTACGAAAATCTGGTCGGCTGTAGGCAAGGACGCTGAGTACCTCTTTTGTCGAGTCCGATGTCAGTGCCATGAATTGCTGAGATTATTATCAGTATTAAATAGATTACCTCGGAATGGTGACAGGGTGCACACCTCGGATATTAATACGCTATCCAGCCCAAGACTAAAAGTAATACTCGGGATGAGAAGTCGGTTCAAGTTTTTGCGGGGTCTTACTGCCATAATGGGACGGAAGTATCCCGGGTCCGGGGACCCTCGGTCCTTGCTCCGGAAACCCGAGCCTCATGCTTGTTATCTCTTCTTTCCGCCGCGTTATGGGCTCTCGTCGGTTGCGTGCACTGGTCTGCCTCTGAGCGCTGAGCCTGCACCATTATTCTGGTCTTTCTTGGATTTTTCGCAGGGCCTCTTGGCGTGGGCGTAGATTCTCCGTGTCTCCAAGCATTACGTTTTTGAAGACCGAGGGATTCCCTGGTATATGAATCGTTAGCCTGTTAAAGGTGTTTCTAGTCGCCAGCCTTGGAATGCTTACTGGCCACTCCACGTCCACGCTCTCTAAGCGCGCTAATTTAAGAACTCCTTCGCGTGGATGACGTTTAGCAACTGCCAGAAAAATACATTTCTGGAACGCTCAATTTCCCTGGTGGCGCTGGTCGGCAGATTTTATTTAAAAAGACTCGATCTTTGGCTTGCACGGTCGGTTTACCCTCGCACCACTGTGAACATGTTCTGTCGTCTGTTGGTCGCTCTCTTCGTCTGGGGTATGCTCCTCGTATCGGCCGCGCCTACGGGGACTTTACAGTCCCAGTTTCCACCAGTAGCCGACTTGAGCGCTCAGCCTCTGGTCGAAACGGCTTTGCAAGCCGCAGCAGTGCCTGTATTTGTCTCCGCCAGCGGAATGGGTGCGGCATCATCGCCCGGTAATGATGAGGGTAGCACTGGGTGAGTTGCATTTAATTCCTGGTTGTGCGTTTCACTGATGTTCAACATTTTAGATGGCTGAGCCGAATGTTTGCCTTCATGAACAAAGAGTCCAATTCGCATCGTCGGAGGTTACGACGGTCAGTTCATCAGTTGGTTTCAGTTTCACTGCGATGCTCATTCTCTTCCAATAGCTACAGTCCACATCCTGTGTGTATTTCCCTGGCGGAACGATGCCCGACATGACCTGATATGTGTTCCCACAGTGACAGATTCATTTTATGACGTATTTCGGCTGATACCCATATCTTTATTTTCTGGTGAGTGCAACAGTCTGCTAAGCGTGGACATACCTAAATCGTCTTTTGCAGGAAGGGTGATGAGATTGATGACATGTATATATTTTGTGATGAACGTATGTCAAAGTTGAAGTTTGTGAACGAAGACGAATATTTCATGTGTGTAAACGTCATTGACTGGCAGTGCCGCAGTGACCCCGCCAGGCGCATGCTCTTGCTTCTTCTACCTACCACCTCTATTCATTTTAACTTGGATACCTGTAGAGTATCTCTTCGAAGATATCTTCTCTTTTCTTTCGCTGTATACAAGGGTTACCTTTTTGGGTTTATTTGATGATGTTATGTAAGCAGAAAAAGTCTGGCAATGGGCATGCAAAGGAGCGCTGTTCTCCCTTCTGTCGCCATCGACAAGGTCCTAGGCCGGGTTTAGTCCTGTGCTCCTCTTCATTCTGGGTACCGGAATTTTTATTTCGCCACTTCAAGCTCTTCTACTCTTCCACGTTTACCGATAATCGAGATGGATCCTCAATACAACGCCTCATCACAAGAAGCCGACGCATACGGACCTCAACCGCATCCATACCTTCACGAACCTCTTCTGTACATATCAAATCTTCCTCCTTATGTTTCCGATGAAAATCTTGCCCTTGCGTTCGTTACATGCGGCCCATTTCGACCAAAAATTGCTCGTGATGGAAGCAGCAGCCTGCTGTCGGGGACAATCGAGTTCAAGTTTCTCGAGAAAGGTTCGTGATTTCTTCCGTTTCGTCGTCTTTGGTATATCTGAACCATTATCAATTCATTACAGCTGAGAAGGCTCTGGCTACTCTTCAGTCACGTCCAATTCCGGGCTTACAGGCCCCGGTGCCTCTCGTATTGTCCCCATACCCCCCGACAAACCCACCAACGCCTCTGCCTCCCCCGTCTGCCCTTCCACGGCTTGTGAAGCATCTACCTCTCGGATATACCGATTCTCAGCTATACGACATATTCCGACCATATGGCGCACTTGCATCCGCCCGCACTCACACCCACTTTGGTCCCGATACCGGTATGGTCGAATTTTGGAACGAAGACGACGCTAGGAACGCAGAAGAAGCCATGCATTGTGCCGATGTCGAGGGACAGAATATTGCTGTACAAGTGTACCAACAACGAAGGACCAGTGGCGCCGTGGGGGAATTCAATACTGCTGCGCCTACTTTCATACCCTCGGGATCTATGTACACATATGGCGCGCAGGTTTGTCGTGTTCTATACTGGTCCGAAGCATACATGCTGATTTCGTGCAGTACTCTCCCCCTACCCCGCCTCATCGTCAGTCTTACAGCCCCCGAAGCCCACCTGCTTCTATTCCCTTCGTACATGGTCCTGGCCAGCAGGTTCAGTTAGCCCCTGTGTCTGGGCCAGGGTCTAGCAGCCATAGTGGGTTGATCGATCCTTGTAATTTGTTCTGCAAAGTACGCAACTTTTTTTTTTTGAGCTTGTGCCACTCATATTGATAGCTTTTGTGATAGAACCTTGATCCTGAGATTGATTCAAATGCTCTCTTCTCGCATTTCCGTCATGTATGTCCCCCTTTGCTCCCCTTCTTTCTCATAAACTAAATCCTTGGTACAGTTCGGTCAAATTGTCAGGTACGTAGTCTCTAAAACCCCCAAGGTTTAACCTTGATAATTTAATACAGTGCTCGAGTCATGCGTACAGAGACTGGGGAAAGTCGAGGTTTTGGCTTCGTGTCGTATCAGACCCCTGATCAAGGTAGGCATCGAAAGCCTGAAAATATACCCCAATTTATCATCGGCATATATAGCGGCCGCGGCCATGCATGCCATGAATGGCGTCCAAATTGGTAGCAAGCAAATTGCTGTTCGATTACATGAACCTAAACAGCTGCGACAAGAGAAGCTGGCTCAGCGTTTCGGTGGACATAATGGACACCCCAGGAATTCTAGTGGAGCTACGAGTCCCACCCTTAGCGAAGGCGCTGAAAGCATTGGAGGCTGGGGCAGTCCCCGTCAGCGTTCTATCAACCTGGGATCTCTCCTGGCAGTCACCATGAGAGGACTGAACGGGGTCGACGGGGCAGTGGGAGCTATTACAACGTACGCTATAATTTACCCTCAAGCTTTCATCTTTCTGACATCATTCTAGGCTGCTCTGTCCGGCACACTCAATCTCCCCATGCGTTACGACGAGCTTGCCGGGCTCTCGCCTGTTGTTCGTAAAGAGGTTTTGACTGGAGACCTCAGCCGCCGAGTCAAGACCTTGGGAACAGTCGATGCTCAAGACGTTGACGCCGTCGTAGAAGCGCTACTCGGCGTCTCATTGAGCGAAGTTGTCCAATGCATCGAAGACCCCGATAAGCTATCTGACCATGTCGAGACCGTGAAGCGCAGCCTCCGTCTCTCTGAAGCTTCGCCACCAAAGTCTCGATCCCCTTCGGCATCAGCATCTCAGGGCTCGGCTGATCCCAATGGTCTTGCTGCCACAGCGAGTGCCCCTGAATACCCTTCCACACCCATATCCGCCAATGGTTCTTTAGCAACACCCCCTAGAACGTCATCCCCGTCTGGTTCTGTTCCACCGACGTCCGAGAGAGATCGGATGATCGCAGCCGTGAACAAGTTTGAATCGTCTCGTCAAGGCGAGCTTACTGAGCTCCTGATGAGCTTGCCGAAGCGCGAGCGTGCAATGTGCTTATTCAATGTTGAGATTCTTCGTGCGAAACTGGCAGATGCGAAGATGGTATTGGATAGCGAAGATGGAGAGGAGGAGGAGGAAGCTAATGTCCCTCAGCAGGTCCCTGTCACGCCTCAGAACAAGAAGACGGCCCCGCCGAAGGTGGAAGATTCACCGCAAACACCTGACCTCTCGTCTCGGGGCCCCTCAGCGACGGCGTCGCCCTTGCCAGGAACCCCTTCTGGGCCTGTACACACGATTGAAACGCTTGCGAAACTGCCAGCTGCTGAGGTTGTTAGATTGGCGTCGTCTTCTCATGCTGCTCTACCAATACCCAAAGCCGATCCGTCAATCGTCCAAGCTACCGATGCCTTCATCGACGGACTTCTGGATAAACCGACGCAGCAACAGAAGCAACAGTTAGGCGAGAAGCTGTGTGTTTCGTGTTGACGCTATTTTGTCCTGTACTGATGACATTGCTTTCTCAGATTCAAAGTCGTCAAGTCCTTTGGTATCAAATCTGCGGTGAGGCTGAAGTTCCGCATTTTCTGCCGGTGTTACTAAAGTTATGTTTGTTACAGCCGAAAGTTACTGTCGCGCTCCTTGATCAAGAAGATCTTCGCGCTCTCGCTCATCTCATGAACAGCTATCCCAGCGTTTTGAGAGATAAAGCTCAAGCCCTGGTCAACAACAAATAAGCGAGACTGTCTCTGTTTACCCCAGCTTTCGAACTGCTCTTCAATTCAGCATATCCATTTTCCGTTTCCACTCTCATTCAGTCACTCGGGGCTCCAATCGTATCTCTTTTATAACAATATATCGGAAGATCTTTACATTTACTATACAACTAGTTGTCTTTTTTTGTGATTTACCCGAGCTTGCTCTCAACGCCACCCACCACCCATTGCATCCCAACCCCTCTTTCTGTAGTACTTACCTTGATGACGACCTTTGATGATGACCAACGTTTTGTGATTTCACTCCAACAAATACTTTTGCTATTTTCCTTCTTATTTCTGGTGCATGTTTCTTCTCTGCTCCCTGAATACAGCACCTCGTTTTTTTCCTGTTTTCCTTTTGCATTTTGCATTTAATGGGGTTATGGAGAATTGTCAAGCGTTGCTAGGCTAATACGATCATATCTTGAATGTAATACAAGTAGTACTGTGTAGCAGAAAAGACGATGAGGTCCGGTTCGTTATCGATCGATCGAAATTTGGGTGGTGATTGCCTGAAATGGATGTCATTGTGCCATGGTGGTGCCAAATAAACACGGTATTTAGAGTGTGACCGTCAATGTCACACATCACAAAAATTTTCTTTCATCCACCCCACCAGCGCTCATCACCATCACTGGACGCCCAGGAAGATTTACCCCCCTCCCCTCATGTAAGTCTCTTTTCCTAGTAACCTATCTCGAGGATGAAACTATTATCTGCAAACCTATTGCGACGTGCACGTGAGTGTACATTGGGCTGGACTTCCTTCGGGATCCATTCAAGTCTCTGATTTCTTTTCATTCTACTATATATTTTGAGCATGAGCTGATGCCAATTCAGGTCATTCAATCTGCCTGTCATCATGACTTGACGCGTTGGAATCCAGGATTATATAGAGGTCTTATCAGTTTTTGGGTCGTCTTTCTATCGGGGAACCGTATCTTCCCACTGTAATGCAATGTGTTATTCTTTAAATCGCATTTTCACTTCGAAGATTATCGTGAGACCGACAAACATCAGAATTCTTTTCATGGAGCCCTCTGGGCCTGGTGCTGGACTGTATCTCAGGAATGGATTACTTCTTTTTTTTCGTAGATGTGCTGATTCTCAGCGCCACGGTGCCGAATGTCGAATTCGTTTTGAATGCTGGTGCCTGCATGTCTTTGTACAGCGTTAGATACGATCCTCGCCGCCACGTGCGAACTTTGAGAAAATAGGGGAGCGTGGGAAGGTTGATGAGGGCTGGGGATCCTTTACGCCTCTCCAACGCTTACGTCCTCCTTCCAGAGGCCCTTCGTCGTGCACTGCGGGGCCGGGTGCGACGACGACGACAACAGTGACGACGCGCCCCTGATGACAACGAAGAGCCAGCCATTTTCTCGGTTATCGCGCTTTGGTGTTTCCTTCAAGTCCAACCCCTCGTCGCGGAACCGAAATCCGGAAAAACCAGCTGCGGAGGACGACAACTGGTATATTCCGTACAATGGCCCTGTCGAGGCTCCCAGGCGACCGTACGCAAAGCCTAAAGAAAGGGACAGCTGGGGTGACTCGGTGTATGATGATGATGATGGGGACGTTGGCAGCCAGCGAGTCGCGCAGAATGGGTGGGATAAAGGGCGTCCTAGGGCCCATACGGAGTCTGCAATCACGGGAAGAAGTGGATTCGTCAGATGTGAGTCACCATGGATTTCGTAACCGACAGCCTACTCGTTCGTATGTCAATGTCGACCCTCCTGGAGGCGTAGGAGAATCTCCAGCACCTCGAATATCCCGCGAATCTACCTCGAAATCGCCTTTTGCCAGTATATTCTCTTTTGGTTCTGCAAAGAAACGAGCATCACCGCCCTCAGTTCTGACAAAAACTGATTCCAAGTGAGCGTCTTTTATTTTTCATGACGGCGACCTTTTCCCGGTCGGTTCGAAATGTGGTCGTGACTGTCAGAACTTCTTGGTTTGATAGGAGACAAACAATATGTGTCACTGAAACCATTTTACTTTGCATTTCGACCGACGCGAGAAAGTCACCTAACCGTGTTTTTATCATAAACTGATAGCAACCGGAACAGACCTAGTCGCCGCGATGTACCGGGAGCCCAGCGGCGATGACGAAGAATACTACAATTCATACTACTCCACGCTGGTCCAATCTCCACTCAGAAATCAGTACCCGTCAAGGCCAGACGATCTCTGTCGTTCTCCAAGCAGTCCTATTGGCCGTTCTGAAAACACACATTCTCCAGTATCCGGCCAGTCATCACCGACACCGCATCCTTACGCATATGTGTTTCCCACTCCTGATTACAACGATCCCCCCGAAAACAGCACCCCTCATGTCCATGAACAGTCGGGACTCTGATCTATTCCAACGCGCTTCCCATGCGTCCATCGCAGAGTACAGGCAACCCTCAGCGCTCGTCTCTTCACCCTTCGTCTGCTGCTGGTCATCGACTAACAAATTCCATCTCCTCTCCCGATTTGCGGCTTTCGCCAGCCTCCTCGTCATCACGAACGCAGCCTAAGTCTTCTATACTGAAAGGCAAAGATCGTTGGCTTTCACCAGAGACGTGGTGCGATGCTCTTTTCCTTCCCAAGCCTCGATTCAAGGTAAAGCAAGATGGGAGCGTTCAATACGGCAAAGGCAGAATAGTCAGCCCGCCGGGAAGCCCTGTCTTCGCGTCGTTCGGCCAGGCTAATCAGCCACCAGGTGTCTTGTCTCGCGCTCTGGCCCAATCTCGGTCGATGGTTGATCTTCCCCGTACGGCAAACAAACACGCTCCTGAGCCATTTTACATTGGTCACCCACAACCTTCAGCATCTGTCAACGCAGAAGCAGGTCCATCAAGGACCGCCACGGCCGCGAAGTCTTTCCCTTGATGATCTCGCACTTCCGAGCCCAGTACCGTCATTAGCTCGGTTCGCTTTTCTGCTTCTCAACGTCGCGACTATATGCTGATGTTATCGATTGTTCAGGGTACTCGAGGAAGGCCAGATTCTTGAACATCAACGTAAAAAATGGCAGATGCAGGCTCAGCGTTCATTTCAGAATAGCCGCGCACGTAGCCTTTCTCGAGCACGGACCAAATCACTTAACTCTAAACAGGCCAAGCGGGCGGAGAGTGATACTGTGAAACATCCACATATCGACTTCCTCGCTGCCCGCTCTCTTTTGGGTAATCAAGACCCAATAAATATCTCCACAAAAGCTAGGCTGCGCACCACGAGCCAACCCAATGGCAGTGGCGGACCTACCTTCTCAAGATCATCACACACACACTCGAATTCCCTGTCAAAAACGTCCAAGTCATCAAAATCACATTCTCAGGGTCACTCCAGGAACGATTCGTGGGGAAAGAAGGTCGTCAAAACAACCGGTGGGGTGCTCTGTGGGTTTGATGCGTCCGCTTTGACTCCGAACGAAGAGAAAAAGCTACCATTTGACGATGCGTTGGCCGGCGATGGAACGAGAGTCATTCGATTTGAAGACCCCTCGTCGGCTCGTGATTCTGTGGTGCGGTTGACCCCGCCACAGGGAACGTCGCCTACACCATCTACAGGGACCGACCTGCATATGGGTATTGCGCTGTCTACGCCACCGGTGGATATGGAGGATCGGGAGTCGATCAGATTGCCAGCTCATCCATACGCGCAAGGAGGGCGGTATACGTATACTAGTCCTCCAAGCCGTGGTTCAGATTATGCTGGTCCGCATCCCTCTTCGGTGACTGGTGGGGGTGACCGGGAACGTCTGGATATGTCTCAGCGTCACAGACTGCCTCCCCGAGCCTTTAACCATCCCTACGCCCAGTATGCCGATCGTGATTCGTACATCGAAAGTGACCGAATTATCCCTAATCCCCGTCCGGATAGTAATGTTTCGCCTGCCTCAAAAATGTGGGCGCAGCTGTCACCTAATGGGAAGGTGCAGGAGATACTTCCTGAAGAGATCAGGTACTCTCCGCTTATTCACGCAAAGGGAACAGGGTCAAATATACGGCATTCGGGGAATATCTTTGATACTATTGGTGTTGGGGAAGCGCTCTTTAGTGCTGGTGAGGTTCGGGGTAGTAAGGATAGTGGACTTGGTGCGAGCGAGGAGCAAGGCGTGCGTGCCCAAGTGGGTGAAAAGCCCCATCCGTACAGCAACTTCCGACAACCCGTGGCATATGATGTTACCAAACCCTTGTTTTTTCACAGGACCGCGACTGAAAAACCTCTTCCGTCACAACCAGGAGACACGACAGCAACACCGGAACGTCCGGCCCTTGTTCATGAGTCATCCTCCTCAACGGACCGGACACCAGAGACCAATTCGTCCCAGGCTTCACCCCGCCCGCTCGGGAGTCCCGATGACCTAGAGCATTTCCAAGACCTCTTTTATCGACCTAGCCAAGTGATTGGACCTGCACTATCTAGGAATCCCTCTTCTAGAAGCGGGCTCACGACTCTAGCGAATCAACTCAAGGAGTTTGAGGAGAGGGAACGGCACCTTTCGGTTGGCAGCAGCTCGGGTTCCAGTCGTCCTGGTGGTGGTGATGGGATGCAGTTCGTGCTTTCGGAGCGGCCTGAGGGTGCTCGTCGGGGGAGCATCATACCTCCGTTCCATCCGTCTGTGACTATCCCGGAAGATGTGGAATCTTCGCGTGCGTCTTCAGTGATTGAGCGATCACCGGTGGAGGCGGCTAGTGATGGTTGGTGAATCTTTTTTCTTTTATCTTGAAATCGACTTGTGCTCAATTTCTTTTCTTCTTTAGAAGCTTTCAAGTTGGGACAAGTAGAGTCCCAGGCAACACCCCTGGCCATGTCTAGCGCTCATCGGTCCTCTTTCATTGGACTCATGTCCTTCTCACCCGGTCGTAACCCGCCCGAGGAAGAAGATCCAGACAACACGATCACAATGCGGGACTCTCATGCTCTGCTACATCCTTCATCCTCAGGGCATCCTTCCACTGATCTCACGCGAAGTAGCTACTTGACTAATTCAAGTCTCTATTCGCGAATGTCCAATCTCTCTGACTTTCCCGTTCCGCCCGCCCGGGATGCGCCAGCGCGTGTCTCGTATACCAGTTCTTACTTTGATGACCAATATACGGCTCGCGATGCTCGAAGCGTCACGAGTAGCAAGCGTATGACCTTTGGTGGAGATGAGGAGATTGACCAACTACTGGCCAGTCTATCTACGAGCTGATTTTCCGGACCGACCTGCCTGTCCTACCAGCCATAATATTGGTTTGTATCTTTATTATTGTTATACTGTACTTACTTGTGAATCTTAGAGAGCTGTGCATGTCTTTCCTGATCTTTCGTTATGATACTTATTGTCATTTGATTCGCTGGGGTTCTGCTTTTCAATAATTTATACGTGTATATCTCTTGCATCACTTTGGATTGGTAGTACATGGCGCTGAAATACCTTTCATATAAGGAAAATAATAATACGGAAATCAGGTGCTACTCGTACAGAAGGAAACATCAGAGCAACTTCTCAAAGCGTTAAAACAACAGCACAGGTAAAGATCAAACAAACAGCGTTCGCCATCCCTCACTCGTCGTATTGTGTGAGCTACAGTCATGTTCATTTAGCGCGACGACAAATAAGCAAACATATAAAATCACTCACGTCTAAAGTCAAAGTAGATGAGCTATTGACCTCCTGGTCACGGTAAATTCCGACGAGGGAATTGCCTCGTTCATATAATGAACCCTTCAAGCTGATGACGATAAATTGGAAAGAATCCGAAGCCTGAGCACGTATATAGTTGGCAATCTTGGCAACGTTCGTGTTGTCAAGAGCGGCGTCGACCTCATCCAAAACAAAGAAAGGCGCGGGTTGATAGCTACACCAACATGTTCAAGTATTGCTGGGAAAATGAAAAAGGACTTTGGTCTGACCTGTGAATAGCGAATAGCAGCGCAAGGGCGGCAACAGTCTTCTCACCACCAGAGAGCTGTTCCATATCCCGGAAACGCTTCATGGGTGGCATCGCATGATATTTAATACCCGCGTTGTATGGTTCCTGCCGAACTCGTTTACACTCCGTCAACCCGAAACCAACGAGGGACGTACCTCATTGTCTTCCAAACTGAGGTATGCTACACCACCCATGGGAGCGGCCTTTCCTTTAGTCAGATCCTTGTAAACGACGTCAATCCGGTCGGAGATGTGGTTGTAGGCCTTGTTGAATAAGTCACATCTGGAATTCTGATATCAGTAAAACAACATTGTCATATGCTCAGGACATGACGCACCGCTTTTTCTTGATTTCTTGGAATTGATCGCGTGCGTTCTTTGAGTCCTTACGAGCCTGTTCTGCCTCTCTCTCCGTTTCGGCCAACTTGACCTCAACATCATCGAGACTAGGGACGGGTTCAATAAGCTGAAACATGTGTCAAATGGCGGATCAGTCCTTACCGTTCCATAGCTTTGAGGTTCGGAGCCATACGTTCAATTTCTCCGTTTAATTTGCTTATTGAGGCATCAAATTCCGCCAGCGCCTCTGCGGAACCATCCTGTTCGCAAAAAAGAGATCAGTCACCTATAAGTGTGCACCAAGCCTAGAATTACCTCTCGTTCGTCATCATCTAGGGTCTCGAAGTTGACTTCAATGCCAAAATCGTCAACACGTTTGGGTTGCTGCGTGCCATCTTCATCTTCGTCAACATCCATGGCGACTTCGTCACGGAGATTCTAGTGGTTTCGTTCAGCCTTGCATCATTGACATCACAAGGAACATAGATCACCTCTTCCATCGGTACATTCCTCAAGTTACCTTCCAGTAAAGGCAGTTTAATTTCCTCCAACCGACATTTACGATAAATCGCAGAACGCTCTAGAGCAAGTTTCTCGATTTCGTCGTTCTAGAAACACAGTTCTTTAGCACCGACAAAACTTGCGAATCAAGGGCCATACTCGAAGTGTGATCTCTTTGAGAGCCTGTTCGAGAACTTTCGATGCCTTGAGTGTAGTCCTCTTCACTTGGTCTACATGCCTGGTCTTTTCTTCGAGGGTCGACTGCAGTGTTGTCAGTTCTTCCTTAAGCGACGCTATCATGGCCTCCGAATTGGATATATCGTTCTCCGCGGCTTCTTTCTGATCCTTGAGCTTCTCCAGAACACCCTCTTCGGTTGATATTACACCCTCAAGATGCTGTAAACGCTCGCGCGCACTCTCCAGTGCTTCGCTTTCAAAATCGCGCCTTTATGTACCAAGGAAGGTTAACAGACAGAAGTAGTTCAATACACATAAAACATACTGATGCGTCAAACGTGCTATCTGACTGTCATATCGTAATCGGGCTTCACTTTCTTCTTGGGCAACCTTCAATTGGCGTTCTTCATATTCACGGATGTGCGAAACTTTGATCTTCCGGCAGAAAGACGAGAACACTCGATCTTCAGCAGTATTGATCGAAGACTTGAGGTTGGCAATCTGACCCTGTAGGTTATCGTATGCGCTTTGGACCTATGCCACAAACTTGTATCAGATATCAGCCGGATAGGCGACTTGATCGCACTCGACCTTTTTCAACTCGGGTGTATTGTTCTTCAGTTCCTTGTCGATGTGCCGAAGCTCATCTTTGATACCCGTGAGCCGGAGCTTGCAAGCAGTCTAGACACTCGCGAACATTAGCAAAGGAGTCTCGCGGTGGTAATGCACACATTACCAGATCATCCTTTGAGATAGTAATTGCCGATTCTAGACGAGAAACCTCTGCAAAGAGGTTGTCATCATTCTTTCCACGAGGCTTCTGCTTGCTGAGATCGCGAAGCGTGCCAAGAAGCGAATCTCTTTGACGTTTCAGGCCTTTCATACACCGCGTCAGCATCACAACTCTTACCGCAACGCAAAACGAACCTTGTACATCCTTTTCATCCCACTTCTTTCCTCCACCATGAGTACTCCGGCCACCAGTGATTAAACCACTCTTGTGAATGATTGTACCCTCCAACGTCACAGCTACATACAAAGTCGTCTGAATACTATTCACTGATGTAGAACAGAGAACACGATACCTTTCACTTCCTGCCCTTTTTCGTAACAGACCATCCTCGCCACCTCCATCGTATCACAAACGAGGGCGTTGCCACACGCATGATGCAAAGCCCGCTCTACCGCCGGTTCATACTGTATCACATCGAGTGCCAACCTCGCTCCTTTCGCAAATGACCGGAACTTGTCATTGACTGGCTTCACTTGAATCGTGTCCAAAGGTATGAATGTCGCCTGTCCGGCGCGTTGCGTGCGCATGTACTATGTACACATCAGGGAAGTCATATTCATGTCAAGGAGGAAGAGAACAAACCTCAATACAGTCAATGGCTGTCCTCTCTTCGTCAACAACGACAGAATCCGTGTTCCGTCCCAGCACAACAGACACTGCGGTGTCGTACTTCCTTTGAGAAGGCTTGCACAGGTCGACAACACGTCCGCGAACACCTTTATGGTAGAAGATAAGTAGAGTGAAGAATAAATATGGGTGACTGTACGCCTACCTGGAAACAGGCGTTGAAGATTGGCCAAGGTTTCCTTCAACTTAGCCTCCTTTTCCGACTCGTGCTGGTCAACGCCTGCTTGCAATAACTGCTGGTAGATGTGTTGAAGTTTTTCGTTAGCTTGAGCTTCTAATTGCCTATAATACAATACACATTGTTACAAACGTCCTCAAAGAATAATTTGTCAGGCACTTACGCAATCTTAGTCCGCTCCGATTGTTGATTGTCCAGTTCCTGCTTGGTAGCAGCTAGCTCAGCCTGAAGGGTGGATATTTTCTGTTCCAGCTGGTAGACGCAACACCTTTAAACTTGGGACAGACGACTGACGTACAGACACACGTACCTCGGCCTTCTTCTCAGTCTGCAGACGAGAGTCTTCGATTCGCTGATTCCGCTTCTCGGTATAGCTTTGCTGTTTTTCTCGGAGAAGATTTAGGGTCCGTCCTGAGGTTTTCTCGTCCCTGGTCAGCATTTCTAGCGATTGTCGCTCATCGACGGCCAGCGAGCTTGCAGAGGCTTTCCTGTGTGATGGATGTCAATATCAGGGGCAGTACAGAAAGAACATTGGCCTACAATCGCGCATACTCCTCCAGACTCTCTTCACTCAGAGCCATGTTATGCTGTGAAGCCATCCTCTGTGCCTCTAAGCAAAGATATCAAACAACCCCTACATAAAAATGGGTGGGAACGAACCTTGAGCCACGTTGGCAGCCTTCTGTACAGTCTCAAGTTCATTCTGCAGCTTATTCACGCGTTCGCTGACGTCCCGCTCCGTTTTTTCCACCTCTTCCTTCGTCTTCTTGGCCTTGTTCATCTTGCGGGTAGAGTGAGCAATTTGGGCCTCTAGGGCCGCGAGGTCGGGTTTCTGAGGTAAAATTGAGCAATTTGTGCTCTGAGCATGGATTTGTGTTACACACCTTTCCTTCTAGTGATTTATCGGCCTTTTTTATCTTCTTCTCCATTTGCATGACTGATGTCCGCGATTTAGCCTGGTCTGCACGGGCTGTCTCCAAAGCCTGGTCATGGATACGTTGTTCATCTCGAAGCCCTGCTAACGCCTTATTTTGCGTCGTAATTTCTCTTGAGTTCGAATCTATGTTCTCTTCGATATGAAAAAGCTTGAAGAGGATCCGTTGGAGATTCAAATGGTCCTGATGGCCAGTCAGACAACCGAAGCATTAGAGCGAGTGGAACGTACGCGTTTTTGACACAAAGCTTCGAATCTTTCTGCTTCACCCTTTTGCTCCTTGTATTGCTTGATCTCCCCCGCGATTCCACGTCGCTTCGAAAAGTTAAACGTTGCGTTCTCAGTCGCCCGCTCTTGGTCCTCCTTAGCTTTTTCATATTCTGCAGCAAGCTCCAGAGATCCACTGATTTGCTCTATAAGCTTTGCAAGTTCGCGGGGTGACTGAGACGCGACAGCTTCAACATCACCCTGGAAAACGAGGAAATTCTTGGCTTTGACAAGGATGTTATGGGAGATGAGAGCGGCGTTGTAGTTGGTGTATGTAACAACCTTGCCGTTAAGTTTGTATTCCGAAGCGCCAGTGGTAGAGATCCTAGACAGAACGCATTAAATGCCGCACATCGGAGGCAACGCAACTCACGTTCGTTGAAACAGCCACTCTTTTCCGTCCCCGTCTACGTACACTGCTAGCACCCATGCCTTCCTAGCGGTGCCCTCACCCTCATCACCATCGTCCTCATCAACAGATCCGGTTCCCTCTTCAATGCCGCTCTTGGCTAGTTTCCGACCGCGGTACACAAGATCCTTCAATTGAGAGCTACGTAGCTGTGCGCTCTTCACACCCAGAACGAAGGATATGGCATCCATCAAATTGGACTTTCCTGCTCCATTAGGTCCAATAATTGACGTGAAATTCTTGAACGGTCCAATGGTTTGGTGTCCGCTGAAGAAATCGGACATTAGGGGTGGCTCGCGCCAATCCTATGAGGAACGTACCGATATGACTTGAAGTCGCAAAGCTCAATGCGTACAAGGGGCATATTTGCTATCAGTGAAGTCGATAATGTACAAGGAGGGAAGAGAAGAGTGTGGCAGCCAAAGGCTGCAAATGTTCGTCACGGTTCGCGTCAAGGCGCGTGTCACATCAGGTCACGCTTTTGTTCACGATAAAATGCCTGCCCCTGCCCGATAGACAGTACTGATCACTGCTTTACAGTACTAAACTGTAACACGGCTACGAGCTACTCTCACATAGAATCTTCAACCCTGTATCGTCAGGGTGTAACATTGAGTGAAGACCACCGGGTTGGCTCTGTCCTCACATATCCGTAATGGCGGGGCAAGAAAGATGGTTATATTATCACTGTCATAAAATCACTCCTCTGCTTGTGCCTGCGCCTTGAGTTTCGCCAGCTCCTTCATCCGGCGAAGGTAGCTGGATAGCATCGTTAACAGGAAAGTGGTTCTACAAACATGGATACGCACTCGTCATATTGACATCTGCATGACAAGATATATCAGCTCAAGGGCCACCCTACAACGACAAGTAACGCACTTCTCGTATGCATGCTTCTCATGTTCGCATTCCCATGGGAGATAGTTGTTCTTCGTCCGACAGACGTTGAGCGGAATGAGTAACCTGCGCAATATTTGTCCCGTTGAGCATGATTCCTTCTGGAGGCCAAGAGTGTAAAAAGCAGCATACGCAGAGCATGAGTCTCTCCAGTGTAGTGGAACTGCGTTCGCCTTGAGCTCGCTTTGGGAGGCCGTTGTCGACGAAGGCATTCTTGACGGTGGTGGTCGGGACCGTGTTTGTAAGTGTTTCCACTCTGTGTGCCAACTCCGGGCCGTCAGTACCGGTGCCGAGATTTTCTTCAGATAATGTCCTTAGAAATGGCATCCTCGTCACCATTTCTGCTACTTACCTTCAAACTGTGATCTTCGCCACGATAACAATCGCACACGACGTGAATTGTATCTATTTCTTTAGCCCCAGCCCATTCTCAGTCAGCAACGCAGTGTTGTCATACTTACTTCTTTGGTTTCAGATGTAGCAGACTCGGATATTGCATTCAAAAGCCTCAATAGTCCGTCAGCTATACTGTAAGTGCAGCTATCTGTGACACTTATTGAGATTCTAGTGCCACATTCTGAACATTTACTATACCCTTCACACAAACGAGGCAGACCCACAGCTGATACACTGTGATGGTCTTTACGGAACTGCTTCACGGCCCCTCGCCATGGATCTCATAAATGGAGTTTGTCTCCCTTATGACCTAGTTCCTCCGCGATGTACCTCTGCATCTGCATTAATCCAACCTGAGAATGTCCGTAAAATTGGGCAGGTACGACTCCACATTGATGATCATGAGGAAGTCGACAGTAACAAAGCGTCTCAGGTATGAATGATGGGGTGGCGATTGCAGGTAAGTTTGTATTGCAAGTCCGGCTCTTGTGAACCATCCCTGACCCTCGACAGACATGTAAAACACGCGACGTACGATGTACGAGAATACGACTACTTACTTGGCACCATCTTGGCACGTCCCCAGAACCTTTTCGCATAACTACCAACTCCAGCGTTCAAATTTCACTTTTGAGCTGATCAGCGTTTGTCTAATAGCAACAATGAACTCTTTGCCTCGCTGATCTCAGTGATCTGCATCAAGCCATCGCAGAGTCCACTATCTTCCGGTGCAACCGGTCTCTCAGTCCTACATGTCCGATGTCAGGGAGCGACAGACGGAAGTCAAACTACCCTCACTGACACGTGTCCACAAATTGAAAGTCTCTGGGGGATATTTGTAGCTCGCGAATGCGTGCAGAGAACCAGCTCTACCTGCCGAGATGCCGCAATATTCTCACAACGATATTTATAACCTCATGTAGCAGCTCACCTCACCACGACAACCGCACATGCACAGTCTCTCCTCGCAAAGGATTTTTGGTAACCTCGTGCCTCGATCAGCCGCGCTTAATACCATCTTGCCGACCTCCATCTCAAAGTGCGGATTAACCACCAGCTGTACCTGTTTGAATGTTTGCGCCATCAGGCCGTCAGGAACCTCCGTATGATCGATACCTGCAATAAATGAAATCGTAGGCGACCCAGTATGCTTTCAAGTGATCATCAAAGTCTCGCACAGTCCTTTATATCCCTGGATTTACCGATATATCCGCATCACGTCGGCCCCAGTAGACCTTATAAACCAAGTGTCGGTAAAGTAGCGCATACCATCCATCTCCCCAACATGGCTGCTTTGGTTCAACTAATTGGGTGGTTCTTCCTATCTCTTTCTTTTATTCTCGTCAACGGTGACCCGACCGCCACCCTACCTTACGGTACTTTCCAAGGATATTATTCCGGAAACCTGTCTCTCTTTTTAGGTGTCCCGTTTGCCAGTCCACCGTACGTACTGTGTCGTTTTCTAGTGAATTAAAAACCTCTTTCTTACCCTCCAATTATAGGCTTGGTTCCCTTCGATTCGCCCCACCTCAAGCTCCAGTAGAGGTCGACGGGATCCAAAATGCTACAAGTTTCGGGGCCGCTTGTCCCCAACAGCAAAGCTCCATACCGGATGTCCTTCCATTCGAGATCTCTATGGGGTCCCCCTCCAACGTATCGGAGGATTGTGAGCCATTTATAGTTTTTTAATACCCCCTCTCTGATATTCTGCTCAGGTCTGACTCTGAACGTTTGGGCACCAATAACAAATGCCTCTGAACCACTTCCTGTTGCCATGGTACGTATTCTCACTACTCCCGCTTGCCTTCGTAGCTCACTACGTTATCGTAGTGGATTTATGGAGGTAGGCACCCTTTGCCAGACGCCTAGTCTTTTGTAATCTAGTCGGCAGGCGGTTTCGAGACTGGGTATACGGAGGCCTACGATGCATCCGATCTAGTGGAGCGATCTCTAATCTTGAACGAACCTGTTGTCTTTGTTTCAGCAAATTATCGCGTCAACGGTAATTCCTTATTTATTAACACCGCAACGCCAGTTGTTCTTATCTGTATACGAAAGCTTTTGGCTTTTTGGGCGGCAAAGAAGTCCAGGATGCAGGTTTATCTAATATTGGTCTACGAGACCGTAAGTAATGATTCTATTCAACATCTTAAAAATCTACTGATACACGGATAGAACGATTCGCGATGCAGTGGATACAATCATACATCTCCATATTTGGTGGGGATCCGACTCGCGTTACACTGTACGTGCTATTCCTATCTCACTCGCTCTCCATCTCAATGTTTGCTACGTCATAGTTGGGGAGAAAGCGCCGGAGCCATCAGCGTCGGTCTCCATCTCCTTTACAATGGCGGAACAACTGATGGCCTATTCAGAGGAGTATTTATGGTACGACTATATTTTCTCTCGGGTTTCACTCCGTTTCTAAGTAATACATAGCAATCAGGCGCTCCTTGGACTACGAGGAATATATCCTATGGCCAACCTACTTTCGATCGCATTGCACATGAAACAGGGTGTAATACATCCGAGTCTGTTATCGACTGTCTTCGCGACGTTCCTTATGATACCCTCTTGGCGGCGATAAACACCCTTCCTTCGGTTTTCGAATACACAAGTTTGAATCTCGCTTTTCAACCCTACAACGACGGTTTGATTCTGGACCAAAATGCCCAGAAGGCTGTACAACAGGGACAATTCGCCCATGTTGGTAGTTACCCCGTTGATGGCGATCCTGTCTACTAATCAATGATGGCAGGTTCCATTTGTGACCGGGAGCTGCGCAGATGAGGGAACTTTTTTCTCCTTAGGAAGCACTAATATCACGCGCGTTTATCTCCTGCCTTTACCTGACAGAAATCTCATGCTGATGCTAACAGGACCGACCCCGAATTCTCCGACTACGTAAACACGATGTGCGCTGTTCATATTCTCCGCCGCAAAATATCTAACCTGAAACGGGTCTAGGTACTTTCCCGAATTAACTTCCAGACGCATGAACGATGTTAGCTCCGCCTATCCAGACGATCCTGCAGAGGTGAACGTCCGCCATCATCGGTGTACCTGAACTACTAACCTCATTTCATTATGGAAAGGGCTCTCCTTTTGGTACCGGTAACAATTATACTTTAACGTGAGTTCCTGGTGATTCCGTGGACTTTTGACGCTAATTCAGACTAGCCCGGAGTACAAACGAATCGCAGCGTTCAATGGCGACTACTCATTCCAGGCACCACGCCGGCACTTTCTAAACGTAGCATCGCAAACGCAGCCGGCTTGGGCATACCGTAAGTCATTTTATTCTCAGATTCACTATATCCGGTAATGAGCATCACAGTGTATTCAAGGGGAAATACGACCGCCTATGTTGGTGCATATCACGGGTCAGATCTGACTGAATTCTTCAGCTTCGGCGGATCCGCATCTAACAATGATTTCATTGGTACTGATGCTCTAGGTGGATTCATCCATCAAATGTTACATCATATTCTCAACTGACCCTGTCTTTGTCCAGTCAATTTCGCAACAAACCTGGACCCAAACTACTCCCCTAACACCACGGGCCAAGGAATTAGCTTGCTGGAGACGACCTCATGGTCAGAATGGACATCAGCGCAGCGAATGGCGGAGTTCACTGATTCATCTCCGCTGTTGACATTCACGACCGACACATATCGCGCCACTGCCATGCAGGTGCTCACAAACCTCTCCTTACAAGTATGATGTTTTGTGCCATCTGCTCGGTCGTTCGCCATAGCAAACCCCTCCTTTACCGCTACTACTCGGGATCGTGTAAATCTGTCGGTCGTTGCAAGTGCCTATTTGCAAAATATTCAAACAAATCTAGCATAGCCCCAGAAATACGGAATACATAATGCGACAAGTAACAATACAACGGATTATTGCGTGTGTATCAGAAGTGGCTCGTCCAATGAGAACCGTTTAGGCATCAGAGTGACCATCCTGTGCTGTTGAATGGCTTTACCATTCGACCCGAAGTACCGCCCACTTTCGAAATTCCAGCAATCATTGGCGCGGACCCAGTTTGCAATACCGTCGAGGTAAAGAGACGCGATGTTATCTATGCCGGGTCCCCATGTCGGTTTTTCCTGCCACAACCTTAGAAACCTGGTCTTGATCGACCGATGAAGATCTTCCACCCATAACAATGCACTATCGAGATCACATTTCTGCTCATCCATGACGCACACAAGGATGTTATGGGGGTATTCCTCCGAAGCCTGCTCCTTATTATACGAAGCAAGATCCTGAAGACTGTAAGTGTTGTAGCTATATCCAAACCAGAAGGCCTCACGTTGTCAATGATTATCAGCTCACCACCTAAGCGCCCCAGTTCGACAACGGTTGGATGATGAAACACCTCGTCAGGCAAGTCATAGCCGAGCTCTAGTACCGCATACGACGGGTCGGTGCCAATGGTAAGTTGTCGGATTTCAAAGTAATCTTCGACATTCCGGGTATAGCACTGATGACGATCCTCTGCCTGTGCCACTACAGAATCCATGTAACGTCCAAAAGTCTCAACGATGCGTTTCTGAGAAGTGATACTTGATGTTTTGATGCCAAGAGCCCAGAACCTATCATCGGGAGTTGAAATTAGAGAGCAAGATCAAAACCCATGAAACCTTACTGCTGTGCAACAACTCCGAGAACAACTTCATCGTTGGGTCGTGGTTTGAAAGGGTCTCTAAGCGCGTCCTTCACAATTTCGGCATATTGACGGACGACTTCTGGAGTTGCGTTATCCGTGTACTCGTCGAAAACAAAAAACAAGTTCATCAAGTCGCATCCAGTGCGCAGTTGTTCTACGCGGAAGTCATTCCGGGAATACATGTCAAGCACGACGCCACGTACCTTTGGTTGCCGTTGTGTATGCTAATGAAGCTAATAAACCTGGTCAGAGTCAGATAAGTCAATGCAGGTCGATTTTGAACAGAAGGCGCTATTACTGAAGTTACAGCGATCAAATGCACTGGAAGAACGTCAGCTCTTACAACTCAAGAATATTATACTAGAGGTCTACCGTTGAGCTTCTGGTGTAAACGCGTTGAAAGAGCGAAACCATGCTTCCGATTCTGCCTTCACTTCTTCATAATAGGGATTGATTTTGCGAGGCCAAGGCCAGTCTGCCACTGTTTCTGGGAGGCGAAACGTGACAATGCCAGATTCCATGACCATGTTGCGAGGAGAAATCGGAGAAATACAGGCTGCTCTTGACAAAGAAAAGCCGCTCTTCCACAGACATATTTATACCTCGGAGCGGACTTCAAAGGCTATGGTATCTGCGAGAACACAGGAAGTTCGATTGCGCTGGCCGACCTGGAGTGGGATGGTAACTCACATGTGGCTTACTCTGTGATAACAACCCGGCGGATGTTTTAGTGCACGGTTCTGTTCCGAGCTGTTTAATCAAGGGCGCCCAGAGCTGTAAGTTTTGCATTTTCCCTTTCTTCTTGAGCAATGTGCGTCTCGCACAGCATAATTGCGACCACAAAGCTGTAGAACGTCGGGTTTCGATTAAGAAAGCCAACTCCATCAGCCGCAAGCTATAGCTATTGGTTTACAATTTGAATGACAGGACAGGATGCTGGACATTCCCCGCCCTGGAAACATATGGAGTATTGGAAATGTCTAGGCGGTACGCGGGTTTAGCTGGGCTCACCGGCAGTTCGATCGAAGATATCGATATCAAAGTGATATCAATCCATACTGGTACTTTTGTTCATCGTCCTACCTGTCGCACGTTGTCAACCCTTACAGACCCTGACGAAACAAACAAACCAGGGTCCGTTCCAAGCCGGGAAATCAAATATATACATAGATTGCGCCGTCAGATCGATGAACGATCTTCGGGCGGGAGCTGGCTTACTGAGCTAGCTCTGCTTCAGAAACGGCAATGGCGAAGGATATAGACCAGTCTCTGTCGATTTCCAAAATGAAGCAAACACCAGAATGGTGCTGTAACGGATTGAAACCCGGAAGGATATTGACATCATCATTCCGACGAAGACGTAGGTTTGTTTTATTTTTCTATGACTTCCTGCCTGTCGGCGTTACTGCTCTTTTTTTTTTTAAGAGGTCCATAAGATGATGCAATTTTCTTTTCCTTCCTCTCTATATTCTCTGCTTAAGGCTTAAACGTGTCGGAGTAGTAAGTACTTCCACTGTCCAGAACACGATACTGGTATATACGATAGCTCGTTTTTGTCCATGCAGTCATGCTCTGAACAGACCGTTTTCTTCCCTCAGCAAAGGTCTCGTGGAGGACTCTTATTCAACCGTATTAATTTGGTTAGTCAATATTGGCAAGCAGCGGAGTTCACAATTGGGCTTTGATGAGTGACGGTACATCTGGAAATCGAGGTTCAAATTTGCACTCGAAATGAGCTGGGCGGCTGTTCAAACCCACATGAATAACCACCTCCACAGGATCGTACAGTAATTCGCTACTCACACGATAAGCCCAGTGTTCACGAATTCGTCTTTGGGTGGCTTCTCCGAAGTAGAAATAATATCGAAGGACCACAGGATTATGGCAATGTTGATGAATAATGAATCTTTAGCGACAAATCGTCCAATACATAGCCTATGAAAAGTCGATGAGTGAGGATTTGTCCACACAAACTAGAATCGAGAATATGTTACCGGTTGCCGAAACCCCAACTTCCGTGCCCTTCCCCTTTGGTATTTTGGAAGGTTCGAAGAATCGTCCCGCTTGGGTCGAGATGACGACTCGGATTGAATTCATCAGCGTCGGGGCCGTAAACTGACTTATCTCTGTTCATCGCCCTACAGAAAATTGAACGCAGGTACCACAGAATAGAAGACAGTATTACCAAACATTGGGAAGGACAATCGTATCCTTTGGTATATACCAGCCGTTATAGTAGTCGTCCTATATTGCGAGAGGATGAATGGGCTGAGGGCACTACCAATCACCATTACAAAGACTTACCTCCATGGTACGATGAGGGCTACTTATTGGGCTTACAGGGTTCCAACGAAGGGTCTCGCGAATGATAGCTTGAACAAATGGTAATTGGTCCATGTCAGAAAAGGTCGGTAGACGATCTCTCCCTACCACGGCGTCGATTTCTTCATGAGCACGTTTCTGCACGTCGGTGTGGATAGTCATTGCGAGAACGAACCATGTAAGAGTACCGGATGTCTAATGCACCGTCAAACATGCTGTTTAATTGGCCATAACTGTTGAATCACCGTTTCGGTACCTGCGGCACTAAATTAAGGCAAGGGTAATTAAGGTTTCAAGGATCAACTGGACGGCACTTACTACATTGTTCCTGAGAGCCAGGAGGACTCTAACCGGCTTAGATCGTGGTTTTTACTGTGCTCCGTGACTAAAGTCGCCGCAAAACTACTCTGACTGTCCCCTTCGGCCTAAGTGGATAATCTAAGGTGCAATGGTCGAGATGAAGTGAAAAGTTAACTTACGATCAGATTTTCCACATTTCCATAAAGACTTTGAAACATCTTTGAATCTTCACGGAAGTAATATTCAGCTTCACGCCGCCATGGTGTCATGAAACTTGGAAGATGTTTCATCCACGGAAAGAAATCTACAAGATGAGCACCTGGATATGTAGCCGTGACTAGACGTTCAACAAATTGGTTGATCTGTGGCAAGGCGGCAAAGGCGTTTGATCGTCCAGCAGAGAGCCCATATGTAAGTGTATAGACTAGGAGAGCCGCGGACCTAAAATCTGTTATATCGCTCAATCCAAAGCCACACAGAAAGACAACATACTCTCGAAACAAATGACTCCAGTTATCAGGTTTTGCAATTATAGCCTCAGCGAGCATTAAAGCTTCGCGGACCTGAACCGGTTGTAGTTCTTGTGCAGTCTTCTTAGAAAGACCTTCTGCTGCGGCCCTTCTCATTTTGCGCCACCTACGAAGATGTTAACAAACCGCAAACTGCAGAAGAGCTAATGACTGACTTGTCTCCGACTCTGGCCAGAACCATGACCAGGCCACCGCATAGGACGTCTGAGCCAACGTAGGCGTCGGGCCTATCTGAATATATTCGAGCTCGTTTGTCTAGTAAGTCTGAAGCTACTTCATGACTGTTAATAACGATGATATCCTTCCCGAAGACTGATATATAAATGAGAGGTCCTAAGTTGCCAAGTTTCAACAAAACGAAACGTTCGATCCAGAAATCACGTACCGTAAGTCGACTGTAAATCCCGAAAGGTAACCCAGAGAGAATTTGATAGCTGCTTCACGTTTCCTAAGAACGGAATCCCTGGCGGTCCTGGTGGTAGGGAATGACGAGAAAGTCGGCCCAGGAGAGATTTCACCAGTGCGAAAATTAGAAGAATTGATGCAAAGAGCACTCCTGGTGACAGACTCCAATGTAACGTAGTGAGCCAGGACATAGTAGTTTGGCAGATTCTGTACCAAGACTGTGTCTGTAGTTGTAGGATGGGTAATGACGTTATTATACATCGCATTCTTCCGATTGCAGTTCTGATCCGTCGTACAGCTGTTATTACTCAGAAACCTGAGTAGCGAAAAGGGCTGAAAAAGGTCAATTCAAAGATGCATAGAGGCGATTCCGAAATTCGAAGGACCCTGTTCCGAAATGAACTGGAGTCGAACCAGCTGGGGAATCATGCATCAATCGGACCACATTTCCGTTGTCAACAACAGCAGGGCTACTACGGGGCCCAGAATAATGACAGGGTTGACTTACCTAATGAAAGCTGTTGCATCACAAATGGGAACGAAACGCACCCATATTCTGGGGATCGACGAATGACATGAATCACCAGTTTCCTGATGAAGAATGGGCTGGGCATCATGCATCATGATACTCAGGGCAACCTAAGCAAAAAAGCCGAAAAAGAACGCGAACTTGCCGGAGCGTGCCGCTGTCACTAGTGGCGGACTTTTTTTTTTTTTCAAAATCAAGGGGGAGATTTCGTAAAAGACGCTAAGCGACCCAGCGTAGCACGGCAGCTATCGGATTTGCTGATGTCGAATTCAAATATAAATATCTAATAACTCTAAAATAATCATATATATCATGCCAACCCAGTATACAAAGCCGTGAATACTATACAACATTGTTCGAAGTATACGTTGTTACATCATTTAAACGTCGCTGGGTAGTTTGTACGGAGCTGCCGAGTCAGCACTGCGCCTGTGTTCAGCGAACACCATTTCCTGCTCCGTTGAAAGGATGAGGGTATCAGAAATTTCCCCGCCAGAATGGATCTTGCCGGAACGAATTTTATGTCTATCGAAGCTTCCGTCTCCTTCAGACGATTTTGACATGCGGGATAATGGATACGCAAAGGAGAGATTCTTCGAGACACCATGAATCATCCCAAGCCCAACCCGCGCAATGATGAGAAGCGGTGTCATAACCTAGGGTCATTGAAGATAAAGACGACTAAATGGGAGACAGTACAAGGAACTCACAGCCAACTGAGTAGATATATCGATGCCATTCAAAGCGAGCACACTTCCACGAACGTATAAAATGAGCATAACGAGAGTTACAGCTGCAAACATGGCACCGGACTCGACGATAGTCAAGATCGTCGACAGATACCTGTTCGTATGTGAATGACTGCCAACTTGTCGCCCCATAAACCATAGCCGGAAAGCAATGGCCGCTGTTACGCAGACATTCACCACAAGATCTAGAGACCAGCCAACCGGCCCTATATGTTTGATTCTGGGAGAGTTGATATCCACTGCTGGTTGAGCAATCAAACCGGTGGCGGCGTATGCGGTTCCTGCTCATCAAGATTAGATGATTGGATGGTGCTTTGATTAAGAGCTACTGACCCATATGTGCAAGTTCGACAATAATCTATGGAGAGAACAGATGTGAGAAGACCTCGAATAGAGCCGGACAAGACATACCGGAAGTACTACAACTTTCCAGTTGTAACCCCAGACCACGTACAGACGCCAAATCTAGAATCATTCGTCGTTTAGCAGGCGCAAGGGTTGGATAGTGAATGTTGATACCAAGATCATATCCTGAAGGAAGACCTAATGCTTAAATCAGTCAAGAACCGTATAAATCTGCACCGAGGGCTATGACTCACACTTGTATCGTATAGAACAGTTTTTGCGACAGCAATTCCACGTGCATTGTTAGACCAATAAAGTATCGTGTATGTGGGGTCGGCAGGTTGAGGGACGTCAATGAAGGCCTCCAGCAATTCTCTCAAAGACAGAGATACATGTGCAGTAGCAAACAGGAATAGGGCAGTCGATGTGATGGCTAACAATCTGGGAACAGGTGATGCATTACTGAGATACACTTTGATCTTGAGATGAGCTTACCTCGGAGAATGGTGCTTTCGTATGAGAACGAACATTGCACCTATGAAGATGATAGCGCTTTGCATTTGAAGGTAAGAACCTGGACCCGTAGCGCGAAGTAAACGCACTCACTTCATTCCTGTTTGGCCATTTGTGAGTAGAAAGCGTGAACTGGGAGCCGAGATGTAATCATACCCCATAGACATGTCTCTATCCAGATGCCAATAAGCGCATTCTTGTCAAGGCGCGGAAGCGCCATTTCCGAAGCCATGGGTGCGAGAGCGAGCGGCGAAACGTTGGCCAATTTCAAGTGCACCCGCTTATGTAGGCGGAATTCCGCATCAGACAATGATGTCCAAGCGTGGCTCAAAATCAAGGGCAAACTCAATCATCTCCATCTTGATGACGACCGTGCTCAACACCGAATTTAAGTTCCGTTTTCGCCATTTGTATGGAGGACCTTTACGATCGTGCCGAACGTCGCCGATCAGGCGCCCCAGCGGGACCAGGCTTTCAGCCGCAACATATGCGATCGTAACCAGTGCCTAGGTCCTGGCCTAAAGATGGTACCAGATCTCCTTAGGATCTAAACCACAAATATCAAGGATAGCTGGTTCCACAGAACAATTGAACAAGGAGGAAAACGGCAAAAACGACAAAATAAGGGCGGTGGAGGTCAGATGGTTAAACATTGCAGTCAAGTTGTAATGCCGGCATGTGCTATAAATTTATCTTGACTGATCAACGGAATGCAACACATGTGCGCCACAGGTCCCATCTTATCTCGTGTTGTTACAAGCTAACATGAGAAACAATGTGGAGGAATTGCTTGATGGCGGGCATAGCAAAAGGCTTTCGATACGGGTAAACAGTGTGCCAACAATCAGGACAGTTCAGGAGGCGCGACGTACCGGAGAGGAATGATAACTGGTAGCGGGGTGCTAGGCGATCACATGTGGCTGGAAACGAATAAAGGCCGTCTTATGATACGGAGGACCCACGCAAGTAATGCTCTAGACTTCACCGGACCGTGTTAAGGAATAATCTATCCTCCGACGCAGCCGGCACCCGACCCAAGAAATTCTGCTCTTCACAGCACCGAACTGTCCACTGCGCCGGGTTTCATGGCAGAGGAAAGCAGTAGTCAAAATTTCGTTATACTAGGAAGATCAAATGTGACTTCTTGATGGAGTCTTGTGGATAATCCTCAAGATGGTGGCGAAACTGTTCGACGAAACATTCAAGAGACTGAACAAACGACTGAAGCCTGGAGTACCTCGTCCAGTAACCCCGTTGATAGACGTTTGAACTCGTGCGTTTTGTGGCGGCAGGTAACTAAGAACCGGGGCCCTTGGTACTCCTTTCGATCCCCACTGTCACTGCATTTCCGGAAGCATGCGATCTTGTTTTAAGACGGAAAAAAATTGTGCTTGATTCCTACTTCGACATGCGACATGACCCCGAGCTCCAAGTGGCGAATGTCTGCGTTGTCAGTGAGTCATATACTTATTTCCGTGAGTATCCGAATCCCTTTGAATCGGGGAAGAAAAGGCGCATAGAAGGAGCTTGGCAACATTCGACGTTCGAAAACTGAAGCGATCGGCATTTGCCGCTGGCTGCTCAAAGCTTCAAAGCCCCCTCCCCTCCCGGCCTGGCAACGGCCTTCACAATTTTCCTGTTACTTCCTTCCTTCCTTCCTTCTTGTTCATGTCTGAGATTGAAATAATATTGTTTTCTTCAGCAGAAGCTCCGATTTTTGAGGAAATTATTAATTATATACGTATGCCAGCTATCTCACATCTAATTCACCGTATTTCAATTTTACGACACTGCACCTGTTTCGGAGTCGTTTATATAAGTCTATTTTATCTCTAAGATTGGTTTTGCTCTAAATGTTTCAAATCAGAACCAGCATCCTCAAGTGACCCTCGGCGTACTATGCGCGGCCTCCAGCAATGTGAAACAATCCACACTAAAAACCACAATCCTGAGTCGTTGAGGGATCAAAAACCCTGTCGTTGTCTCTGGCAGCGTTTGGTTGGAGGACAACTCTAGAGGCGGTTCGCAAGCCGGCTTACGTCCAGAGGCGGTAGCTAAATCTTGAAATATCGAATAGGCACCTCTAGGTGACCTAGTCCACTTCTCGTGTAACAAATGTCGCTGCGATTCGCTGCAATTCTACTTTATCTGTTTTCCCGTTTCTTGGTGGATGAACTAATTACTAAGTTGCTCTGGATATGCCAATATGAAGAGGACAAACCTTGTTAAAGGAAGGCACTTGAGAGGGAAAATCTTGGAAGGAACAGCATAACTGGGATGTATGCGCGTGACCGCCTCTCGAATAATACTTGGATCCACCGTCTCTGGTGAATAGAAAGACCATAGCTCGCCCTCGATCAGCAAAGAGCACGCGCTTGAAACTTCAGAGCAGCGAAGTATCGTTGCGGTCACCCCATCAAGTTCAACACGAAAGCCCTTGATTTAACATGAGATTTTCTAGTTGGTTAAAATTGGAAGCCAACCAACTTTGATTTTGACTTGGTCGTCGAGGCGACCCAGAGGTTCAATTTGACCATCTTCACGCAACCTCCCTAGATCTCCAGTGTTGTACATCCACCTGGAAGATAGATGTAAGTTTTGCTTTGAATTCAATCCATAAGAATTACCTTGATTCGTCTCGATATGGATCCGGAACGTATTTTATGGCGGTCAGTGCGGATCTTTTCAGGTAACCTTGAGTAACTCCGTGGCCACCACTCCAAATTATGCCTGTTGCACCTACTGGAACCGGCCGTAAGTCGTCATCAAGTATATAGATAGAGTTGTTCGGGGTTGGGAATCCTACTGAAAGGGGGGCTCCTGGTACATGCTTGCGCATGGTGTTTACGATAGTGACCTTTAGAATTCACTAATCAAATTGACGTCTTGCTGAATGTCCAAGAGATACCTCACCTCAGTAGGACCGTAAGCATTATAGAACGTTGCTCGCTTTGCCCATCTATCCGCAAGGAGCTGAGAGCATGGTTCACCGGCAGTAGCAATGACTTTTGACATTGGGATAATCCACAGGATCGTGTGAAGCTAGAATCGACGGAGTCGCAATTATTACATCAACCTTCTTCATCACAGAAATCCAGTCTGTGCGTTGCGGTCCGCGCAGGTAGAGCGTTCCGCCATTGGTGAGGCATCCCAGCGTTTCCCAGGCGCACATGTCGAACGCAATGTTCAACAGTTGAGACACTTTAGTACCTCGGCCAATACTTAAATTTCCGGGAGATAGGGATAACACTTGTTCGGACCTCCCGTTAATTGTTGTTTAGTACTAAAAAGAAACACACACAATTCGTGACATTGGAATGATTGACGACGACTCCCTTCGGCTCTCCTGTCGTACCTATACTAGGTCGTGAGTCAATGCTATGGCAGGTAAAATCCTTGAAGCTTACCCGAAGTGTAAATAATATATGCCTTGTCAGAGCCTCGACCCTTCCAGGGTGGTTGGAGTTCAATGGCACCTTCGTCCAATAGCTCCAGAACGTCCTCTATGCAGAGGCTCTGAGGCGGTAACAGGCCATTACGAGACGCGAAAACCCTTGAATATAGAGTAAAGGATGGTTCCGCATCGGCAAGGATGCCTCGAAGAGTATCGTCGGTAATGAGCTGTCCGTCCAATGGAACATAAGCAGCACCAGCGCGAAGAACACCGAAGATAGCGACTATGTGAGGAATAGAACGCTCTCCGATGAGGCACACAAGTGATCTGGGAGAAACTCCCCTGGTTCGCAGGAAGGATGATACACGTAATGAGAGTCTGTCGAGTTGCTGGTAAGTTAAGAAATTTCCAACATGATCGACAATGGCAGGATCGGAAGGGAAGGATTTAGATATAGCTTCGAAAGCGTCATGAATGCAGGCATGTTTGACGAGAGTAGTGGTGCCAAAGCTGATGCTCAGCTTCGGGTCATACCTCTTCTGGAAGTCATATCCACCGAAGAGGGTCGACCAAGGGCATGGAATTTCCCACGCGGTTAGAAATGGAGCAACCGCTGTGAACAAATTCTTGAAAAACGCGAATACGCAAAGCATCGGCGAGTGGGGCGTTGCTCGAGAACCACGAATGACCGGCATATTGCAGTGAAGTATATGATTGGTATATGATAAATTTAAATAAGACCGCTTCACCTTTCTGATGCACATGTAGAACTTGATGCTGTTCCATACTAACGCACAGCAAGGACACAGACTCTGTTCCCGCATTAGACGGGTTTGATAAAAAATGACGGAATAATATATCCATCTTATGTGGCACAGAAGATGGAATATTCTTGTCGTTTAGAACTGGCACCCGACGCGTGCATTATAATATCGGTTCGGGACAAAGACCTGGACCATGTTAGGTCAAGTCGTGTCTGGGTACAATTCATCGATCGCGACGCCACGGCCCGCCTGGTAAAGGAAGTTGATGATTAGCATCGAATGGGGGATTCTCTTCTGGTTCCGCTGATTGTGAGGATGGAAGACTCCAGAGTCCAAGTAGACTATAATCAGCTTCCTGATGGTACCTTCAGAAGCATGACTAGCGGGGCTTATAGGCCAGAAGATGTGCCAATTGAACTCAGGAACAATTGAGCCACACCAGCTCTATGAGCGCCGGAGCTGGTACGAGTGTCCGTGAACACTAATGTTGGTCGATCACGCACGCCAAGATCAGACCGATATTACACGATCCAAGGTGAATAATTATGATTTGACTCGTCGCCCAGTTTCCACATGTGTCCGAGCACTACGGCAGTAAAGTAAGAGCCTGTCGGCGAATCTCGTCGACATATTTCTGTAAATATTCTCGATCCCAAATATCATTGGCCTAAGATGACCGATCGTCAGGCATTTGAAACGTAAGCAAAGGACGATTCCTACCTCCACTTGGATTACTATCTCCGACTTCATAGTCCACGCATGGGTAAGCCTGGATTGTATTCATTCAATGCCCTTGGAGATGAACGTAGAAGAGGCACGTACGGATTGGGCATTGTTAACCGATGGCCAAAAGCCATGTCATGCATCTTGATTAGCGCCGCTTGCTTCGAATCACCATTAGGATATAAAGTAGTTGGTGTGACAGCATCCACGACGCCAAGATTAGTATTAGTCGTTGCCAATGGGTTATGAGTAATTCCTGGCTTTCGCGGAGGGCTCAAAGTCATCAGGGCGGCCGAAAGATGCGGAAGATGCGGATTGGTCAGGAAAAAGTTCCATTGATCTTTGAGCGACCGCATGATAAAGCTAAGCTGTTCTCTGCCCGGTGACAGGGAGGAAAATGAAGAATAATCGATGCGAAGGGGGACGAGAGTCATTTGTGAGATGAATCTATCTTTCGCCTGCATCTCAGGAGTTAGCCAAGATTGCAAAGAGATGCTGTACACGTTTATTTTTGAAAATTTCGAGGATGCAGTGAAAGCGAAGAACGTACATGCTAATAGGGAAGGATATATTCGCTTGCGGTGCTTCTTCGTCCGTGACTGGGTTCAAGACAAAGATGGCAAGTATTTGGGCGGCTCCGAAAAGATGAGTAACGGTGCATCCCAGCGCCTTGACCTCCTTCAGTAAATCGCGAGCCAATTCAGGCTTTATCGTATTGTGAACACGGATGGAGAGTCCCGATCGTGCCATCTCCGTACGCTGGGCGACAAGGGAGTGGGAAACCTAGGAAACAATATATGAGCAACACACGACGAAACGAAACGACGCTTATACCGGTCTGTGTTCGTGAGCTTCCTTGATCTTTCCAAGTAGCTCGAATCCTGCAGCGTCAACATTCAGACGCGGTCCACCTGTCGACGTAACAGGTCCTGGCGGAAGGTTGGCCCACTCCGTGCCCCAGGCAGCCGACATAATATTACTAGAGCTATCAGATACCATGGCTTCAAAAAGTATCTTGAACGCGTTGAAAGTGGGCCGGGCATCCATAATAGTATGACTGCCGTGCATGAACAATCCGTAGGAGCTAGGTCGATCTTCTAGACGGAACATTATGCACTTCATGATATCTTCCTTGCCTGGAGTCTCTAGCTTGCGCTGATTGACCATGGCAATGAAATCGTCGGTGTCCATTGGTTCATCGAGTATTTCGACTGAGCGTTCCACCCATTCCATGACAGCTTGAGCATCTTTGGCCGGACGGTAGACCCAGGACCGTAGCTCAGGATCGTAAATGCCTGCTTCTAGAGATGCTGCGATATTAGGACAAAGGAACCTGAAGCCGAGCGCTTAGGGACTTTGACGGAATCACATTCTTTAGAAGTACCTCAGTTTGGCCCATGCAAATCGCAGACGCTGTATGCAACTCTTGCAGAGAGAGTGGAGTTTCGAATGTGAATCCCATACAACATTCGGCCAGCCTACAACGTTTCGTAAGATTTCATGGGTAAGGATATTCTCCAGTCTTACCCATCGTAAAAACGACCAAACTGGTCATTCATTAACTCGGAACCCAGAAGAGGTCTGAAATAAAAGGATCAGAATGGTAACAACCAGTAACGGATTGGCAGGCTAACCTAGTATATACAATACCAGAGTCCCTCTGGACAGTAGTCCACGCCGGTTCATTAACAACGACGTTCATCATGAAAGAAAGACAAGAATTCGGGCTGCGGCTCCGCCGAGGACAGCCATATTACCTGGCATGTGGGGTCCTTGAGGGCCCTTGCCACCTCTTGCCACAGCCATGGTTTAGTCCATAATTGTTCACAACCCGGGTGAGCTCGTGGTGGTTCAGTTCCAAGTTTATCCGCTGATGACAAAGCTACCCGATCGATCTGGAAAACTGTGCGGAAAATCAGTGGAAAACTGGATTGATGGCTTACGCGGTCGGCGAGATGGCTGATGGGAAAAGCTGCATACAAGGGAGACGAACTCCCGTTCTGATTCTATTCTCGCAGCATCCACCACCATGGCGTTCGCTTTTCGTCGTCAGCCTCTGAAAGCTATCTATCTGACAGGCAGGGTCATCGTTTTGCTCTTCGTGCAGGTACCCTTTCTGGTCCGTGCTGTATGCAATTCCTGCTGCCAGGCCTCGTCTATCGTGGTCCCTATCGAGATGCCTCATTGTTTCGATATACCGTGTTTTCGTCAATGTCATGTACAGCACGACGCTTATGGCGTCCGACCCGCCGGAGAAATTCTCCAAAGAGGCTGAGAAAGTGGGCTTTGTTTGGGTAGACCCAGCACCGGAACTGTTGAGCGGCGAAGTGAAGACCTTGGCCGAAAAGAACAATGTCGCAGCTGAAAAGACGTCGGGTTTCTGGTATGGACCGAGAGGGTTCCGATGGCAAGTTTGGCGAACCGGCACTTGCGGAACGAAAAGGTCATCTATCATTTCCATGGTTCGTCTGTTTGTCCCCATATGAACTAGCATTCCCTGATTCAACATTTTTGTAGGGGGCGGATTTGTTGTACGTTTGTTTAGATGTCCGGATATTGCCTGTAGCTAACATGCAAAATGTTTTTAGATGGGCACCGCACATCCATCGAATGGGTCCATGACTACTTTGGCAAACGGCCTTCTAGAGCATTTCCCCGCCAATACTCGCCTTTTTGCCCTCGAATATCGCCTCTCCTCCCATGAGCCATTTGCGGTTGCGAATCCTTTCCCCGCCGCGCTCCTTGACGCTTTAGCCGGATACAAGTACCTCGTTGAATCTCTGCGATATGATCCTAAAAATATCATTATAGGTGGTGATTCAGCAGGCGGGACTCTTGCCTTCTGGTTAGCTCGATACTTGGCCATCAGTAATCTTCCTAATCTGCCTAACGCTGGCGGACTACTTCTCCTCTCCCCCACCGTCGACTGGGCAAACACTTACACGGACCGTGAGTCCTCTATGCACAAACACTCCTCCACCGATTTTGTCTATACCATTCTCATATGCGGATACACTCTCCGCGCGCTTATGGGAAATTTACCATTGCCGGATGCACCTTCGAACGTTTGGATTGCTCCGGGATCGAAGCAAAATGATGCACCAGGTTTGTTTACTGGTCTGCCAAAGACTGTCATTGTGGCCGGCGGCGCAGAACAAACGCTGGATGCTATGGTGGTCCTACGAGATAGGTTGGAGAGGGACTTGGGGAAAGACAATGTGAAATACATCGAGAAACCTGATGCGACTCACGATTACCTCACTGCGTCGTGGCATGAACCTGAGAGAACAGAAACCTTGGTTGAGCTGGGAGAATGGGCTAATGATAGAATTTGGTCTACTTGCCTGAACACAACAGATTTTTCATCGTAGTACTTGGGATAAAGAATCGGCTGCTGATTGTTTGTATACCTTGTTACGATGTACATTAACATATATATTTTTTGTTGCCTAGCGCTGTACATGTTTGTCGACTCTGCGTTTATGTATGCCTCTTGTTGCACAAGCAGATAATTATCCTTCGCTGTTTGGATGCCATCCGACCAGCTCCTAGAAGATGGATCAGGTATGAAAGGATCTTTAAAGAGCTTCACTGGGTGGTCCTTGTCAGACTGTTTACACGAATGGGATCAGACAGCATCTCATGCAGGTGTTCATTGAGGCCTCGAAGAGTTCGTTCAATCACCGAAGAATGAGGTGAGAGATATGAGTGTCGTCAGTAAACCTCATTAAACTGAAGCCGGCGCAGATAATCGGGAGAGAACCGTAAAACATCGTAAGAGGAATGCAGAGTTCGATGGACAAGCAATGCCTTGCAGGTCCTCGTGGAAAGCAGTGTCATCTAGGATTGTATGCTTGCACGTTCTTTGGCTGTGGAAGCGTCGTTGTTGATGCAACTGGGGTCGCTGTCCCTGTGTCAGGCTTGCGTGCTTTGCGAAGCTATAGCTCCTGACTCAACTGCTTTCGTATGATGACTCCGTCAAGTCGAAGACTTCGTTATAGAGACTTGAACGATGGTGATGGCAAGCGCTGAGAGTGTTCAGATGGATTCTCGCATGCTTAGTCAGCAAGCACCTTGCGGCCCGTCGGTTGCCGGATAGTGTCAACCATGCCTTTGTCTTCCCAAACACCTCATCGAACGCCGCTTCGTCGGATATCTCAAGGATCTCTTTTTCGTCTTTCACGGTCAGGCGCGAATCCAGATACCCCTCATGGCCTGGGATTTCTCGAGCCAGCTATGGCAGAGTTCATCGACGAAACAGAGGCCTTGCAGAACAACGTCGAAGGCCTAAAGCATCTCAGCGACTCCCTTGCAACGTTTAACGAATCATTTGCTAGCTTGCTATACGTGATGGACATGAATGCGCTGAACAACAGACTGGCCACAGGCGCGTCTTTACATCTCGCAGGACTGACCAAGGATTGATGGTCCTTTAGGCTCCCAACCGACGCGTCTTTTCTAATCGCCAGGAGAAGAGCAGGTGAGAATTGGCTCCTTGTATTTTCATCAAAAATCTCATTGCTTTATTCAGAGGAAGACGCGCTCGCTGCGCTTCAGGCTGCAGAGGGCCAAACGAAAATTGGAAACAATGGCCGGCCCCTCAAACCCTGCGGACAAGACGACAGCGACGGTAACAGAGATGGAAACGACATACATGACTGCCGGTAACACCACAAAATCTTCAGCACCTCAGAAGAAGAAAGGGAAGAAGCCGAAACTGACAACAAAAGAGAAGAAGGAACGCAGCGTTCGTCGTTTTTGGTATTCCTCTTCATCACCTACGGACTCATTGCCTCATTGTGTAGTTGGAGATTGAAAAAATTATATCATGCCTGCCACTTGAATTCCGTGGAAGTGATCCTACACTTCGTCGTAATATGGAAATGGTCATAGAGGGCATGATAGATTCGCCTAATCAAGTTGCCAAGCGTACGCATCTTCCTGTTCAGTTGATTCTCGCTCTGATAACGTGTGACCAGTGACCGACCTGATACTACCTGATCTTCCGCAGGCGCGAGTGAACAAGTGTCTTATAGCGTTAGTGAACAGAAAGATCGTACGAAAGGACAACAGTACAGTAAGGTCATTTTTTTGTATCAGCCGTTCGAAGCTGACACGTCACAAGGGGGTGGTCCTCTACCACTGGCAAGGGTTGCAATGATTGAGCGTTACCCACTTCCGTTCTGTCGGCCTTGTACATTAGATGCCCGCTGTATGATATTGGCTGAACGTGATGATAAAGCACACGAAATGTCACTCTGAGCAACCACCATTAGAGTGCGTATGGTACGCTGCTTTGACCAACCCCGCCACTTCGGTAGTTGCCACGCTCCCATCCAATGATGTAGCAAGCCCACGCTGGATTCGCCGCAAGACCTAGATGCAAGTTGGGCTTGTACCACGAGCTCTTCATTCACCCCCGTGAGCCTTGTCAAGCATATGCGACGTGTACGGTTTGCATAAAGAAGCTATGGAGAGTTGCTCTCCTACCGCTAAGCGACTTGTTGATCATATTCAGAGAAGACAGCGTGTAGTTTCTAGACAATAAAAACTTTGATCAATTAAGTTGTAATGTAGTAGGCTATCTGGTCAAAGAATAGTACAGAGTTACGTTGTTCGGTAGTATATGGTAGATGCGGGATGAACTTGCATCTATACTGGGACCTTGAACCCTTTCTCTTTCCATGAGTTCTCTATGCGGACAAGACTGTCAACCGTGTCCAGAACAGTCTCCCTCCACGGAATGAACGATTCCGCCTTTAAACCAAGCACATTTTCAATACTTCTCCAATCCGTCGGGAGCGCGTACGAAGGCCATTCCGGTGCTTGAGCAGCATCTGTTAGACGGTCCTTAAGCTCCGGGCGCTCTTTGGCGATGATCTCAAGAGCGTCCTTATATGAAGACTGGAATGGGGAGACAATAGCAAACCGCTTTCGCCCAACTTCTGCTGAAGGTCGAGACTTCAAGGCAAGGACATGAGCCCTGGCAGAGTCGCGGACATCGATAGCGCCTGGGGCACCAGGGAACTCGGTGTTCCCGGGTTGAAGGAACGCATAGATACTCGCATTCGTAGAAAAGGCACTGAGATCGGGCTCGGGGACGAGGTGTTCAAAGCCAGCAGCGAAAGGCCCATAATTGAAAGGAGGTCCAACTGTGCAAAGAGAGGCAGTGTAAGTTTGAGCAAAACGAGCTAAATGGATGCGAGCATACCGAGTGTCACATCTATCTCTGGATGCTTCTCAGCGAATTCAACCACTGCCAGGTCTGCATATTTCTTCTGGGCTATGTAGATAGGAAATGGTTGTCCTGAGGCTATAGCCTGCTCTTTGGTAATAGGATTCCAATCTGGAATTACCGTAATGAGTAAGATTTGGATGGAATACTGAGGGAAGACTTGCCGTTGGCGCCGAATGGTCCTTGAGGGAAGGGATGTGTCACGACAGAGCCGGTAATAACGATTTTGTGGACCTGTGCTTGGACGGCTTCTCGTAAAATGTGAAGAGATCCTTCGACGCTGCTCTACGAGTCAAGATATCCCTGTTAGCCGGCGAATGACATGACGGTAGAGGAATCTTACCTTGAAGGCTGTTTCTGGATCGACTCGCCCTGGAAGAGGAGCTGCAGCATGGATTATTCCATCAACACCTTACAGAAGAAATGTGAGCTCGATGCAGTACACCGTGAGTTGACGTCGAGCTTTCTTACCTTTAAAATAGTGACTCAAGTCACTGGATGCGATGTCGGGGACCTCAACGACTTCGAATCTATCGTTACTGTAGTTGGCGGAGAGAGCCCTCTTCAAAAGTTCGATTTTCTTTCCTCGGGCGGCATTAGAATGAAATATCGTCAGTGCTGGTTTCGTATCGCACATGGATAAAACGCACGCTCGAACGGAGTACCCGGAGTCTAGTAATTGGGTCAAAATGTGGAAGCCGATGAAGCCTGAGCCTCCGGTGACCTGAAAGAAGAGCGGGTGAGCAGCAAGAAGAGAGACAAGTCCATGACATGCTCACAAAGATTGAACCAGAGTTTGAGTTGCTGGGTGACATTCGTGGTATTTTGTATGTATTGGTACGATTGGATTATTCAGTGCAAGGTGAGAAAGCAGCTGGGGTGAAGTGAATGCAGATGCCATCTCTCAGAGTGTTGGACAGTTTTATAGGTTAACGGTTGCATATCAAAGGTAGAGAAAAGCTGGATGACTGACATATCTGTCCGAATATTTCAGATCTGGGAAACCATTATTGATTAGCTTCTTACGCATTCTAATCAGTGAAGGGCTGATCAATCATTGATCACCGAATTGGCTTTGTAATAACTTTGTAAAGTAGCTGTAAAGAACCTAGGGTCCCAAAATTCGGGTTTATGTCTGGCTGAGGCATCACCGGAGCATAATAGTAATCAAAAAAAGTTATGGAGCCAAATTTCATAAAGGTGGGATGTCGCCAGAAGCAAACTTGATTTCGCCGTTGGACTGGGCTCTGCCGAACAGTGCCGACTCCACACACGTGGTTACACGGGATTCGGCGAAAGAACTCGATTCGTCACGGGAGAGTTGTGGTCGAAAATACCGTCTTCTACATCTCACGACGACCGAGGGCGAGTCCTTAGACCAGCTCTGGGCAATCCAATCGCTACATGTATATCCACTTTCATAACCTTCTGTCGGACTACTCCAGGTAACGCTTCCACATCTTTCCATGCTTGCCGCTGTCTGTGTGACGAATTCCCCCGATTCTGTACACTACTTGCGAGGATCCATCTACAGTCTACTTCTTCCTGAAAGGTATTGCCTTGCGACAAGCGGATGAATCGAGGTCCGGAGAAGCACCAAATAATCGAGACCAAGTCCAAGTCTCAACATCGTGGGGAATAGACCGACGTCGACGAGTTACCGAGTATTCCCGGATTCCCGATGACGTCAAAACTATCTCGTTTACACCTCTACGATGATCCGAGGAAGGGCTATCTATTGTCCTTCTCAACCGCGGTGAGGCCTGTGGCCCTGCCTCGAACTCTGATGATGACAGAGACCCTGGGGATGGACTTGTATAAATCCTCTGTGAAGCTCCATCTGACCCACTGCATTTACACTGCGCTACTAACTCACCTCTCTTACGACCTCTATACGACAAACTAATGTCCCACACCTTTGCTATCCACCGAGTCCTGGCTTACACTTGGCTGGTAAGCTAGGACAGGTTCTTACTGAATGACGCCTGACTGAAGACTTTGTTATGTAGTGGACCGTCGCCTGTCATACTTCTCGGGCTTACTGGTTACAGAGTTCATGTAACCGAGGGCTACGAAGATAACTTTTATGGTCAGTAGTGACTTGCCATACTGTCACGTTTAATATCCTGACGGCATCCGACAGAACCCATCATCGTTGAATTACTGGTCTCTGCCTGCCTCGCAATCATATGGGCTCCCATCGCGTACGTATTTTATCCTCTTCGGCTTTTCCCATAGAGCTCACCTGTGCGACAGTGGATGTCTCGTTCTCCGAAATCACAACGCCTCAAAGTGCAGCCCACAGTTTCTCTCAGAGATGGTCGGAAACTTCGTCTTATGGGTCATGTGGCTAGTAGGTGCCGTCGATACCACTGTAAGTACACAGACCTTAATCTCGCAACCTACCCGTGCTCAGGTTTTGTTTACATTAGAACCGTATCATTCCGGGCAAGAACTGGTGTGGTCCGGGCAAGCAATGCAGAATCTTGACCGCAATTCTAGCATTCTCCTGGATTGGCTGGTCCTTCTTGACCATCATCGGTGCCATGAGCTTGATGTACTGCGTGTACCAATCTGCACAACCTGCGCCTATCAAGGAAAAACCTTCCAACGCATAAATAGTTAATTCGAAAACGACGATTTGTGACGAAAAGGCCCACGACAAGTTCTAATGACCCTTCTCCATCAAGTCTCGAGGCTCCCGCTGTACTTTATAATGATTGTTGTAATAGTAGTGTAGTTTGTACCATTACTCGGCTCAAATACTATCTTTTTCTTTTGAATTGCTTTGATATGCTGATGAATTCAATGAGGTCATTTTCTTCGACTCGCCGGATACACGTGGAGTTCTGGATAACCCTTAATTTCTTTCCTTCCAAGTATCGAGAGCTCGGAATGTGTAAAATCCCTCATAACGCCGGAACTTCAGAACTCCGAGTCATCATTGCTTTGTAGTAATTGTACGGCGTGGCACACAATGATGTATCGAGTCATTCTTCTTCGACAGTCAACGTGTCAAGTTCAATTCCATGATCACTATAACTTTCGTGCGTCTTTTATTGCTATTGTTTGCCATGTCGCTGACACTGAGATAGATCAGACATGGTCAGAGCGAAGACAATCCGGTAAGGAATTTTGTCCGACTCGATACATATACTCAATATTCTTTGAGGTCAGAGAGGAATATGGGCCGGATGGAAAGATGCACCACTTTCTGAACTAGGCACGTCTGAATCTGTAGCTTCCTGAACGAATATTAAATCCTCCACCTTATTGTAGGCATAAGAGTGGGTGTTCCGAGTCAATATGACCCCGTCCGATAAATATGAACGCCGTTTTATAGCAGGCAAAGGCTCTCAGTGACCACCTCACAACTACGAAGATCGATCTCATATACTCGTCCCCCCTCATGCGCGCTCGTCAGACTGGTGAAGCCGTCCAAAGCGGTCAACTCATCCCGCCCATATTGATCACGAATCCTCATCTCCGAGAACAACATTGGGGCATTGCAGAAGGGCATCCGTATTGTAATCATGCCCCACATAACATGACTCATGAAGAGGCTTTCAAGGCTGGCATATTTCCAAGAACCGCTCATCTTGACGACGACGGGAAGTTTCCCGGAGGAGAGAGTAGAAATGAATTGGCAGCTCGAGCAGATATCGCAATCAAAGAGTGCATACTGCCGAATCTCACCGAAGAGAATTTTGGGAATGGTCTTCATATTGCTTTTACGAGTCATGGGTTATGCATAGGCCAGCTCATTGCCGCCCTCTTGCGATATGACGCTTCGGCCGACGAGGATGTATCCTACGAGGGCTTGAGAAACACCGCATGGACACGAGTAGAGGTTTCTTTAGATGTGGGTCTTTATTGGAGCAATGTCATCATTGTGAATCGACGTCTGATTCCTTGATAGTTAAACTCCGGTGACCCCGGGGATATGCGCACTGCTCTAAGGGTCGACGTGACACACGTAGACGCGAAGGAGCACCTGAAACTCTTGGTCTGTCCTCAATGTGATTGTCTGTTGTATGATCTGCTGACGACGTGAATGGTACAGGATTAGTCTATGAAAGATGTTCCGATTGACGATGTCAGGAAAAAGGAGGCAGCTGAGTTTCTGAGTGGGGGAGCGATGCAAAGTAAGTGTTAGAAACGTTCTAGAAGTATGAGGTTGGTGCTCGTAGATGGATATAACATCTAAATGTCTTAGAATGACTTCAAATAGACACCGACAATGAGATACTTGTCGATCGGCTCCTTGCATCGATCCATCATCGTCATCATATACATGAAAACTTGGTTCAACGTCATCGTCGTTATTAAATTTCGTCATTGTGGTATGATAGATTGCCCTGCTGATGTCGCATCCCTATAACGGGGGTCAGCTATAAAAGAAACCTGTCCCAAGATGGAGAGCCGCATCTCAATTTTACCCACCACAACTCAATACCAGTTCGATTTATTACCAAGCATGTCTTCCGGTGAACCCAAGTCAGTTTTCATTGGTGGCCTGTGTCTTTATTCATTGATTGACCCTCTTATAGCAAGACTACTGGCCAGTACCACTCCCTTAAGGGTACCGCTGTCGAAGCTGTAAGGGTTCATCCACAATCAACTCATCAAACGGACTCACATTTTATAAGATTGGCAATGCGACTGGTGCTACTTCTTGGCAACAATCCGGTAAAGAGGAACATGCCGCAGGAGAAACTGAGTACAACGCCGCTCGCGCTAAGGGTTACGCGGAAGGGACCGTAGACCGTCTCGAAGGCAAGAAGGACGCCATTGTCGGTGCTATCACTGGAGATAAGGCCCAACAGACGCAAGGTGAGCTCGCGGCTGTTCTCTTCCAGCAGCATAAGTAGGTCTGACTCGAATCAAGGAAACATCCAGAACGAGAAGGGAAATGTGAAGCAGCAAGTAAATGGGAAATAGAGCAGACGATTATTTAGTCCTATTTATTGCTTGTTCAGTGATCAATGACACAGTCAAAAACGTAACAATGGGATATAGTACCGTTTCAGAAAGGGGAGTTTAAGCTTGCTTTCCTATCCGTGCACATTGAGATTAAATGCTGTCCGGAACATTTGTCTGATCATATACGAGAAAATGGATAAAACGCTCTGTTGTAGACACAAGTTTTCAGTAGGGTATAAATTGAATGTTCACAATCTTGACATGGGTGACGGTGCTAGAAAAAGAGTGGTCAAGCCGATTTTAGCGCCTGACAAATCACGTTTGCACTGCCACCTCGACGCGCCATGCTCACGTGCGACGCGTTTACCTTTTGAAATTGAACCACGACGGCAACGATGGGAATCGACCTTCAAGAGGAACTCAAGAACAAGATAACTGAACACAACATTGAGAACGAGCATGATCCAAGCAAGGAAGATCCAGAGGAACTTCTTGAAGGTTGGTCTCCGTCGTCTCTGTTTTAACTTTCCTGAACGACGCGATTCAGGTGCAGTCGAGGCAGTCGCAGAATCGAGCGATGCGATAACGGATTCAAAGAACTTCGACGTGTACTGCAGTCTACTAAAACACTCGGATGCGGTTCCAGGCACTGTCATGACCAAGCTGCTCGATTCTCTAACATCTGGATTTCAAACCGAAACCGATGCCACTATAAGAGATGCCGTTACAGAGGACCCTAGAGGCAATATCAGGGCACAAGGATGCCCTCGACATGTATGCCTTTCTTCTACACTGGTTTGTTGCCGCCGCGGGAAACGTCAAGTCGGAGGGTGAGGAAACGGCTCCTGTCCCTAAAGCTAAGCCCAAGAGAGGAAGAGGCGCGAAGACGGGGAGGACTGGTGGACGGACAGCGGCATCGAAGAAGAACTCAGAGCAATGGTCATGGCAAGATCACATACCAAACGCGTTAGGATTGATTTGCCGAATACTTGAGAAGCTTCCTGCTCAGCATGTGTGGCCGACGAGTATGGAACGAGAAGCGTTCATCAAGTGTGTTGTTATATTTTCTATCTCCTGATCTTCTTATTGACTTGACGTGCCAGATGTATTACACTGCCGGTTTACGATATCTCGACGAATGAATCGTACATGAAAGTGGCCGACATCAAGAAAGGCGTACTGAGGGCGATCTGCTTGTCGGTCAATTCGCACGGCCAGGGATCCACAGCGTCCACCAAAATCATGGCAAATTTATCTTTTCACGAACATTTGGCAGAGCCGATGGCGGAATGTCTGGCAATCGTCGAGGACGAATACCATCACCCCGAACTAGCAGATGAGGTCCTCAGGGACATATCTGCACAGAAATTTAGCGCTCAAGATACCAAAGGGCCCCGTACTTTTTCCAAGTTTCTTATCAGATATTCCGAAGTGTGCCCTCGCCATACCCTCAAACAAATCAGTCTTCTCCTTGACCAGTTGGACTCCGAGGTGTGGTCAAGTCATATCATGAAAGGCAGGCACTGATGAACCAATTTAGGCCTATCCCATGCGTATCGCCATTGTCGAAATTATTGGGAACCTCATTGTACATCTAGATAGCAACAGTGGTCCCGTAGGATCTCAAGAGAATACCCAGACTACGAAGCAGATTAACGGTCTTTATGACTTTCTCATCGAACGTATGCGAGACGTCACGACCTATGTCCGTACGAAAGTCCTATCCGTGTTCACAAGGCTTTGTGAACTCAAAAACGTGTATGGGAGATCACGGTTACATGTTACCAGGATCGCTATTACGGCGCTGGAGGATAAGGCGGCAGCTGTGCGGAAGAATGCAGTAGTGTTGCTCGTGAAACTTATCACAACGCATCCTTGGGATCGTATTCACAAAGGGCCTTTGGAAATGGACGTATGGGAGAAAGAGTATGAAGAGCTGCTGGAGAAATGGGCACCATACCAGGAAAAACTGGACAAGTTTAATCTTGCCGACCAGGCCTCTCAAGTACACGGGGAGGAGGAGGAGGAGGAGGAGGAGGGAGAGGGCGACAGCGATGACGAGGCAGAACAAGAGGAGGCGGAGGCGGAAGAAGACCATGAGCCGACCACCAAGCAGCCCAAGAAATCTAACAAGTATGTGGCGTTTCCAGCATGCATTCAGTACTAACCTTTGTTACAGAAAGGTTCGAGGAGACGATGAGATGGATGTTGAAGAAGATGGGGATGAAAACGAGAGCGATGCAAATGATGATGCTATGTCGGTGGACGGCGAAGAGGGCGAGCCTCAATCCCGACCGCGCAAGAAGGGTAAATCTAAGAAGGCCTCGAAGAAAACCAAGCGCAAGCCTCGGCAGTCTCAGCTGAACCCCGATGCTTTGGAGGCGTTGAGGCTTATGGATGAACAGGAAGTCAAGGAGTTACGGCTGACGAAAAAGTACTATATCGAAGGAATGGATTTCATGCGACATATCGAAGAAGCCATGGTCGTCTTGTGCCAGTTGCTTGGCTCAACCAACAAGCCAGAAGCCTTGGAAGCTATTGGATTCTTCCAGGTTGCTTATCAGTACAAGATGCGGAATGCTGAGGTACGTGCGTAGCATCTCGTGAGGCTCCGAAATTCATATTCTTGGCTAGAGTGGTATCAAGAAGATGCTGCATTTGATTTGGCAGAAGGACAACAGCATAACATCGGAAGATGGCAAGGAAATCAAGGGCGTTCGTTCCCGACTTTTGGAATCCTACCAGATGCTGTACTTCGATCCCATCGCCAACTTGGATGCCCGAGGTCAGGTCAGTCGGATAGCGAAGAACATGATTGAGTGTGTTTTTTACTACTCGTCCTTCATTATGCGTGTTAACTTGATATCACAGGCTCACTTATGGCGCCACTCTCGCCGAACTGACGAGCTTGGAGGAAATGATGCGCACAATGATGGCTAATGACCAAATTCCTTCAGAAGTTATCAGCAAGCTGTGGCAAATCTACAGTACGTTCGTTCAGGCAGGGAGATTTCTTAGCTAACTACCGATCTTATAGCGTCGAACAAACTTCTTCCCAAGCCTCAGCGACGAGGAGCAATCGTTATCCTGGGAATGCTGGCTTTGGCCAAACACAACATACTGTCAGAGCTCGATCACGTCGATACCATGTTGAAGGTCGGTTTGGGTGCGCTTGGAAGGGTAAATATAATTGACATCAACTCACTAAACTACTCTAACGTGTTTCTCTAGGCGGACCTGACTCTTGCCCGATACACCTGTGTAGCATTGCAACGGCTGAACGGGAGCGCCAAGAAAGTGAAAGGTGAGCGGTTGCCCTATTCTCTCTGTAGTCATCACTGATTGGGCACGAAGGATCTCTCGATGATAAGACGATGCGTATCGAGATGGATAGTGCCATCTTCCAGAAGCTGAATCAAGTCATTCTTCGTCCCTGCCACTCCAAAGACTGGTTTGGGCTGGCCGAACAGGTCATCAACACCGTCTACGCTCTCGGCGAACACCCTGACGTCTTCTGCAATGACCTCATAAAGAAACTCACTCACCGTGCTTTCACTCCTGCGCCTCAAGCTGAGAGCGCTAAGGAGGATAAAGAGAATGATCCGGATGCTATGGACGAGGACCACCCTGGCGACGTTTCGCGAGCTGATTCCCAAGAACCTAAGGCGACGGACTTAGGCGACGCTTTCCATCTGAGCCAGCTGCTCTTTGTGGTTGGTCATGTTGCAATTAAGCACATTGTGTACTTGGAACTTGTTGAGCGAGAAGCTAAAAGACAAAAGGATGAGGCCCAAGCCGGTAAGAATAAGCTACTTGACGGATATTTTGTTCTGACTAGACATTCATAGCGGAGAAAAAAGCAGCTCAGGCACCTGGTGCTCGCGGACCTTCTTCCAAAGATGGTGAGGAGTTGGACCAAGTTGCTGGGAACGCGGAGGACGAGATCGGCGAACACATACAAGAGATCCGAGAGCATGAACTCCTTTTTGGCCCAGAATCACTGCTTGCTGTTTACGGTCCCATCTTAGTGTATATCTGTGGACGGCCTGACAAGGTTCAAGGTATTTTTCTTGCCACCTTTTATTAGCCTGTTCTGAGAATATCTGCAGAATCCTACCCTCAAAGCCGCTGCGACCCTATCGTTCAGCAAGTTTCTCTGCGTCAGCTCCCAATTTTGTGACGAGCATCATTTGCTGCTCTTCAAAATCCTTGAAAAGTCTGATAGCGCCAATATCCGGAGCAACATCGCCATTGCACTGGGTGATGTTGCTGTCTCCTTCAGTACCATCATCGATGAAAATAGCAATGAACTCTACCGAGGACTTTCGGACCCCGATCTTGTAGTAAAGAAGAACACACTTATGGTTCTTACACATTTGATCTTGAACGGGATGGTCAAGGTCAAAGGACAGTTAGGAGAGATGGCGAAATGTGTGCAAGATCCCGACGATCGTATTTCCGACCTCGCGAAGTTGTTCTTCAAAGAGTTATCAACGAAAGACAACGCCATCTATAACAATCTGCCAGATGGTAAGTTTTCTACCTTGGTTCCGATTTACGCATTCAGCCAACCTTTACTCTCCTAGTCATCAGTCATCTCTCTTTTGGTGAACATGCTGTAGATGAAGAAATGTTTCAGAGTACGATGTCGTATATTTTTACCTTCATCGAAAAGGTAGGCCTTCGTGATAGCGGCACATACTACTTTTGACACGGATTTCAGGATAAGCAAACGGAGAATGTCGTAGAGAAGCTGTGCCAGAGGTTCCAGCTGTCCGAAGAACCTAGGCAATGGCGAGATATCGCTTACTGTCTATCGCTGCTGAATTACAAGTCAGACCGATCTGTCAAGAAGCTCATTGAAGGCCATAGGTTCTATGGCAACAAGTTGCATGAACCAGTTGTTTATGAGCGATTCACCGCTATCCTCAACAAAGTGAGGAACCTTCCGGACTCATGAAATCATGCTAATGCTCTATTAATAGGCTCGTGCGGCTAAGAGCAAGGATAAGCCAGATCATGAGCTAGATGAATTTGGCAAGGTGAGCCCTTCTGGCTATTTCCCCGAATATTACTCACAAAATTTGCCCAGCTCCTTGAAGAAAGTAAGGAAGCGGGCACCGAAGAACACGATCTGGCGAAGCGAACCAAGTCTGCAGTCAAGAAGCGTGCCAAACGTCGTAAGACACCATTTTTGGTTAATTGTTGACGATGTGCTCATGTGCTCATGATGTGTTTTATAGCTGCAACACGCTCAACCAGAAAAGTTAAGGTTGAGCAAACTATCGAGGAGGATGACGATGAATGAACGAGATTGATATGTCAATGATCTATGTATAGCAATAATATTATATGGCCACCTCTTGTATCAGTATTAATGTACTAATACCTCCACCCGCAGTCGAATAATTCTACTGAAACGAACGTGGGCGCAAAAGAGCGATAACAAGTGTCGATACGTGAGTAAAGAGTGTGGGATCGACAAAAGCGACAGAGATGGTGAAATATGTAGGTGCAAAGGAATGTGGGTGGCAATGGACAACTGTATAATGAGTGTCGCAGGGTGAGGTTATTAGACCAAAAAACCAAAAAAGAAGTGGTGAGTTACAAAGTGATTATCCGGGGATGTCCAAAAAGAGTCCTCGTCTTGATAATAATAATGAGGAGCAATAAAAATTTGTGCGTGCGTGAGGGGTCATTAGATTAGAATAAAAGAAACACGGTATACCGGGTCAAAAATGCAAGATTAAGGCTTAAAAGACTCGCCCCCCTCTCCACCCCGCATGATGGCCTTCATAAATGTAAAGAACCGATCTGCATATTCCGGTGGCGGCACGGGACTGATCTTATGTCGGTCTGCACTCAAGCCCTTCCAAAAATGCTCCAGCTTCTTGACAACGCTATACGGTGTGAGGATGTCGATGACGCCGAGGTAATATATGGTATCCATGTTCTCGTTTGTCTCGTCCGTCGCACGTAGGCCGCCTTCATCTTGATAAAAGATGAAATGTTGCCGCTCCCCCGTGTCTTCCTCGGGTAGGCGTATTGTGCCCTTGCCAAGACGTTTGGGGTCGGACTCGCGCATTGCCCGTCGCATTGCAATGGCTTCCGGTGAGAACGTCCCCCCTTTCGCTTTATGCTGGTGGTTCACCGAACCACCGCTCAAAGTGGGTCTGCGACGATGAGTATGAGGAATATCGGGCTTTAGAATAAACGTTAGGAAGGGCGCTCTTTCAGCGACGAGGAGCAGAGTTACGTACGTCGAAGACTTTCAGCGTGTTCTTCCGAACGTTATCCCGGTTCCCTCTCCGCATGTTGTGTATCCCAACCAACAAACTGTAATCCATCACATCGATGGCCTTCAACATCTCCTTATCTCTCCTCAACTGTTCCGTTAACAGAGCACGCTTCTCAGGGCCCAGCTCCAACTTCAGGCCCTTGTTGATCCAATTCATGTCTTTCAAAACCGGATTGTTCTTATCCCTCCTGAGCTCCTCCGGATACTCTCTCCCCACTGTGCTCCCTTTTAGATCGTACGTTTCATGAACATCCTTGTGCGGCGGGAACAAATTGTTCATGATCACAAAATGAATCTTCCTCCCTCTCGGCAGTTTGACCCGATGCAACCCATAAAACCGACTCAGCAGCGTATGCGGGTTCTCCTTCACATGGTTGTAGTACTGTTTCAGAACCTTAAGTAGGAATTTGTGCTCGCTGTGCCGTATCGTCTTGATTATGAATCGATAGTCGCGAGAGAAATAGAAAAAAGACCCTGACTTTCCAGGAGAGCCTAGTTCCGATAGAATATACTTCGAAGTGAGGGAGAGAAGGTAGTCGGCGGGATCGAGATGGAAATACTCTTCACGTAACGAACGAAAAACCCAAGGAGCGTAGTCTTTAAATTTGAAGTCGTATCTTGCTGATGGCGTGAGCTCGTTACCGACGATGTCAAACGAGAATTTATGTCGGGCAGTGAAGTCATCGTCAGTTAGTGGCCGCTTGATTTTGGCTTGACACCGTGAGACCTGAGAGTGTGTGAGAACAAAAGACGACAAAAGTGAACAACACAACACGCACACCAATGCGAATACCCGTCAACATGTTATACATCAAGACATAGTTAACATGATCCTCGCCAATCAAGTTCCCGACAAGCGGTACATCCTCGCCCTTTTTGGTGGTCTCCGTCCGCGTCAAAGCAGCTTCTGCCTGCTGTTGCTTGGCCCGCTTCTCCATACGTTCGCGTCGTATCTTCTCTGCGTGGAGCTGAATGTCACTGGCGACGTCGTCGACATCAACTTGATCATAAACGCCGTGCGGATGCGATCCATACTGAGGATGCAGCGACATATGCGGACCTGGACCAGGGCCTAACCGCGAAGGCAATGTCTGTAACGTCGAGCCTGTTGTATTCCGTCTTGTTGGACGATGGACATGTATTGATGGTGGTGGAGGCTGCAGGTAGTCCGTTGTATGCACAATAGGCGTTGAAGAGGAGGTATCTATCGGATGAGAAGGAGGAGGAGGCTCGGATGTGGTGATGGTGATAGTGTCTTGCGAGCGAAGAGTTGACAAAGAGAACTTGGTATCAATCGACGACTGTTCGTGCGCGATACCAGACATGGTCGCAGCTCGCATTTGGCCAGCTTTCATCGTCGGTGCTGACGACGACGCTGACATCTGACGATCCCTGAACGATTGTGGTCCTGGTTCAAGCCCGATGGCCTCTGGCTCGTCGAAAATGACAGGATTTACCTTCCAGGACTGGCCGTGTCTCCCCTGTCGGTTCTGTTGCTTCTGGCTCTGGACGCTCAACACTAGCAGGCGGAGACGGCGGCGGCGGGCCTACGTGATCGTCGTCAAGTAGGTCGGCCGACCTCGGTGGTATCACATTCGTTACCGTCTGCGACACCTTTTTCAAGAATGAGTCGGGTATGGTTCCTGTCTCGACATGCACCGTGTCTCCGGTGACCTTGACGATATGGACTTCGGGGTGTGAATGCTGCTGGAGGCTGCTGCCAATGGCATGGATAGGATTCACCGGTGGTCCCTCCGTGCCCAGGGTATGTAGTGAAGTCTTTGAGGACGATGATGATTGTGTTGTTGGCGATGCCATTGGGGCTGTCCTGAACGATGTGGCCGACGATGAGAGCAAGCTACTGTGCGCCGAAATCATACTATGCCTGCGAGATGTGTCCGGCGGCGGTGGTGGCGACGCTGACCGCGGTAGAATGGCTGCGCTCGCCATTATTTCGGCTTTCAATCAAAGAGAGGAATGCCCGTAATTCGAGGCACTCGAGGCTGCAGCAAATGATGGTGAAGGTGAATGCGTTTGGTATACTCTTTCGGTCTTGCTGCCTCAAAGAAAGCACAGGTTTTGCCAAACATGTACAAGCACCCGCGAAGTATTTTCCGACCTTTCAGGATACATGAACTTCGCAACTTCGAATGCATTTTCCATTGCAGCGCAGCACATTATATGCAGACTACTGATTATATACATCTCCCTCATTCCTATCTTAGAGTGAAGCCTGGATCATCTTGTAGACACCCGTCACAGACCCAATCAAGAGAGCTGTGGGAAATCAGATACGGATACTTCTCTCAATAGAAGATAACGAACCCAATTGTGCGATGGATCCAATAAACCCTCCCTTGGCATTGCGCTATATAGAGTGAGCTTCTCGAAGAAGAAATAAGTTCCGCCGACCTACGTTCGCAGGGTCCCCAGTGATATAACCCCGAGTATACAGAATACGGCCAAGCACCCAAGTACCGCAGGCAGCAGCGGCAATAGTCGGGTAATACACAGCGGTCAAGAGCGTACTAAAGTGAAGTGAAGAATCTCAGTGAACGATCACGGGAACTTAACACAAGGGTCACACCTTGTGTAAATCACAGGAATGTTCTCTAGCGTGTTTTGATGAGCACCTGGAAATACATCCGTCAAAACCTTATCTTAGAAGATAAGTAAAAATGACACGTACGCTGGGCACAGTTGAATATTTTCGCCTCTTTTGAAGCCTCCTCTTGAGCCTTCTCAGCGTACACTGAAAGCATGTCAGATGCATCTCCAAAATCTGTTACTCAACGCAACGTACGCTGGGGATACTGGATGCCAGCAGCTCTACGACGTCTTCCTACAATGGTTGTCTGACCCAGAAGCAAAAATTGGGTAGATAGCAGAGCTGCGCCGACCCAAGCCCATCTACAAGTAACTTAGGACTATAAAGTCAAAGTTGAACGACCGACGTACCCTTCAGGAACGGTAATCGTAGCAGGCATATCGCAAGGTAATAAACAATCGACGAATAAGAAGCAAACGAACAAACTGCATGTTATAGGAAAAAACTGCTGCTGCTTATATGGCCGCTGATGTCAACAGGTATTGTCATCTCGGCTCTCGGCACATGTACGTGTATGTACGCGTGTAGGATGATCTGAACTTTGTATAATTCAATACTTCCCGTGGTACCGACGTGTCAATCAGGGAATAATAGTTAGTAAGTCGCTTTGATGCCGAGCGCTTGCGTAGATCCGAGAAGATACTAGAAGGTAGTGGAACCTCAAGCTTGGCAAGCAATTGAATTCGTTGCTAGTTCCTTCGGGCCGGTAACTGTTGCCAAGAATCAAGAATCGAGAACCAAGTATGACGTACATACATGTACATGAACTACTACTACCGAAGAAAAAAGCACTTGAAGTCTATGAGTGAAATATGTACAATATGTGAGCATCAAATATATCCTAACAAGCCGAAAACCCGTGTCGTAGTCAGGTTGCCGGGTCCCGAGGTACGAGGGTCCGGCAATCGTGACGAAGACACGGGTTGGAGGCTTGTATATCCTAAAGCTTGGACAAGATGAGTCCAATAACCACGTAAGATATAGTTGCAGGCGGGGTAACGACGCAGTACGCCCAGAATATCGTCCTACTTATCAACCGCTCAAACGCATCTCCAGACGCCGCCTGTGTAATTTGGGCAAGTGTAAGCGCCGGGGGAGATGATATGAGCAATACATTCGCCACCACAAACACCGGATCCTCCAGTACTGCATGCCAATCCAGTTTAGTAGACAGTGCCATCAGCGGTAGCAGCAGTAACGGCGTGATAATCATCCTGGACGCCACAGCAATGATAACCGTCTTCGTCTCTCCTGCTTGTGTTTCGTCCTGCTGCGGCCCAGTCTGCCTCTTGGTGAATATGCCCTTCATGCTGTGAATTAGCGAACGTGTTTCGGTCTTTGCTTCGCCTTCCTGAGAGGGATAGAAGTAGGCACCTAGGACTACCAACGTGAGCGGGATAGAACAGTTTCCTGCACTGGACAAAGCGCCTTTGACGGGTTGCATGTGCTCCCCAAGGGCATGCTGCAAAGGTTGGATGCATGCTACGATAAGCGATGCAAGGGCAGCCCACAAAGGAACAGTCATGAATTCGTTCAGAGCTGTCCAAATCCGAATCATGTCCCACTTGACGCGATGTAGAACGGGCGAAGAGGGATGCGGTGAAAGGTGTGCCCTCATGCACCGTCGTTCATGATGAGTAGGAAGGACGTTAGTGTCCAGCTCATCGTCGCTCACCTCCGAGTCTGTAATATCCGGTGAGAAGACAACCGTCGATGAGGAGGAGTGGAGTGAAGACAAGTTAACACGAGAATCATTCGGAGAGTTTGGGAAGGAGTTATAAAATCTTGAACGGCGACGAGAGGGTTGGCCTCGGACTGTAGCATCGTCCTCCTCCACTACGATATGAGGAATTGCTTCATCAGGTTCCTCACAAGACGAAGAACCAAAAAGAGGACTATCTTCGTTATCGACCGGTAGTGCTATAGCTTGAGGTTCGTCGTCAGCTTGCGCAAGCAGTCGCACTCCATAACTCCAACGCAGCTGTGGAAACTCGTCACTGAGAGCTGTTACAAAGGGGCCCCAAACCTACCACCATCCCTAAGGTGCTGTAAAGCACGAGGTACGTCAAGGCACGACCGAGCATTGCGTCGTTGTTGTCGTCCTCTCCCCACTTGAGTCCAGGTACTGTTAGTACCAGACTTTGCATCAGGGCAATGGGAAGGGAATTGGAATTCATGAACATAGCAGCCGCCATGCCAAAGCTCCTACACGAAGGATGCATTAACAGAACTTTCAGATACGAAGAAGGCGATGACTCGCCTCTGGGATTTCCTCAGTCGGAATATCCATCCTAAAACGAAGGCGACAGACATCGACGCCAACGTTACAATCGCAAAGAACAGAGGTATTATCCATAGTTCTCGTAATTTTTCTGGGTACGAAGATCAGTAAAGATTATAGAAGTACGCATCATTGCGTCGTCATCGGTGCGTCATGGAAGCCATAAACTGCGGAAAGAAGGCTTCAGCGAGGAAAGACGGTAGATTCTCTTTGCTATGTCGAGATATGTTGTTAAATGAGTTTTGACACCCTCCAGACGCGAGAAGACTCACACGAATGGTGACATGCCTCTGGACGAGTGCAGACAATAGATACCGAGATCATGTCGGAATTAAAAGAAGTCGGAATAATGACAGTGATGCAAAACCACAAAGGGCATCAACGGGCAGCCATTCGGTAGAACGAGTATCCAGGGATCGGCCGGCTGAGTCCTCATCAGGACAGCATTCCACCAATCACACCCTTGAAAGACCCTAGGACACGCGGCCTGTGTCTTTGAGACTGCAGAGCTTGGACACTACAAGGGCCCACAGTATCATAAAGAGCCTAGAGTGGATACGGTAAATTGTATACATACCAGGCACAGAACCCGCAGATCCGGAATGAAATCGGCGAAAAAGAGGTATTGACCGATGCACTACCGATGACGACGCTGCAATGCACAAAAAACTTACCGGGTGACAAAAAGAATGCGACCTTTGAAAAGAGAAGTGCAGGTGTGAACAAGGACACGTTCAGCCGATTGAGTTGCTGCAGACTTGAAGTCAGGGGCACGCGACAGGACTGTGGGAAATAAATCATCTATTGCTTACCTTCTGTGTTTTCTTGTCAAGAATTCCCCGTCCAGCGAGAATGTAACCGGCCCAGCATAGAAGGAAGACCTCGAGGATCGACTATATTTCATGAAGCGAGATTGAAATGAGTAAACTGGATGTTAACCGCGTGTATGGTGATTCTCACGGTAAATACTGTTTTCAATAGCGGCAGAATGGGCGGATCAATCATGAAATATAGGGATAGGTTGTCTAACCAAAATGGCGGTGGTGGTGAGAGGGAAGTTGGAAAAACAGCGTCTGTATGCCTAGCCCTTACGGCGGTCCTATAAAAGGTGCAGTGCCGACAGCCGCACGTGCGTAAGATTATCAGATAACGGGGACAGACTTCGATTCGGGCCTGGAGCCGGATAGATCCGGAATTGCTTCCTTCGGCGTCAGCAGATAACGGATGCTCTGGCGTACTGCCGTGCTCTTATTCGCTTATATCTCGACAGTCATGGCGTGGCTCTGTACTGGAAAAACAAACGCAGAACTCATTGCCAACATGGCCAGGAGTTCAATTATTCACGCAGATCGGGTTGAAAGGGTGAGACAGGCGACCTATACCCCTCGGCTTCGACATTGAATGTCTGACTTCTGCTTGGCATAGGCTATGTGCAAGGTTGACCGAGCTAACTACGTTATTGACAAGGAAGATGCTTACCAAGATTCCCCTCAGTTACGTCCGGTTCTTCGTTGTTGAATCAGATGCTTACTGACCGTCTTCTAGAGTCATTGGCCATGGAGCTACTATTAGCGCCCCCCACATGGTGCGATCCTTGTACTCTGTCATTATTTGAGCCACAATTGCTGTGGATGTCAAAGGACTTCTGCAGTGCCTTGAGAATTCGCGCAACAGCCTCCCAGAGATCAGTGAATAATCTTGACCTGCAGTAGTTGTGGATCTGCAATGATTTTTAGCCTCGCCAAGCTTCTACACTTTAACTGACTCCCGTCGGCTTAGCATGCTTACGCTACCGAGCATCTACTTCCGTACCTTCATCCTGGCGCGCGCGTGCTAGACGTCGGAAGCGGATCCTGGTTACTTGGCGGCTGTCTTCCACCATCTGGTCTCTTCACCGGAGAAATCAGGACAAGTCGTTGGGATTGAACACATCCCGGAGCTTGTAGATTGGTCGGCGGAGAACCTACGCAAGGACGGCTTGGCAGAAGCCTTGGACAAGGAGGAAATCGAGTTAGTAGTTGGAGACGGAAGACTGGGTGAGTATCCAATGTCACACGCCTACGAAGCTCGCGGATTTGTGGTACCGAATCGCCAAGACATCGTACCGTTAGTTTCTAAAATCTGGAGTACATCGACATTTGGCCATACCGCCTCCCAGTTTCGTCGGTTTGATCCTCTTGGTGTTCGCAATGAATAGGTTAATAATATCTATCGTGGTGTATCGGGCCTAAAATCATCTCCTTCGGCAGGGATAGCTTCCAGCTCCAAAAGAATGAACATCTTACAGGTGCCAGATGCAACGATCCCCACGCAATCGAAGTTGCCAAGATTCCATGAAACGAACCGCTGAGCTTCGTAGAATGTCTTGGACTATTATTGACCCTTTTTTTGCAGGATACGAACAGGGTGGTAAGATCCGATGACATGTATTTGCATCTCATCGCCCGACGCAATTTAGGACCGTATGACGCGATTCACGTTGGCGCCGCAGCTCCAACCCTTCCAGCCAAACTCGTCGAACAACTGGCTTCTCCTGGACGGATGTTCATTCCCGTGGGCACCTTCGCACAGCATATCTTGCATGTCGACAAGGATGTGAACGGAGAGGTCACGGAAACTCGAATCATGGACGTTCGGGTAAGTCATGATGTGATTATGAATTGGTTATGAATTGTCGTTCAATAATATTGTGGCGTAGTATGTTCCGTTGACCGATCGCGCGTCCCAGAGATGATGATCATATTGGATTCTCGAATCGCCTCGTCTTTCCGGAAGATCGAATCGTGTATTGTAATAGTATAGCTGGTGATGTCGATGATTTCATATCTTTTGTATTAGTATCGAACAAGAAATGTCTTTGACGAGCTCTGCCTAACTTCATGTCGTCACGGCCGAAGTGCTGATGGAATGGCGCTACCAGCAAAATAAGTGGTGTTTTGCGTTTCATTCACAGGACCCGAACAGTAATCTCGATGCTCCTATGTTTTCTACTTTCATTAATTGCTCTCATAAAAGCTCGTACATAAACCAGTGGTAAGAAATCTCCGAGTAAATCCGTCGTGATCCACACTGGTCACGTCGATCGCGCAGGGGCCACGTGGCCTGTGTCCTTCCGGCGTCCGCCCACTGGCATAGAACACCTCTCCAATGCTTCCACTCTAAAGCAAGCGCATCATGATAATTCATCTTCCATGATTTTTCTGTGAATATCATTTTTCTTCCTTGAAGTTCGCGTTTTCCTACACTCCTGCTGCAGCACCCTGTTGATTTCACTACCCTTCCGAGTGTCCATTTGATTCAGGATTACTTACCAAGGTACCACGAGGTACCGATGCCGATGAGGTACCAGGGTTGAGTGGGTGTTTGTTCCTCCCAATAACGTTCTAGACTCCTCACATTTTCAAATGTATGCTGCAGATCGACTTAGTTCACAGAAAGATGCGGTAAGTACTTTACTTTCCCTATTTCTCGTTAGGGCCCATCCAAGTATTGAACTTCATGTAGCAGTATCCTAGATACGCTGAGAACCATTTTGCCACTGGAAACCGGCCCCTTCTTCTCCTCCATCCGCCTTCAAGTTTGTCGTGCGTCATGGTCGTGCCGTTCTGGCGGAAACTTGCAGCTCCTGTAGCTTCACTGGCATGGCACATTCTGATATGTTGTGGAAAATCGTTCAGGTCTTTACTTTCAATTACGCATAGGAACGGAAGATGTTTCCGATATCTATGGAGATGGTGTGGCTCATCAAAAATAGCTCCTGTCGCCTTTGATCATCAAATTGACCTCGACGTAATATGTATAAGTATGTCCTAGGTCAGTACGTTACTTCAGGTCGCTCACTCCTTCCTTCCATGTTCACCAAGCTTGTTCTTAGCGCCGCTCTTTTGGGCTTGACCCATGCTGCCCTGATCGATCTAAATGCGACGAAGTCTGATGGTGTGAAGATTCTGAAGAAGCAGACCTTCGAGTACGTCCTATTTGCGTTCTTCATTTCACGTAACGCCGTACTGACGTGTTGAATGTACAGTTACGTATGTTATTATTTATCTTGCCTGCATGACAGAACTTAACCACGCCTCATTAAGATTATTGTGGGAGGCGGCACTGCTGGGCTGACGGTAGCCAGACGTTTAGCAGAGTCATCGTCGTCGACCTCTGTATTGGTCTTGGAGGCCGGTGGCTCTGGCGTTGGCCAGTAAGTGACACCGACAGTCTGAGAGTCGTCTTCGTATTTATCTTATTTTAGGGACATAGTCACGATTCCAGAAAAGTCTTTTTCTTTCGTTGGAACAGAGATCGACTGGGGTTTCACGGTATGTCGACTTCACGTCAAGTCCATTAAGTTTCCTTAGTTCTCTGCAACAGATTGCTCCCCAAGAGCATGCAGCTGACGCTGAGATAAATTTGTCGTCTGGGAAGGTGAACTCGGTGATGATGCTCTAAATGGATCAGCTGACACGATCGTAGATTCTCGGAGGCGACTCAGCCATCAATGGTTTGGTATGGACACGCGCGTCGAAAGCAGAATACGATGCCTTCGAGACTCTTGGGTCACCTGGATGGAACTGGGATACACTGTATGCGCATATGCAAAAGGTACACCAATCAATTCCGCATTATGCAATAACATATTTTCAATTTACTAAAATGACTTCAATTTTTTTCCGCAGGCCGAACAATTGGAATATCCTGCAGCGTCCCTCATTGACGAATATGGCTATGTCGTTGATGCGAGCTCTGTTGGAACATCAGGACCCGTTAGCGTATCGTTCCCGGCCTACCTCCCGCTGTGCGAGCATGCGTTTCCCATCTTTATTACATAACATGACTGATGCACAATTTCAGACAACACAGAACACTCATCGAGGCCTCTGTGGAACTCGGGCATACGTTTAACACCGATGCATATAGCGGAGAGAACGCCGGGGTGTATTATAGTCTTTCGTCTCAGACTACGGTGCCCGAGCGCGAAACGTCGGAATTCGCTTATCGTAAGTTGATATTCATTCCGACGAGTCCTTCGGCTGACACGGCTTCCAGTCACGCCGTGGGAGACCCACAAGCAACTAACAGCCTTCACCTATGCCACCGTCTCAAAGATTAACCTCGACAACTCTTCTGAGCCCAAAGCAACAGGTGTCCAAGTTATCTTTCCCGATGGATCCGAGCATACCGCCAGTCTCAAATCTGGCGGTGAAGTCATCCTTTCTGCTGGCGTTGTACGCACTCCACAATTGTTGGAGCTCTCTGGTATTGGTGACAGTGATATCCTTACGCCATTGGGAATCGATGTCAAGGTGGACCTTCCTGGCGTTGGTGCTAACTACGAGGATCAGTAAGTTTATTACATTCATTTGGGCTGATTCATGGGCTAATTTACTGTTAGTACTCTGACTCTCCTGACCTACCAGCTCAAGGATGGATATTTGTCCTTTGACGCTCTCAGTTACAACGAAACGCTCTTGGAGGAGGTACGCTCATCCAATCCGGCCGCGAAGCCGTTTACTAATTTTTATGTAGCAAACCGCTCTGTACAAACTGGGACTGGGCTGGCTTGTAAGTGTTCTGTGTTTCAGTTTACAACAGATTTTTGATCAAGCATTTCTACAGACCTTTGCTCAAGCTGTCGTCAACTTTGAACCCATCGACGTGATTCTGACAGCAGACGAAATTGAAGAGGCCAAGCAAATCCTGTCAACGAAACCTGACTCGATTCCTCAAGACCAATTCGACATCATCAAGGGGCAGATATTGAACGGAACTACTCAAGTAGAATATCTCCTGGTATGGTCGACTCCATCATTGGCTTTTTGTATTCTCATTTGTTACGCTAGTTCAATTCCTTCTCTGCCGGTACGACCAAGGAAGCCAATACTAGCTATATCTCCATGGCCGTTACTCATACACATCCTTTGTCTCGCGGATCTATCGTGCGTCGACATTCCTTTTACATGCTTGAATTCCTCATCAATTCAACTGCAATAGCACATCAACTCAACGTCTATTGATGACTTCCCTATCATCAACCCCAACATGCTTGAGGCTGAGTGGGACAACTGGTTCTTGGCAAAAGCTACGGCATACGGTCGCAAATTTTTTGAAACACAGGCATTCCAGGAAATCGTGGTTTCCGAGGAAGTCTTCCCAGGCTGTAAGTCCTTCTATTGGGAAGAAGTTTGCGAACTGACATCTGTTTAGCAACTGTCTCGACTGACGATGAATGGCTTACGGTAGATTATTTTCTTGATGCAATACCTTGGCAAAAACACTGACGATCACGCCTTTAGTACGTTCAAGAGAACCTGAACTCTGGGGTATGTCTTCTCGTTGATCTGTACGCCGTTCATTCATCTTACCATTTTTAGTATCACTCTATTGGCTCTGCTTCTCTTTTGCCAAAGGAAGGCAACTGGCGTTGTCGACGCAAACCTCAAAGTATATGGGTACGCACTGTGCCCGTGAACAAGTAACTTCCCCCGCGCTGACACTTCTTCCATAGCACCAAAAACCTTCGGGTGGTCGATTTGTCGATTCTGCCTCTGCTAATCTCTGCCCACACTCAGGTTTGTTAAATATAATGCCAAGGTTGATAAAACACTGATAGCGTTGCTTAGCCTGCTGCATATGCTGTCGGAGAGCTAGCTGCAACACTCATTACTGGTTCGACAAGTTGCTAGGTGCAAGTCTAGTCGCGGTTATCCAATGCAATATCTTCTTCAAATTCATCATCTTTACAGTATTTAAATAAGGACATTCCTTTTTCTTGTATTTCATCAGGGGTTGTCGAGTATTTTTATTTTATCCTTATGAAACAAACGCATCTTGGTCTTTGAAAGGAACAGATAAGGCTTGGGAAGGAACGAAGGTTTCTTAGGAAGGGGGAGAAAGCACCTTCTGATCAAAAACAAAAGTTAACTTTTGTACGCGGCGGCTATGTGAGACCAAGAAAGTATCAAGATGCTGCTAGCGGGCTACAGGTTTCCGCCTGAACTTGCAACAGTTCAGCCTGGGTGAGTCTTGGTGAAGATCATTCAATCGTGTTACAGGGTGCTGGGCGCTGAGAACCCAATGGCCCTGAAGGGAATCTTTCTTCGCGTAGAAAAGGAAGCTTATTGAAATCAAGGCTTCTCAGGTCACACATCAAATTGTCGCGTACTTTCAGCTCTGACCCTGCTATATCTTTCCGAAAACCAATCAAAAAGTCATATAGTAACCGTCTATGATCATCAATGTTGGGGCGGAGTCAATAAGTACAAGAACTACCACTAATCTACTACAATCAGGAAGACCGGCGGTCATTCATAACGTAGGGTAATGCATACAGAAACAGTCATCGAACTAGAGAGGTGGGTGAAGAACCATACTAAAAAATAGTACCAGGGACGGTCTGCGTGCCTCGTCAAAATACATAAAAGGTGAGAGTAAAAAAATAAACCATCCTGCATCGCGCGCCATGGCTTATTGGGCATGGCCGTTAACTCCATTTACTGTAGTTAGAGAAGGGCTCCCAGGGACTGCAGCGCGGCCCCGAGCAATGAGCTCCGTGACAGTCGCTTTCAAATTATCCAACAACGGCGACACCTGCTCCCTCACCTCAGCCCCAACGCGACCGACCTTCTCTGGCAAGGGTATGTCCTTGTCCGACACAATAGTGCGAAGGTCAGTGATTGTGGTAGTCAAACGCTGTGAGAAGTCGTGGTAGAGTTCCTGGACGTGAGGCGGGATCTGAGTTTGAAGCTGCGTCGTGGAGTTGTGCAGGGTAGAAGTGGCAGAGTTTTGAAGTGAGGCGGCCAGGGCTGTAGAAGAAGCCTGAAGTTTTTGGAGTTCAGCCAGCATGTTGTCTGAGAGAGCATGAATGCGAGTCTGGGCGTTGGTTATAGAGGAAGATGCCAGAACACTGATTGAATGTGATGTCTCCGTTGCCTTTTGCCTGTTGTGGAGAGCCAGGTTAGTGTCATGATGATGAGCGATAAGAAGGAACACATACACGAGAACTGAATGTGCCTGGATCTGCTTTATTTGCTCGTTGGAATAACCGTAAAGTTGGTCCTTGATGGACTTGGAAAGGGCGAGAGCGCGTTGATACTGATATTTGGATTCGGTCGGCGAGGAGGGTTGGGATTCAGGGCTGATCCGGGTGTACGCCCCTTCAACGTAGTTCAGGATAGGCGTGAATTGCTAATCAAGAAAAGTCAGAATTTTGGGGTTCGGTGTCAATAAGGGTAGAGTATTCACCTGGTCAATCCCTTGGACGACATGGAAAGCTGGTTGCCTGACCTTCTCGTCGATAGCTTTCGAGGCACTGGCCCTGCGCTCTCTAACAAGTTCGACGACCTCCTCCGGCTTTGCTGTGAAAGCGTAAGGGTACCTGGACTCAACGACATCGACCGCCTTGTTCGCGTAACCGTCTACACTCGCAATATAGGGCGCGAGGCGAGTCTGGATAGGCTCGGTGTACTTGTAGGCGGAAGTGGAGAGGTCCTTGGCAGTCGAATACGGAGATTTGGTGTACGCGTTGGTAGCCAGCGCTTGGCTAACAGCCTCAAGGGAAGACTGGATAAGCGGGATAGAAATAACGCGAGAAAACGCGGTAAATTCTGGGGTCGTCGTCGAAGAGGGCATCGGGACGGATGAGGTTTCCGTCTTGGTAGACATGGTGGTGGTGGTGGTTGGGGGGTAAGCTGGGTAAATGCACGTCAAGGAATATATACCTTCAGTCCCTTTCGCATGTGATAATGGCGGCTGTCCATATATAGGCATACTTACTTCTTTTCGATGTCAAAAATACGTAATGCTTATCTTCTTGTTTTCTGAGACCCGCAGTTATCTCAAACCATACTTGTCTGCGATTCTCTATTCAGAAAACCCACTTCTTGGGGTCACGAAATACGGAAGAAACGGGGAGAATGTGTCTCAATGGGGCTGAATTACAATTCGATGCACGTCTTTTTTCACATGTTTCGCATCCACAACGCACGAGATTTGCAGAATCTAGAGAACGGTGAGGCAGGATCAGGAATGTTCGAGACTCGTATCAATTAAACATCGAAGACGATAACATTCGGATCTGTGCCGGTCTCGACATGAGCATAAAATGCGATACTCAGCACCGGACCGTCCCCGGGTGCGAGGGCATGGAAATATTCAGAATGAGGCCGGAGCCAGGAGTCCGGCCAGGAGCTTTTCTCGCTGCGACTTGCCCCGAATATATGCCTACAGTTAACGGGACATACCTTTAGTCGTAAAGAGAGTTTTCCAATGAACGAAATACGATGAGATGTACGCAGGGAACAGAAGGTGCTCAAAGTGGCTGTGCTACACTGCTTCCCGATTTGGTTGGTACTTTCGAGACTTGACCATGAGCTTTTGCTTGCGGTAAATAACTATCATGAATATGTTCTAACATTATTTCCGATATTTATTGAGGAAGAAGGAGTGTACAGGATAACTTCAGCCCTCAATTTCACTTTCCACATGGCCAGTCCGGACTCTGAGCAAAAACATCTTCCCTCCTTCGTTTATGACCCTAAATTAAACCATAAATAGAGAGGGAAGCAGAAATACCAACAGAACTTATTTCCAGTGCTTAACCATTCCTGCTTCCGCTGTAGGAAAGGATTTGGCGATGTCCGGACTCCTAGCTCCGGCCCCGTCCTCGAAATATTTATTGAATCATATTGGTTCATATTGATGGCTCTATAGAAAATGACAAGGAGGATTGAGAAAACTAACCGAAACCTGATAATAAATTCAAGCTCTCCTGCCTTCTCTGTTTCCCAGTACCAGCAAAGACTTCTCGTGATATCGGATAAGGTAGTGTAAATGTCATAATCATACATCTGACTGATCAGTCAATGTCGGAGAGATGGATTACTGGGATATTTTTCTTGTCTCCCATTTTTACTGCTGCTAGACAATGATGAGTTAGTGTTGGTACCGGCACAAGGTCCCAACCAGGAACGCCAGGTCTACAGCCCTAGTACCTCCCGTACCAGTCACTACTTATCTCTTCTACGCAATCCTTCATACCGTTGAAGACTCGGAGGGAGCTGAGCAAAGAGGATTGTAGGAGCCTCGTCGCCTCTTAGTCAAGCACCAACGAACTTTGGTTGCAAAGGAAATCTGCCAAAGTATGACTGATGCACAATGGTAAGCCAGTTTTCGCCCCATCATTAAATCCGACAAAAATGCTTTCAAGATCTTGCAGGGAAAAGACAGATACTCATTCAAGCTCTACAAAGCAGAAGAGGGGATGGATATGTTAGCTAGTAATACGCTCAATTCGTACCTAGCGAGGATGTTGACTACTCTTGTGGCGATCCAGACACGCGATGGCACACCATCCACCGTACAAAGTCGAGCGCTCAATAGGGCATGAGGCTGCGGCCTGCTGAGGAACTGGCTCAACTAGCCTACCCTGAAGAAGGCAAACCCAAGCATGTCATCACTGAATTATGATTCATCTGCAATCATCCGGATACGTTTGCGTGTGCTGACTCTAGGTGATTTCTCCGCAAGAACGCCATAAATGGCTCCCGGTGCGAACGCGATAACGTTCCGGATGGTCCCTATTTTCGTTTACAATGAAGGAGATATCCATACACTCACATTCATCGCACTAGTTGTTATGGCTTACCCCAAGGGTGCACCCCTGGGAGGCCATGAGCACAGGACCGCCGTGATCGTATGTTTGTCGCACCTTTACTACCTGCGAAGACATCTAAATATATACCTCAGAAAAAAATGATGTACGACAAACAGCTGCCAGGACGCACCGCAGCTATCGGTCGCTGTTTCCCAATGAACTGAGGTCGCCAAAACGAGAACAATTAGATAGACTTCAGAGGTTCCTAAAGTCTCGATATCTGTAAACACATACAACTACAGATGGTGGCCACAACGACGGCTTGAGCTCGGAGTCCACACACGATGTCAGCATCGACTTGGGAATTCCCACAGAACTTCGGATCCTACTGGAGACCGCGTGTGACGGCAACGGGGACTGTTCAATATGATGCTGGAATGGGAATTTACAAACAAGTCTTCGAGCTTCGCCTACCACATTTGTGAGTGGTCTAGCACGCCTCATAATGCATCCGACAATATCCCTGAGGGCGTCAGTAAGTCTCATTTGCGGCGAAATATTGCCCGAGGTCCAGTTATCGGAGCTTGAGTTCCGTCCAAGTGAGACGCAATCAATGACCCTAGAAGAGCAGTCAACTAGTTCAATAAACACCTCAATACTACAACGATAATGCCAAGGAGGTACGAGCTGCATCATGTGGCGATTGTGTCAAGAGTCTAGTCGCAAGCCCCGTTCATGTGGCGATGGACTGATACAATCTACAATGCAGAATGTACGAGACTCAAGAAGGAAGCCTGGCGTGAGAATGCTGCATCTCGTAGTGGACGATAGATGTGTTGCGATAGCGTCTCCAGAGCCGATAGCCATGGAAGTTCACAAGCATGAGAGCCAGGAGCTCCAATGAGGACATCAGAATTCAATATAAAAGGCGGTACAATCCATAGAGCGATGGGAATTGCGGCGAGATGTTGATACAAGGCATGTGAAAACGCAATTGGAGACGTAACGGTCAAGTGTGAGGGCAATTATCAGATGGAATTCGCAGCCTAGGCTGTGCTGATGAAAAGATAGAGTTTCCGAGTCGGAAGAAGCGTTGCTGGGGATAGAAAATGATAAGGGGGTGTATTTAGGTCGAAAGAGGAAGGAACGACTGAGGAACAACATCCTACAACAACAAACGGACCGGAACGGTTCCTCCGGTCGGCATATCGGCATGTCTCGATGGAACAGGAACAAACAACGCGTCGCTCACGTGGTACCTCGAACTTCAGCCTCGCGGAATTTCCGAGTCTCTCCTCACTTCATTTTCTTCCAATGCCTGTCGCGTCCACATCTCGTCGAACTCGAGCTTGTAATGGCATACCGAAGACGCCCACAGTAGACCGTCTTGCGGATCAATTAGCCTCTGGTCTCAGCATCACGAACACGAAAGGGAAGGCGAAAGCTCAAACACCTATCCTTAGTGCGGAAAGGCAGAAGATCGTCGCCATGCGCGCTGTAAATTCCGCCTCTCAGTCTCTGGCGTCAATAGTGGCTTCGGGTTGGAAACAGTCGACTGGTGATTCGCCCAGAAAGCTTACGGAGGCAAAATCAGCGGCTACGTCAGCTGTCACTCACATAGCGTCTCTGCGAGAGCTATGTCCGGGGGATATAGATGTTGAACGGGCTGCTATGAGTGTTCTGGGAAAGCTTGTTGCGCTGGATATGGTGCGCCACTCTACTCTTGGATTTTACTCAGCCACTAACATACTCATAGCATGATGCTGCATTGCTGTCCTTGCCTGACATGCACTGCAGTCTCTGCAAGCTTCTATCTGTGTCAATTCCATCAAAATCAAAGCCGTCTGGAAAGCTCCATTTGATCACCGTGCCGATTCCTGCAATACCTTCCTCTATCGAACCTTCCCTACTGACTCTGGTATCTAATTATTTTATGTATGCGCTGGTGGTTATCACATCAACATATTTTCCGCCGCCAAAAACGACCTTACGACCGCACAAGTTGCCTACTGACTTTCTAACGAATCTGGCGGACACCCTACGGCATGAATTCACCCTCATGTCCTGGATGCCTTTCTTTCAACGTCTTCCGACAAAGCATATTGACTTCATCCTCACCCGAATCTATTCTGTGCTAACCAAATCTATTCCTGCCGAAATCATGCAATCCGACACGTCATCTGCATTCTTCATCCGGATGCACGCTCTTTGTTGTTTGGCTTATACGAGCCCTGGTACTGTTGGAAGTCCAGACGTCTTTTGGGAGCAACCCACGAAGTACGCCGCTGTTTACATGAAATCATTGCTTTCGGAGCAGCCCTCTTCGTCAGACGTGCATCAACAGGCTGGGAATATCTTGGTCCAAGCTTTTTCCCACCTGGTTACAATCGCGGAGACAAAGCAGGATAGTACAGAGTTTCTTAAAGGGAAGAGCTTCGCGGGATTTTGCGAATACTGGATAGAGCTCACGAATCGCGTAGGAAAATCTTTTACTCATGTTCATTCATCGACTCAGGATTCTTCGCCACAGAACGGAAATATTGCCTTGTTAGATAAGATTGTTGGACTGATCCATCGTGCATCTCCGCCGAAGGAAATGCCTCCATCCATGGGCGATACAGAAATACCAAGTCCGGAAGAGCACGAACCGAAACCACCCCTCCCCAAAGTGGATAAGGCACACTTTTGTGCCAACCTTACGCGTACCGCATCCTTATTAGACAAGCCTGACGAAGGTAAGGTACACATGTCGTGCTGATCAGAAGACTTACGTTTATTCACCAAGGTTCTTTGCACAATGCCTTGGACAGTACTATGGCACTTTTGGACCAGGTGGCCGAGGATCTACGCCGCAATCCGGATATCTCGTGGATGGAAGGCAAAGGTGACCGTGCATTAGAAAGACTTCGAAGGGCTGTTGTCAAGACCCTCGAATCCACGTCTGGCGGTTCCGACGCCCAGTTCAAAGATGTCTCTGAAATCTCTTCTCTTCTCGAGCTGATTGTGAATGTTCTGGAGCAGATCATCAAGGTGGTAAGTGCTGTGGCCCGATCATTTGTATTCTGATTGACAGTCCGGCAGAAACCGTCAAAAAACACCCTGACACAGGCGCTCGAGACACTGTTTGTATTGTCACGGTCCCGGTTGGACGTCTCAAACATCAGAACCTATGTCCCTGCGCACAGCTATCTGGTGCGAGCGGCAGCACTAGTCGAACTAGGTAAAGACGGTGTCACTGGCTTTGACGAAGCAAACTTTACACGCTGCGTATCTGGGGCTTTTCATAACGCTGGCGGAACCTTGTATCAATCCGAACGGCATGCTTCTGCCATCAGCTTTTTCAAGGATGGTTGCGAACTTGGTTCAAAGGCTTTGAGCCTCCAATCACGCCCTGGATCTGAAGGAGACGACAAGGAAGGTGGATGGATCCAATTGAATAACCAGTTGTATCGACGCTGGCAGCTGCTGGGTCTCTGCTATGCAAAAATCGGTGACAGAAAGGTAGGCCGCTATTGACTCATGCTTTCACTATCTCATTTTGAAGTAGCCTGCTCACGAAGCATTTGTGCAATGCATAAAGGTCTTTCCCTACCAAGTGTCAGACTTCGTGCAGCGTTCTGGAAATTCTAGCCTTAGCGCTCTCTTCGATTGTTCGCCTGCCGTCAAGGAACTGTGCAGCATAGTGGACAAGGTCACCTACCAAGGCGTATGTGATCTGATGTTGTTCCATCCCGATATATCCCTACGATTTGCCGGGCTCGATAATCCAAGCGTCGTTGGGGCACTTCTAGAACGACAACTGGGATGTTTGGAGCCACATCTTGTCAAGAAATCCGTCCAGGCGGTAATGGCGGGATTGTTGAAGGATGCAACGGAACTTTACACTTGTGCAGGCATGCCTTTACGGCGTGCCAGGGTCCTTATCCAGTGTTTGATATTCGCCTATCATTGCGGGCTAGATATAATCAGTCAAATCGGAACGCCTGACGCCATTGTTGTTGACATCCTGGCTCTTGTGAGTGAGGTAAGAGTATTCCATTGTGGCGTTTGTCACCTCCTAATGAAATTCTTTCCAGCACTCAGCTACAGACGCGGGACTTGCAGCATATTCTTCGCAGTATCGTGCTCTGGCTCACATCTGGCAAGCGATGCATGCACATCGTCGTGCTGATACACAGCAGATGGCGCTAATTATCGAAGGCTCAAATGCTGCTTGCGAGATTTTACGATCTTATTTGCAATCAGGAGCTGACGCTAAGGTGTCCCGGAAAGCGACACCTAAGCAGTCCTCAGCCAGGAAGCTGAGAAACCGGCGTCTAGTACGAGAAGAACAACAGCTAAGAAGACACCGGCAAAGACACCCACTACACCTAAGCCTCGTCAGCGCAAGGGTTAGTGATCACTGACCTGATGAACCACATATTCTAACTTGATGTTTTTGCAGTCCCTGGAAGATGTACCAATCAACACGGCCACGCCTGCTCAGACAGCTACCCGATCCTCCACTGCTAATGTCGTGTTCGAAGACGCAGGGAAACTTTTGGATACTCTTCGTAAGTCCTCCTTGTCACCCTACTCCCTACCCTTCAATGTCAAACTTCCTTTCAGAGTCGTTTGGTTCACATTCTTGGCGTGCTATCCCTTTTGATACCCAGAGTCAATGCCTTGGACATCATGCGAAGAATTTCCGAATGTTCCGGGGGTTGCTCAAGCGATCGTAAGGCATCCCTTTTTTTTATATACACAGGCTCATACTGGTGCAGGTTATGTATGGGCTTCAGCACAGCTAGCTCATGATTTTGTAAGCCTTGGGAAAATGAAAAGAGCAAACAAAATCTTCAGTCAACTATCTCCGACGGTGCAAGCTGGACAGGTGTCTTTCGATGTAGCGATTACATTTCTCCTCCGCTTTGCAGAATCTAGAGTTATACTCGATGATATAGCACAGAGGTGGGTCCTAGCGTTACCAGTTGGGTGCCCGTCATGATAGTCGTTCATAGCTCCGAATTATACCAAGCAGCTCTGAATTTCTCGGATCATCTGAAAGAAGACAAGACGCTAGCCTCCCTTACAACGTGTTCAACAGGCGTATCGTTCGTATAGAAAAGACGGCTATGGCTTTTCATGTACACTCACTTATCCAATCTTGTAAAGTAAGTTTCAAAAGATTGTTAGATCCTTCGACACTCTAATCATGCTGCAGGACGACACCGCGTCCTATCTTGATGGTCTTCTTCAATCCCTGAGGCAGTGGAATCGTGCTTTCGATGCCCTCTCACGTCTTCAACCCCCGTCTTCGAAACCAAAGCCCTCCGACGAAGCAGATCCTTTCACAGACCCCCGCACTTCACGGACACCGGAGGACGCGTCGTCTAACCCAGCAAAGAAAGAGTTCTCACGCCGAGAAGCTATGAATGAGTTGGGCTGGCGTATATCAGAGGGTTTAATGTTGACACTGTTTGCCCTATGTGATGGGTATGCAATTCAAGGCTCGGCTCGTGAAGCAGAATTCTTCGCGCAACAGGCGGAAGATCTTGCCCAGGCTTTGAATGCTCCTGCTATGATGGCACGAGCTTTGATTCGGAAAGCAGAATTGCAGGTTGCATCAGGAAAAACTCGAGGAAGGCCGAGAGAGTCTGGCGGCAGCTCTTCAGCTGATGTGTGATGACACGGGCATTGATTTAGCTGACATACATCGACTTCGTGGGCAATTTAGTCAAGTCGATGCGGATATCGACTATCAAATGGCGGCACAGATTTGGAGCGGCTCGACAAGACTTTCGGACTCTTCGATGGCCTAGTATTCGGGTATGCTCCCTCGCATGTTTTCAGGATGAATGAATAGCTCATGAAAAATGCAGACCCCGAAGATCCACAGGCACAGAGCTGATGGTGCCTGGACTGCTTACGAAACTCTTACGAAACCGAAGTATGTGGCCCATTTTTGGTTTCTCTGTATTGTCTCAATCCTTCTCTAGTCTGGCACCTCCGTGACGACAATGGGGAGCAGTCTACCGAACTACTGGAGATGTTTATGTGTTTGTCATATAACTCTCAAACCAAGGTATTGCCTCCAACTGTTTTACTTGTGCTTTCGTCTGATTCTGTTCCAGGCGGAAGAAAACAGTTTAATTGCGAAACTGACGCTCCATGGTGTTTATAAGCGTTTTCGCGCTGATATGTTCTTGAGTTCTCTTACAGAATCCAGTAGGCTTTCTTGTATTTCTCGCTAGTCGGTATACTGAAATTGCTATAGCAATAGCCCTGCCGTTAGGAACGGCGGGTGCGGATACGCCCACATTGTCAGGGACATCACTAGAGATCACTCGAAGTCTGGAAACAGCAGCTCGACTGTTTTGCGATAACTTGAAGCTCACGGCGCATAATGGCAATGTGTCGCATGTCCGCGAAGCAGCTATCAAGTTAGCGCTCATCAGAGCCTTCCAAACATCCTTAGGAAAATCAGGAGCGGACGGACCCCTTCTTGTCGCTAGTCTTCTAGGTATCTTTCTCCCGCATATCAAACTTTTGATGTATTTATCCTCGCTGCAGACGCTTCCTCTGCTATAACGCTTCGACGCGAGATGTACGAGGCCATCCTTCACAAGTTTCCAACCGCGGTTTCCTTGGATGATTGTCGGTGGCCGCTCGCGTCTGCATCAAGAACTTCCCAGAACAGTAGCAAGCCCATTCTCTGGCGACCTCGAACCAGTGACGCGTCCGACGATGAAACAGACGCGGCGGAATCATCACTCAAGGACTATTGGAATCGTGTACAACAACGGTATCGATCTCGACCCGTTGATATTCCAACTTTGTCAACGTGCCAAATGGCGTCACTTCCAGTCACTTGGTCGGTCGTACACATGTGCGTCACCGAGGACAAAAGCACGCTGTTCGTCACTCGACAGTATGGGGGGGACGTTCGTGATAGAGACTTGGTCTTCTGTGTTCCATTGAAGGGCCGGCGAGATGGTGAAGGGGACGAGGGGCATCTGACGTTCGAGGATGCAATTACTGAATTCCAGGACATAATACGATCAAGCAACCAGACAACGAAAGCAGCCGTCAATATTAAGCCCAATGACGATGATGCGAAGTCTAAATGGTGGAAAGAGCGTGCTTCGTTGGACACCAGGTTGCGAGAACTGCTGCAGAACATCGAGTTCTGCTGGTTGGGGGCTTTCAAGGTGCGTCTATGATGTCGTCTTTCTTTCTGATGCTGAAGACATTGCCAGACTATTCTCAGCCCGCGTCCACAACTTTCCGCTGAGGAGATTACACATTTGCGCTCTTTGTTCGATAAAGCCTTTCAGCGAGGACTGCACCTCCAAGACAAGAAGACCAAGCAAAAAGCAATAGGTCACCGAAAGATCGCTTCCGATTACCAAACACCTAATCGGGTTACCCTCGATGATACACTCATGGAATGTTTTTCTACCTTGTCTCCTCAATGCCAGGACGAGGAACTAGAAGATCTCGTTTACTTCATGCTCGATCTGTACCAATTTCACGGTGTTTCCGTGGCCATCGCCGAGATTGATGTGACACAAGTGGTCATCGACTTACGCTCAGCATTGGAGGACCATGTTTCCCGGAGGACTAGAAAAGCACGTAACGTCCCACAGCCGGACGAACACATATTCTTGGTCTTGGACAAGGACATCCAGGGTTTGCCCTGGGAAAATATTCCTATCTTGCGAGGCCGAAGTATCAGTCGCATTCCCAGCGTCGAGTTCCTTCTGGATAGAGTTGAATTCTCACGTTGGCAACAGAAGGCACGATGCAGATCGGGTGTCGACTCGGATGTGGACAGAGCATTTGTGGATCCTCGAAAAGGGTATTATGTGCTCAACCCAAGCGGCGATCTCAGCCGCACGGAAGGGAGGTTTAAGCAGTGGGCGGAGGACATGGAATCTGTCGGTTGGCAGGGAATTATTGGACGGCCACCCAGTGAGCAGCAATTCCTGAACGCTCTGCAAGACAAGGATCTTGTTGTGTCAGTGTACTCTTTGTTGCGTTTCGAGGTCCGGCACTAATATTATTATTCCTTAGGTATTTCGGTCATGGGGGTGGAGAGCAATATGTTCGTTCACATAGAATCCGTCATCTTCCTCGATGCGCGGCTGTCATGCTCTGGGGGTGTTCTTCGGGCTTTTTGCGGGAGATGGGCAACTTTGATCGCGTTGGTGCCCCTTATAATTATATAATTGCTGGATGGTAAATGGATCGTTTGCTCTAGACCCATGTCGAGTTTACTAATGGCATTCCCAGCCCGACGTTGGTTGCTAACCTATGGGATGTGACTGACAGAGACATCGATAAATTCTCACAGTCAGTATTTGATAAGTTGCATCTCACTAGAGACCACGTACAGGACTGGACTGTTGGGTCGATGATGGATCCCGAGAGGACATCTCTTGTTGCAGCCGTCGCTCAGTCAAGAGATGTGTGCAAGTTGAAATATCTCACTGGAGCAGCGCCAGTGGTATATGGTATCCCTTTTTATCTGTGATCTTAAGGATGCTCTTTAAGAAGTAATTTAAATGATGACATACACATACCGGAACAGTGCATATTTACCATTGGATCGTATATACCCACCCATCAAGTTCATGTAGACTCGCCAAAAAAATGGAGGCCTCTCTCACACTATACATTCTTACACACGTTTTCTTAAGGTCAAGCACTTTCGACTGTACGTTTGCCAGTAAAATGTACCAAAGGTTAGGTGTGGATATGATGGCATACTAGGATTGTATCACCTCGTCTCTTTGCAGGAAGGAGTTGTCGATGAGTGACGGCAGCGTGTCTCAGAGCTAGCTCACGATCGATGATAGTTTAAATTCTAAACTCTTTGACTGAGCCAAAAACTCGAATCAGATCTACCAAAATGTCCCCACACTGTCAAACCCTGACAAATTTTCGCTGATGTACTACACACTTACTTGACGTCTAACGCGTATTAATTAATGACCGACGCCGAACGAATCTTAGTATTCCACATGATATGTCCTAACCGTAGAAAGGCCCGCAGCAATACTTCTGTTAAATATTGAACCGCTCTAGTGGGACGAATACTTTATGCGCAAGAATGGAATCCGTTACCATATAGGGCTTCTGCAGTTTTTGCCGACTTAGACTTACCTCCAGAGAGTCATTGCGAAGTCCGCGCATTAACAAAAAGGGGAGTAGCCACAAGACCGACCCTGAGGGAACTTGAGGATGAGGAGCCGAAAGGATAATCTGGAACAGGGTCGAGTACGACATAGACAGACGGTTACATGCAAGCACCAAGGAGACGGGGCGATGGCAGAAGTCGAAGTCGAAGCATTCTTGCACTACTTACATTTGAGGCGTATCATATTCAACTCAGAACACGGATACTGTTATCAAACCTTCTCACCAGCTAGTACGAAACATGTACAATGTGACACATTGAAAGCCAGAACTTCCCCCTTATCCTGCCCTGCCCCCTTTTATCTACTTTCCATACTTCGGTGAGTCTAAATTTAGATGGCGAAAAGTACTTTCAGTATTTTGAGACTCCGCTTAAAACTCTACCGGTCCGATACGGTCCGCTATTTTCGTCTTCAACAGTTGCCAATGATTCTGCGCCGCAAGCACTCTCGATATCTTGAAATGCAGATAGTTTCAATATCAGACTAGAGGCATTTGAGGTTTGTAATACTTTGACCCTGTGTGCATGGCCACCCTATCAGGCCCAGTACCATAGGTACGCGCTCTGCGAGTGCGGCTTACCACCACCAGGGTAGAATGAAGCCGTGTCTGGCGCAATTCAAGGTGTCGTAGCGTTTCTTTGATCGCCGCGACCTTGGAATTCTTTTCTTCAAGTACCCGGTCCTTCGGCGTGATCTTCTTGGGAATGCTTCAGATTTCGTCACGGAATGTTTAGGAATATAAAGCCTTCTCTTCCTCAGCCTGTGTGCGCTATGGCTTGGGAGTCATTGAACTTTGATACTTCTTCAGGGTACGTTTCTTTGGTCTCTTGCTTCAATTGGCGTCGCTAATATCTACTAGGGCGCTTCTGGCGTCTTCATGGTTGAACATGATGTTGTACACGTCCCAGGTCGCTCTAAGTATCTATTGCTTGTGCCACTTGACGATGACGAGGTGGCTACGCTACTGGATCTTCACATCTTTGGTCCTCGATGGGGCTTGTTCTATCGTAGATGTGGCTAATGTTTACGCCGTGCGTCCCCCGGCCTGGTCCTCGCTCTCCCGTTGTGCTAATGCAGCTCTCTAGTATCTGGTTATGAATAATGGTTGGTGTTCGAAACAATTTTGTGTCCATAAACTCACAACTCGATTTATGTCCAGTTGCATCATACCCTACATTGTCATGGACTGTCCCGACTGGAGCTTTGCTTACATACACCTCTGCCTCGATTGCGCAAGCCTTCTTCTGTTACCGATATTGGACACTGTGAGTTTCTCATACCTCTGATGTGTCTCATTCTCAGGCTTGGAGGTGTTTAGTACCAGTAATAAGTGGATCACTGGATGGATCATATTTCTCATCATAGCCCATGTGAGCCTTCCTTTACCGGTACGAATGATTTTTTTTCTTTTCAACGGCGAGTATAGATGCTCTGCAATCTGGTATCAAACATGTATCTTCTCGTTCATCCGGACGACCTCATATTAGTTATACCGTTGGTGATGTGAGATCATACTTTTTCGACCCAACGCTTTTGTTTACCCAAAGTCTGAATGTAGTACAAATGCTGTGATGTGTGCAGCAACGGACATTACGATTGCAGGGTCTCTGGCCTGGGCATGTTTACACATACAGTCAGCATATGCCCATACAAAAAGGTGAGCATTTCATTCTCTAGCAATCTTGTTCCTTTCGGCCATTGATGATAAATCTAGCTTATTGCGTCGTGTGATGATACAAGCCTTGACTTGCGGCTTCACGACGGCCATGTCTACAGTCCTCGTGATGGTTTTTCTTTTTACTGTCTGGAATGGTGCGCCAGATCTCCTGTTCATCCTCGGTTGTTGTTAACTATCATAAAATAGCATCCTTCACCATCTTTGCCGCCCTCGGGCGCATTTATAGCCTGACGGTTCTGATTACCCTTATGCTGCTTAAGACTATGAGTCGTAGCGATCCATCCTCTTTCAGAATAGATGGCGATGGTGGTTTCGAGCCGGTAATACTGACTCCAGTTTGCGATGTACAGTTTGGGCACACGTTGGACACTGAGACAGGAAAGACGCAGACATCAAGTGATAAAGTACGCGTACATACTTTCTGTTACATCCTTACTGATCGCATTTTGGTAGAGTGAAAGCACTGCCGACTCGACGCATCCGCACTTTGAGGCTCTGGCTAAAAATTGTATTCGGACTGTTTAATTTGATACCCTTTGGTTCGGAAAGATAATACCAAGCACTAACATCCACAAGAAAATCACGAAGTCCATTCGTGCTGTAGTTTGTATGTCATCCTGTGATGCGTCCATGCCGTACCTCTCTCCAGCTGTCTAACGATCAGCGCTGCTGTAGCATTGAGCTATGATGTCGGTAAGCGAGCGTTCGTTCCCCTGGACTCGTTTCTTGACTTAATTAAACCTCACAGAAGCAGTGCCTGTGGTGGCTTTGGGAATATACTAGCGATTATACTTGGCAACGTACGAGTTGTACCTTAGCTTTGTACTGAATCATGTTGCCTGCCGCTTCGGACTCCGTGGGCTAAGCTGTGATATCACAAAGAATGTTCGAAAATAGCAGTTGGCCTCCCCGGAGACGGGTATAGCCAAGAACAATTGATTTGATTTACGCAAAGAATAGGCGAGCAACGAATTACGAGTTGACTGCAGTGCTTCTGGAGGTGCCACGGGAAACAAGAAACGGGATCACAAAGTCTGAGTCGGGATCATCTTCATTAACGGTAAATTCAACGTTAAATCTTGTGTTCTCTCCGATATCGGATTACCCACCACTACCACCCATTCATGTATTTACATGTTTGTTTTACGACGCAACCTTGGCGAGGCTGGCCATGGCGTTATCAACCCAACCACGATGCATACTCCAGAACAATATCGCAGTCAAATCACAACACGACTGGAACACGATTATGCACTTGCAAAAGGGCGGATGCCTAAATTTGGACCATTACCCCGAGTCGGCAAGATTGACACGACACCCGGCACCATTACATTATCCAATCACTAAAAGCCATTTCTCGACAGTCATGCGAATTTCCGTCTTTCCGTCACGGACTTAATTTTGTGAGCGACTCCGAGGAGACTGCTAGGGTATATAAGCAGCTAGTCGATGGGTGACGATGCTCAGATTTCGCGGTCATGTCCTCGCCTAAAATCTTCATTACTGGTGCTACAGGTGCGCCCGATTCTCTCCATGTTCTGTTGGCCTGCTGCTGATACTTGTTGTCTGAAGGGTACCTCGGAGGTTCCTTCCTTTCCAAGCTCCTTACCGTGGTCAACCCTGCCACAATAACTGCTCTCGCACGGTCAGAAGACAAGGCTGCGAAGCTTAGGACGCTCGAAGTTCAGACTGTCATCGGAAGCTACAAGGATGTCGATGTGCTCACCGATGCCGCGTCGAAAGCAGACATCGTGCTTACCTTTGTAGGCATCCTCGTTACTGGGAGTAGGATGTTACTCAATCTCTATGCTAGGTCGATGCAGATGACCACGTCGCCGCCCAGGCTATCCTTGATGGAATGAAGAAGAAACACGAAACCGATGGATCTGTACCTGCTCTGATTCATACCGTGGGTTTTCATGTCGCTGTATCTCTACCTGGCCTAACGTCTCATCTCTAGTCCGGGACTGGTGTCATTCAAGATAACGCACTGGGTCTGCACAACAAGTACCCTGTATTCTCCGACCTCGACTTGGATCGTCTCGCAAGTATCCCCGAGGAAGCTATTCACAGGAAGACGGATCTCTTGATCTTAGCCGCAGACAAGCAAGGTGCGTTCGCCTATCACCCCCGTTTTGAATTCTGACCTCTAATTTGATTGATTCAGGGTACATACGTTCTTACCTTGTTCTGCCGCCTACCGTGTACGGCCTAGCTACTGGTGTCGTGGCAGATCTGGGCATCCAAAACATCCACTCCGTGCAGTTCCCTGCCATTGTCAAGACCAGCATGTTCCGGAAGCAAGGTGGTATGATTGGTGAAGGTGTGAATGTTTGGCATAACGTTTCTCTGTCCGATAGTGTGTATACCTTTCTCTTGTTCCTTATTGACCCTGATCTCGTGGTCTCAAGCTGTCGACTTCTACGTCCTTTTATTCAACACTGTTGTCAAAAGGCCTGACACCGCGCATGGCGCGGAGGGATACTACTTCCTCGAGAACGGCGAGCATAGCTTACGGGAAGTCGCTACAGAGATCTCCAAGGCGTTGGTGGAACTTGGAATTGGCACCAACCCTGAGCCGAGCTCGTACACCGAGGAGGAGAAAGAAGCATTCTTCGGAGTACGTCCATTTTCCTTTAGGTCGATAGGCATTACTGATGTCCGTTCGTCTGTAGCCACTCTGGCCTTTCCTTGGAACTAATGCCCGGGTTAGGGCTGATCGCTCTCGGGCTCTTGGGTGGAAACCGGTCGATGGGAAGGACAAGATGGTCGCTAGCCTTAAGGCTGAGATTGTATCTTTCTTGCCTCCTGCGTAAGATTAAGTATCACAAACGTTGTAATATGTACTATTGTAGCTGTATACCACGTATAATGGACTAGATTGCATTTGCAGAGCTTTCAATAGGTAGCGTGATTGGTTAACGGTGTTTCCCGGTTCGCACCCTCTCATCCCACAATGTTCTGACATTCTTTTGTCGCCGTTGGGCCCGAGTTCAGCGCTATCGTAATCTCTCCAAATTCATTTGTCTATCAGTTCCCTCTGGATGTCCACGTTGCGGTTGGCAGGACAGTCACTTGACGGTTGAATGTGGCCTTACCCTCAGCTAGTGAAGTTCCGTCGTCAACTGTTAGACAGCGTGGCCGCCTGCTACAGGTGGACTTCAGGGTGCCCAGATACATTCATGTCCGTGGTTTCTATTCGCGCAATTGACGTTTGCTATGCCGATTCTCTTGCCAAGTGTGGAGGTCAAGTGGAACTCGCATGCCAACCATTTATCTCACGATTCATTGCCCCAAGGCCGGCTTCCCTCACACGACACAGTCAGCAGGTATTCATTGATTATGTTGGGCTAATAATCCACCACCAGAATGTCGACGCTTCAGAATGAAGAAATGCAGGACCATGAAAAAATTTTGGTGCAAGAATGGAAGATATTCACCTCAAATAAAATATTTTCCCTGAAATAGGCTAAAATCTTTCTGAAAATTTGCCATGTATGACGTCACGCGTCGCATTTACGTAAAGTCAAATATTGTCTCTCTTTTTGCTCTCCTTTGTTTCTCAACGTTCTGAACCCAACCTTCAACTTGAAGGTAGCTTGAACCACGACCTCTGGCAAAATGGGCGACAGTTTCGTTCTCAATCGGCTTATGTTCTGCATGGCTCATGGCAATGAGCTATGCAACAAGTGCTACTGCGACCATCGCATGTGCAACAATCTCATTGCAGAGAGTATGGAAGGAACCAGTGGCGTTGCGAAAAGATTGATCAAGGATGCAGTAAGGGTCCATTTTTTTCTTCGACTTTGTCATTCATGTGCTATTCAGGATCGAAAACCTATCAGCGACATCTTCGCTCTCGGCGCGGTCAAGAGCGGGAAAAAGGATGCTGACGGCTATCCATCCTACAAATGCAAAATACACGATACTATCGACTGTCCAGACTGCTTCGATTGGATCAAAATTATAGTTGCACAGTCCAAGAAGAAAGACAAAGGCAAGGTATGGGGGTACTTGCCAGCCGCTGAAGAATATCCGCTGATAGAAATAGGTCGAGGATCGGAGTCAGATTTTGGGGTTGTTGGAGTCGATGGGTGTCGAACTGCCTCCGACTTTGAAATTGCCCAATGACGCGCTTGAGAAGAAGCTCGCCAGTGCCTTGAGTGCTGCCCAGGAGATATCAACTCTGGGGAAATTCCCGATCAATCCTTCCAAGCTTCCGTTGTGGAAAGTGAGCGGATTTTGTCAAAAATGCCCTTGTCACCGTTTATGGACGATAATTTGATAGAATCAGTCCAAATCAGCATTTGATGCTATGCAACGAACGAGCATGGCCGAGGCGATGAGGAACTATAATGCACGGGCGCGAGGGCTCCCAGACCCATTTGCCTTGTATAGCTCTGCTTTTATTGACGCAAGGCAAACTCTGAGGCATTTGTGTCGCAATCTTGAGGATGGTATGGCGGTCAATATATTGCAAGACAAAGATCATAATGAAGTTATCTGTATTCGCGTACGTGACATGATTCTTTCGCTAGCTCCATTTCTAAACTCGGGGATCATAGGTCTTGGACATTTACAAGCTCAATGACAGAACGCCACTCATTTCTTTGATCTACGAAACAGCCAGCATTAGTACACCCATTAACACCACCATCGATTTCGTTCAGAATGTCATCTCGAAAAGACGTAGCGACGGGCAGATGGGACTTCCACAAATTGTCTGCACGCCAGAGGAACAGGCTTTACTCCGCAAGCTGTTGTTTCAAAATTCCCAACGTTTAGTACCGGAATACGCGCCACACAAAGAGCGCTATGAGAAGACTTTTAAAACGTCTTTCCTCGTCCCTCTGGGACCCCCTGATCAGATAACTATTGGAAAACTAAGCAGCAATCTCGGCTGTGAGGTCTGTGGCGAGAAGACGACAAGTCGGTGCTCTCAGTGTCAATCTGTATCATACTGCGGTGCAAGTAAGTCGCATAAAGTCGCCTGTCTGCAATGATTGTTGATGCGCAGCCGTTAGCCTGCCAGAAAGCCCATTGGAAAGGTGCGAGACTCAAGACGCGTTAATTATTCTAGCTGACGTCCCACTGCAGATCACAAGAACTTCTGTCGGTCCTTGAAGGGAGGAAGTTGGGTCCAGTTCCATTTTGTCACAGCAATGAAGGACATCAATGGGAAGAAACTCTACACATCATACGTGAATAACCAAGGAATAATGAACCCCACGACTGTCAATCCAGACGACGATGCACCTCCTTCGAATGTTCATGGAGATAAACCTTTCTTAATCAAGATCCAGAAGCCATTGACTCGAATACCGGGACTTGCGCTTTCGGACGATGTTAATGTCCCTCCTTCGTTGTTGATATATGACAGGCAGCGCAGCTTTCGAGCTCATGCGATAGAGGCCGATAATCCACAAGCGTACTCGATGGCTATTCGCGAAGTTCTGATGGGGAAGACCAAGGTAAAGATCTACCGGTGGGCGAAGAGGGTCGGGGACTTCGAACTCAGCATTTGTTTAGACCGTGCGCCGGAACCCGAGCCCGCTTGGTAAGTACAGTAGCCTTCGGTGTTAATGCTGCCAAATGGATTTATTTTCATCAACGACACATGACTGAACCTAAATCTCTCCATAATTGGCAGTGGCATATGTCGCCACGCTATAACTTTGACCTACATTCAACCTTCAATCCGAGTTATTACCTGCTTCCACGCTTGTCCGCACACAATCAGTGCTTTGGCCTCTCTACTACCTGTACTTGGGCTTCCCTCGTGATGTACTAAAGATTCCTTCCAGGCAGATCTCGACGAAGGCTTAGACTGTTCTAATTATGCCCAGGACAAGCTCAGGAGTTATATTCTGACCTAATGGAAGGAAGTTCCAGAGGGACCTTACCATGGACGATACCAGCACGGCTCGGGCGTCTTCAACACTTCCTCACCATCGCGACTCAGAAGCTACCACCGTCCGTGTCGACGTAGGACATTTCGACCCCGATGGCATGCAAGATTTGCGAAGGACGTTCTCGAAGCGTTCTAACTTAGGGGATGATAGTGCCTCGTCGTCTACCATAGGAAATTCAGAGGGTTTTGACTTTCAGAAGACGCTAAGGGAGTTCATTAGGAAGTGCGTGGTGTTTTTTCTCTCTTTCTGCTGGCAGCTAATAATTAAACAACTTGTGCTGCGTTCTTAGACGCGACGATGCTCAGGTCAAAGCTCGTGAGTTGGGCGTTGTGTTTAGGAATCTCCGTGTCGTTGGGATGGGTGCATCGTCTTCGCATCAGCCTACGCTTGGAACAGCTTTGGATCCAAGGAGCATTCTCGGTATCATTCAAAAGATTCGGCATCCACCTGTTCGCGATATTATCAGCGGGTTTGAAGGGGTGGTGCGTCCTGGAGAAATGCTGCGTAGGTTGAATTTTCCCCGAGCCGTATTCCAGCTGACTTGAGCGGCAACAGTTGTACTGGGCCGTCCAGGATCAGGATGTTCTACTCTGCTCAAGACACTGGCCAATCAACGAGCAGAATATCATACCGTAGAAGGCGATGTTCGATATGATTCCATCTCTCCAGGAGAGCTCGAGAAGCACTACCGCGGTGATGTTCAATACTGTCCGGAGGGTGATACCCACTTTCCTACCCTTACTGTTGAGCAGACTGTCTCTTTCGCTGCGAAGACACGGTCTCCCCGTGCGCACATGGGTCTGGCCACATCTGAAGATGAATATAGCGAGCTAGTTACGGACGTTCTATGTACGGTCTTCGGTCTTCGACATGCAAGGAAGACGCCTATCGGGAATGCCTCAATTCGTGGGGTGAGTGGCGGAGAAAAGAAGCGTGTGTCCATTTGTGAAGCGCTCGCGGCTAGAAGTTGTATCGGCTTGTGGGATAAGTATGTTGTGACTTTGGTGTCTCTATTTCATGATTATTGACCGCCCATCCTATAGTTCCACGCGCGGCCTAGATTCTTCTACAGCATTGGAATTTGTACGGGCACTGAGAATCGCAACTGACATGATGCGTCTTACGACGATCGTCTCAATTTATCAAGCTGGCGAGCCGTTGTATCGGTTATTCGATAAAGTGTGCGTCATATACGAAGGCAAAATGGCGTATTTTGGCCCGGCGTGTGCAGCGAGGTTGGTGCCATCTTGTGTAAGTTAACGTGTCTCTGACATATCTGCAGACAATATTTTATCGATTTGGGATATAATCCTGTAAATCGACAAACCACTGCCGACTTCCTTGCAGCTGTGACTGATCCAATGGCACGCCTTCCGAGATCCGACGTTCTGTCCATCCCTCGCACGGCCGAGGATTTTGCTAGACACTTCAAGCAGTCTCAATTGGGACAGGAAAATCTGGCCGACATAGCAGCTTACGAAGGGGAAATCGAAGCCGAGGAGAAATCTTCAACGTTCAAAGAGAGTGTTCGGGAGGAACATGCGGCCGCAAGCAGGAAGAAAAGGTTGCAACATTGCCCCCATCCCCGTACTTCTTACTGATGCACTTTCGGCCAGTCCTTATACAATCAGCATCACAATGCAAGCTCGTGCTGTAATGTTACGAAAGATGCAGATCATGCATGGTGATATGCTAGCCATAGGGTTGACTTTTTCGTCGGTGTTTTCTTCGTTTTAACGCTTTTGTACTCATCGACACATCTTCACAAACAGGACCTACGTTATAATAGGCATCATCATAGGATCTGTCTTCATGAATAGTCCGGAAACTACGGTGGCTTTTTATTCACGGGGTGGTGTTCTTTTCTTGTACGTACTTTTCTTGCGCTTCAGAGATCACTGTCCTGATTTTCCAAGCGTTCTGTTATTTTCGGCATTAACTTCAATGGCCGAGATCCCTTCGTTATTCTCTCAGCGTCCTATCGTCGAAAGACACAAGAAGGCCGCTCTGTATCATCCCTTTGTGGAAGCTACTGCGTCAACGTTGGTCGATATACCCTTAACATTTGTGACCAGCATAGTTTTCGGTGTTGTTGTATATTTTATGGTTAAACTTCAGCAATCAGCGGTATGGATTTTATCAGTATCTCTCCCGCGCGACTTGCTGACTTTCCAATCGTTGCCAGGCGCAATTCTTGTAGGTCCAAAGGCAGTCCCAATGTCCATGTCGCTTATGAGCTTCGTAGCACTTTCTTCCTCTTTATTTTCGTTACATCCTTAGCGATGAAGGCATGGTTTAGGGCAATTTCGGCTGCTTGTAAAGCCAGCGCTCCCGCTCAAAGTTTGGCAGGCATATCTATTTTAGCCCTTGGATTATACACGGGTAGGGAACTGCACACACACCTTAATATCTTCCTTCTCTAACCCGTATTCAGGTTATACCGTTCCTAAGCCATCCATGGTCAGTGCTTTCAAGTGGATTTCATATGTCAACGTATGTCTCTTCTGAGATGAATGCATGTCACATACTTATTAGTGCCTCTCTCTGCCAGCCTTTGAAATATGGGTTTGTTGTTATGTTGTTATGTTTCTGGAAGGAAGCTGACACAAATTCGTCAGATTCGATGCTATTATGAGCAATGAGTTCCATACTATTAATGGCGCATGTTCTCAAATCATACCGCGAGGATCCGTGTACAACCAAGCGCCTCTGGAAAATCAGGTCTGTACAATCGTTGGTTCCGAACCAGGGAAGGCATTTGTATCAGGGTCACGATTCCTGAAGCTTTCATATGACTACGCGTATTCCAACATTTGGACGGTGCGCATATTCCTGTCGACTCGTATGCAAATTGACATTATCCACAGAACTTGGTTATTCTTATAGCCTTCGAAGTAGCCTACTGTATCGCTCTCTTTATTCTGACCGAGTATAACACGCATTCCGAGGGAGAAACGTCTGTCGTCCTTTTCAAACCAGGCACCAAAATTTTACTTCCAACTTCTGCCCACGACGAAGAAAAGGCGATATCCCAATCGGTACCTCTCGACAACAATGATACGAGTGAGAAGGCAAAACAGCCATCTCTCCATCGACCGATTTTTTCATGGCAACACCTTCAATACACAGTGCCCATATCTGGTGAGGAAGACAGACGTCTCCTCGATGATGTATCAGGCTATGTAGTTCCTGGGAAAGTGACAGCGCTCATGGGAGAATCTGGCGCCGGCAAAACTACACTACTCAATGTTCTTGCGGAAAGAATAACGACTGGTGTGGTAACCGGTGATAGGTTTGTCAACGGACAGTCACTGCCTCCGGATTTCCAAGCACAAACGTCAGTCTGATCTATGCCCTTTGGATTCGGGATCTTTCTGATACTGTATTGTATAGTGGCTACTGTCAACAGTTGGACACCCATGTTCCGTCAGCCACCGTTCGGGAGGCACTGTTATTTTCTGCGAAGCTTCGGCAGCCGCCGAGTGTGCCATTAGTTGAAAAGCAGGCCTAGTGAGTTTACCTTTCGCGGGTTGATATTATAATGTTCATCAGTTTTTAGTGTCGAAGAATGCTTGAAGATGTGTGGACTAGAAGCTTATGCCGATGCTTGCGTTGGCTCACTTAGTATAGAACACCGAAAGCGTACAACAATTGGCGTCGAGCTTGCCGCAAAGGTAGGAATCAAGCCTTGTTTTTTCCCTTGTAATTAATCCGGATTAATGTGCCTCAGCCCGCACTGCTGCTCTTCTTAGACGAGCCGACGTCCGGCCTCGATTCACAAAGCGCTTGGGCTATCATGTACTTCCTACGGCAGCTGGCTGATAGCGGACAAGCAATTCTCTGCACGTACGTACATAGTCGCCGCATATTTCGCTTTACTCACCTGATGCTTGCAGAATACATCAGGTTAATTCAATATCAATCATCAAGTATATGTAAGTGACTAACTTCCAATCATAGCCCTCGGCCGAACTATTCCAAGTCTTTGACCGGCTCCTCCTTCTCCAAAAAGGTGGACAAACCGTCTATTTTGGCGACCTCGGCCCACACTCTTCTACTGTCATCCGCTACTTTGAGACGCACGGATCGCGTCCATGTCTTCCGGATGAAAACCCGTATGTTCCCTTTAGTTCGTTCCGCATAAGACTCATAAACTTCTGTAGTGCGGAATTTATGCTCGACGTCATCGGTGCAGGTGCCACAGCCAAGAGCACGCAGGACTGGCACCATGTCTGGCGGGAGTCGTCTGAGTTCCAGGAGGTGCAACGGCAGATCGCTGATATTCACACCGCGGGCCGAATTCACCCGCCCGTGCAAGCAGCATATACCCCGACGTCGTGGCTATACCAGATGCATGTTCTTCTCCACCGAAACACCATTGCTTTCTGGCGGAACCCGACGTACATCATGTCTAAGATGGTTCTTAATGCTATCGGAGGACTGTTCATCGGTGTGACGTTCTATCACTCGGAGGATAGTCAGCAGGGAACATTGAATAAGATTTTCGTGCGTCCCGCCTCCTGCACTTTCATTACATCCATGATGTTAACGTACTTCAGGCTGTGTTCATCCCTACTGTACTCTGTGTCCCGATGGGCGGCCAGATACAAGTGCAATTTGCTAACATGCGAAGCGTGTATGAAATCCGGGAGCGTCCGAGTAAGATGTACAACTGGAGTGCGCTGGTCACTGCACAAATACTAGCAGAAGTCCCGTGGGGTATCTTTGCTTCCAGTTTGCTCTTCTGCACGTGGTATTGGGCTGTCGGATTTGAAACCTCGCGGGCTGGGTACACCTATCTTATGCTCGGAGTTCTGTATCCTCTGTATACGTCAACGTTTAGCCAGGTACGTTTGTGAGGGTGTCCAATGTTATTTTGCCCTTATCGACACATTGCAGGCTATAGCAGCTATGGCGCCCAGAGCTGAGATCGCCACCGTCCTTTTCTCGCCATTCGTTTCGTTCGTGATTATATTGTAAGCTTACTGTCTCCTCCTTGACAAGCATGAATTTCACGTCAACTTTTAGCAACGGCGTCCTTCAACCGTACGGTCTTCTAGGTTGGTGGAAGTGGATGTACCGTCTCTCCCCATTTACCTATCTCCTTGAGGGGATTATTGGATACGGTGCGGTACCCTTCCTGCTCTTCTTTCCTCCCGTTTCCTAATGCTCTTCCGCAGCCGCAGGAAACTCTCTTCTAACGTGTTCCTCCCTCGAATATGTCACCCTTGTGCCACCGGAGGGCCGAACATGCAGCGAGTACATGGACCTCTTTATCGGCTATGCAGGCGGTTACCTCCTCGACCCTTCCGCCACAGCCGCATGCTCTTTCTGCCCCTTCCGCACCTCGGAAGCCTACCTCGAGTCGAACTTCAATATCAAATATGATAATCATTGGCGCGACATGGGTGTCTTTGTGGGGTTCATAGTTTTTAATGTAAGTGGTTCAAAAGGGTTGATTCGTGATTGACTGATGAATGGTGTAGATCATAATGGTATACGTACTGACGTACTTCTTCCGTATACGCTCGGGTAGCCTTGTTCCCTCTTTTTTGCGACGAAAATGACGTTGATAATTTGCACATTCTTTTTCTATCTTTTCCTGACCATGACGCACTATCCTCAGATACAACACACGGACTTGTGTAATCTCCTTGTACGAAGTAATGAAAATACAAGTAATGCCCAGTTTTAGACTGCAATTTCATATGGCGCTTTGTGAGAGAAAAACGCGTATATTAGGTAACAGGAAGACAGTCGACACCATTATAAAACGATTTTTCACACAGCAGAACACAGACCGAAAAACACAAAAGGCAGGATGATAGTACAATTCAGCAAGCGCGCGGAAACCGCCAATTGAGACCCAACCCGACTGGATATCCATCACTATATACTGAGGCTCTTGATGGGACGTGTATGTCGTGATTGTGCTGCAAGAAGACAGAACGCGGAGCTGGAGAGTATCGCATCGTTGGTATGTTGTACTTTGAGCATGACATGCGTTCGGGCGGCGAATACGACGGCGATGGCGCGCTAAACGCGTAAACGGGCGGAGGCGAGGCTATGGGTGACCCGTAGGCAGCGTGGTCGTAGATGGACGGTGTGAACGGCGGTAAGAGCATAGAGTTTGAATTTTTCGGCGTCGCCAGTAACGTTGGTCTGGGCTGAGGCTTGCGAAAGAACGGGGAGAGGTAGAACCATAGAAAAATGAAGAACAGAACAAGCGCGACGGCGAAGCCTAGGACTAAAGACGAGTCAGCGGCGGGAACGACGTCGGGGAGGCAGGATGGGCGTACTGCTGGTGCTACTGAGAGCTTGCATGAGAAAACGAGTGAGGGAGTAGTCGTGGTTATGGTTCAAGACGAACTGGCGATGTTTGGTTCAGCTTGACCTCTCTTGACCTATTGGTCAGCTCAATTATTCTCGACTATTCTCGACTCTTTCCCGACTTCTCAATAACTGTAAAGTTAATATTCTGAGTGGGATAAGTTTGGATCTACAATGTGCCAATCAGATACTCATGGCAATAACACGCTAGAGTCAATTGAAGAATCGCTCTTGTGGGACGTTCCACGACGCGGAGTCAGATTAAATGTATCAGTTTCGGGACGGAAGTAGTTCAAGCCTTCCCAACTTTTATTACTATACATCGAACACATAACAGAATGAATCGCCTTCGTAGAACCGGTACCTAGACTATAAACTTCTGCCTTAACACCGTGCCATGCCTCACGAACCCACTCAGACCATCAGGAAGGATCTGATAGGGAGACCAGTTGTAGAGGTCAGTGGAGTCCGAGTAGATGTATTTGCCAGAATCGTAGCCATCGGCATATCTGTTCCATCATAAGGTTACCGTCCAAGACACAGATGATGAGATATACTCACAAACGATGAGTACCATTCGGAAGAATGGTGACGCACGGGCCTTCAATATTGCCCCATCCCGCGAAGTCTCCGGTTTGTACAAAGGTATACGGGCCGGTGAGGGATGGAGCAACAGCATGCTCGACGTGCTTTTTCCCGACTGTCTCTGCTTTGGCGAAGAGATGGTATTGGCCTCTGCAAGTATGTCCTCAGATCAGATCATATAGTCGACGAAAGGGACCAGTCTACTTGAAAAATACTGGGAAGCTGTCGATGTATCCCAAACCTGCGTTAGATATACCGGACATGACGACGGGGCCGCTCCATGACGTGAGAGTGGCGTCGTTCGCAGTAAACACGTAGGGCAAGAAGGGTCCGTAGAGGGCAGTCGAAAGAGAAACAACAATATTCAGTTCGCCCGTCTTGGGGTCTTTAAAGAATTCCTTGAAAGGGAGAGAGATTAGCGGTCGCGACATAATCTGGTTTGTGGCGGTGCCTTACTGGTGCCCAAGTGTTGACCGGAGTAATTAATGAGGAAGCGGTGGGGATGGTAGCGACAAGCCTCCAGGTAAGGAGATCATGACTGTTCTATGGTACAAACGAGGGTGAGCGACGTTGCAAATCGGACCTGCAGTAATAAACACCGACCGCAATAGCAAAGTTGGTTCCATTCCAACCAGTCGTATCTCGAGAGGGTCAGGTATCAGGGCATGAAGTTCCTTTTGATAATCAGCGCTTCAGCTCACAAGCAATGTAGTATTTTCCACTAAAAGACAAGATCAATATCCAGGAATACCTCAAAAAGAGCACCGGTACCGACTCTGTGTGATGAATAATGCTCGGATCGCGAAGGATACTAGCAGCCGGGGTATAAGCTGGTCCTTTTAAAAGGTCGAAATTGGTGCCATCGTCAGAAGTGTATACATAAAGATCGGTTTCGGAGGGGTTGGTGAAACAGGTAAAGACATAAGCGGCTCTGACAGCTCGTTTGAAAGCCTCTGGAGACAGTGCAGGCCCGATGAGCTCTACCGGAGACGAAGCCACAAAGCCCAAGAGCGCCAATCCAAGCAAGGGGAGGAGGATTCCCATCGTAATCATGGCTCACATCATCTGCCCTGCTGTCGTCTTGTCTATTTAATAGCACCTCCGTGCGGTCTTCGATGCCAATGATAAAGTTTCGTCTTTGCTTCTACTTCGCAAGTTGAATATATCTTTGCCGGGCCGTCGTTATCCAGGTGCTCCTCAGGTTGGTCAGCAGCACCTTTGTCACTACCCATTCTGAGCTGCCGTTGATCTATGAATGCAGCGAAGGAATTCGAAGGGCTATCAGCTGGTTTCGCTCTGAAGCAGGAATAGTGCTGAGTATGTCTGTGACCAGCGCGTTAGTGTTGAAGAGCGGCGAATACGCGTATGATGCAGCTGCCTTACGATAGGCTTGAGATAGATGCTATATCTGCCACATCAGAGTCATCGATGTTCGAACGATACGTCGCGATAGTCTTTCTGAATACCCGAGTGCTTTCAAGCGCGGTTTGAGGCCAAAGCTACCTCCATATACCCTATTCCTAACTTCAGCCGTCGAATGATGGAAAAAAAATTGAATCTCACGTATGGGGTTGTCGTTGCCTTTCTAATCGTTTCAATGGTAAGATAGCAACTTCTTGGCACAGTTGCATAGATAATACACCTCTGAACTTGAAGAATGCTCGTCCCTCGATGGCTTTAGATGTACAAGAGCTTCGTTCCATCGATGTTGCCCTGTTTCACGTATAGAGAAGGAAGGTTGATGCAAAGGTTGTGGAAGTCTAGATAATCAGGATCAAGAAGCTTCATGTGGTAGTCCTCGCATAGTATATCGAATGCAAGGTAATGAATCAATTGTGAGCACGGGAATGTCGCGGTAGACTGGAAGACTAGATTCAATTTGATTGGTTACTTCTGCTAGACACGTGGGCTCAAGTTCAGGTCCGGCCCGGGCGCTATCTTCTGTTGGCCATGTGTGTCCTGCCGCTGCTCTGCCAACAAGGAGCGTGGGTGCAACTCCCTACACAAGGTGTTTGATAAACGACGAGGGAATCCAAGATAGTGAACGCACCTTCATAATGGCAGTTGTTACATCAAGATAATACTGTCCAAAATCATTGTGAATGAAGAAAGCCAAGAATAAGACCAGAGCTATTGAATAGAGAGCGGAAGATTCCACTAGCACTTCAAGAAAACAGTAATAAGCTCTCAGTCGACCACCTGCCCCGCAGCCGCGTCTAACCCCGGTAACAGTCAAAATGCGGAAAATGATGAACATAGTGCACCATAATGTCGTTGCCAGGGTGGAAGATAGGTAGACCATCAGGAATACTGAGTCAGTTGCATTGAAGTACACATGATGTACAGTTATTTACCGGTCATTGCAACACCATGGTTCAATGAAACACTTAGCCTCTTGCTCTCCCTCCTTTCATCCTTCATCATTAATTTGTATTACATTGCTGATGTGTATTGTATCTTCATGTTCTACAGTAATTCTTCATATGTGACATGGATAATATTCCGAGAAATTGAGGCTTCTGTTCTAAAAATATCTATTTTCTCATGAACTCAAAATCTGACCCAGAAATGTGTGTCCTCCATCTGAATGTAATCACCCACAAAGGCCTCAATAATGTTAATGACCTTCTGAAGAACCTGTATGACAAGTTTGAGACCAGGCACCCATTATCTGAGGAGTCTAGGGCATAGATAAAAGTGTGGTTCTGCCAAGCTATTGCCTTTGATGGACAGTCTGACAGTCCAATGTGCCTATTATTGCCCCATTGCCTCCGAATTTTATTTCTCCTCTTGCTCAATTTTTTACTATGCCTGGACATGCTAAATCAAACTTGAAAAAGTGCCAGATTACTTGCAAATGCCATGACCAGCTAATGGAAAAGGCAGTCATTGCACACAAGAATGAGCTTGCCAAACTACCCAGTGCTCCTCAGAAAGATGCAAGAAAAATCTGCAAAGATTTCGAGGCTGTATATCAGAGGGAGACTGGAAAGGAGATCTCGCTTTCTTATAGCACTCGAGTGATTCCAAGTTGCTGACTAATGAGGTTTGGGTACATGGGCCGGACTGTTTCAATGACTCAAAATAGCCCAGAATACCCACGCCACAATAATGCTGTGAAAGCGGACTTGTACCTGCACCTTTGAGCATCTTTTTTTTACTGTATCTTATTGTTGCATAGTATTACACATTCTTACATTCAAACCTAGTCAAAATTCCCAACCAATTGGAACCTACAGTAAATATCCAATTTTGCTGTTTCATTGACCGGTAAATAACTGTACATCAAAGATTTTTGACACTACACAGAAGTTTGATATGTGAAAAAAGTAGACGAGATCGGACACTTTACCAGTTGCGGAAATTAGGCAAAGGATTGGAAGCAGAACAATAAACTGGCGCCATCCCCAAAGCATCCAGCAGCACCAAATCTAGAGTTGAAGAGATGGTAAGCTGATGTGGACGATCACCGGCACCAGTGAAGTAGTACACACAATATATGAGTCGGCGAGAATGGTACTCAATAAAGATATAATACCAACCTCCCAAATGATTCCTTCCTTTACACTGGTAAGCTTCAAGTATACGGTCGAAAAACTTTGCCCGTTTTCGATAAATGCGGAGTATGTATATGACCAACAGGCAACAACATTGATAGTGTTCAGGCCATAAAGGAGAACAATAATGATGACCAAGGCTCGTCGGATCATCCAGCATTTGTTGATGACTACCGCACATCAGCTTGGATGCTGCAGCAGACTCGGAGATGCTCCTGGCTCACATATATTCCACAATGTAACAGCAACAATGCCCGTATATATTCCTATCGTCAGTCAACACTTACACGTCACTAGTTGGTGAGGGCCAACGCATCTGCGTGGCAAGTCCGAGTCCTATGTTTTGTTTTGTTTTACATAGAAAGTAAAAGAAAAGCAACAATAATAATTGAAATCATGGACTAATAACTGTGACGAATGTGTACGAAAATACAATGTGTCAGACTCATCTATACCACTTTGCCTCCTTGACTTGGCAGGTCAGACATCTAATCAGAGTATTAGCTTCCTATTAAGGCCCGCAAATACGGTCGCTTACTCTGAATTAACAAGCAAGAATATATATCATTTATGCTAGAACAAGGGGTTAGTATTCCAGTCGAGTTGAAAGATAATGGCGCATACCCTAGTACATAAATAATATGCAGCCTATATTCTGAGCACAAACAAGTTAGTCAAACAAAGGCGAAACAAGACAGGGAATCCTTACTATGAATATACTACCTTTCATTGTCCATGAATGGCATGCCAACGAGGCACTGGTACATCCGCCCCAACCCGTAGGATTCTTTAATGAAAAGTAGCCATCATGTTAGATGATGTAACAGCCCAACCTAGCAGTAGTAGATACCGTGTTAGTGCACAGAAAGGAAAAAGAAGCAGAAAGGGACCTAGCAAAGGCGATCCCTGCTTCTTCGTTCACTCAGCCCACGTAAAGGCCTGTACCCGTTTCGTTAACTTGTGGTTCCAGTTCATTTGAGCGACTGGAGGGCGAGTTAGGCACTGAGAAAGGATTCCAAGCGCAAAATTGAAACTAGATTAAGGATCAGTTACCGAGTCGCTAACGAAGCAAAAGCTCACCTTACCTATGATCTACTCAAGAACTAGTTGTTGAGCCCGCCATTGTGTACGAGCGAGGACCCAACATAAATTTCACACTGGCAGAACATCAGGAACATGATACGCAAGGAGTGAGGAAGAATATGAACTCACCATGTATATGTACCCCATCCTTCAGCATCCCATCAGACTTCGTGATACACATTTGTGTGACAGTCGAGGAGCACACTCGTGCATGGAAAAGGGCTACATCAACAAAGGGCTTGTTAGCGAACAACGAGCTGAGCTGAGAAACATGGTACTACGCACCTGGTACCTGCAACCTCACTGTGTAAGGTGTTCTTGTTGTGATGGGACTATCGAGAGGCATAGCTTGCACCCATAGCTACTATAGTTGATAGAGCAAAGTGAGTAAATGAACTACACGACGAGGCAAATGAGTCTAAAGAATGGGAAATAGAAGAAACGAAGACTTACTGATGACCGTATTGCCGCTATCTTCAAATATCCTTGAAATCCCAGCAAGGTCTTGTCCATCCCATCCATCAGCCTCGTTTATGCGCAACGAGCCAAATCCTAGCATATCCGATGGCACATTAGCAGGGAAAGAGGCAAGAAATAAGCCACGCACCGGTATCCGAACTCCCTACCATTACCCTACAGCTGTCATCCTATTGTGTCGTAGCGAACAAAGATGCTTGCCCCATTCTATTGCATATCATCCCCTGAGAATGACAAGCAAAGTGTTAGCTCAAATTGAAGGATTGTAAAGTATGGCTTACCTTGGTGAAACGAGCCTGTACAAGTCAAAAGAGGGATTGAAGAGCAAGCTAAGACTCTGGAAATTTACTCGTTAAATGCTTGCTAACTAAACCTAACTATTCACTTACCATTTGAATGTCGAGCTCATTGCTCAACGCCGGGGTACACGAGAGGACCTTGAACCAATCCTGAGTAAGATTAAAAACAAAAGAAACAGCAAAGAGCTCACTGTAGCCAACAGCGAGCTTTGGCGCCATCATCGCGGTGACTGTTTAAATCAGAAATAGAGTTAGCGAAGAAGTTGAAAAAGAGGAAGCGAACAAATAGAAAAGGTTCCCACGATGAGCTCAGGCAGCCGGGATGGCAATTGCTGTGAACGAATAGAAATATTCCCATGGTTTGCTCAGGTAGCAAAGTCAGCAAATGCCATGATGGATTGATACCCCAAATAGATTCTTTCCCATGGTTAGTTCAGGACAGCATAATAACTGAGTATCCTATATACATAGGACTCGGAAAGACGCTAAACATTGTTACCCACCATGCAATAGTGTGTAGAGAATTTCGGTGTTCAGCTCAGCGTCGAGTTCTTGAAACACATAAGCTTTGTGTTCGTTAGTCAGATCTGGTAGAATATCTGCCTGAGTCATCATGATGGAAAGCAAGAGAAACGGGGCAGTGGGTTTTGAGGATATCACATACCGCCCTGTCATTATAACAGTGCAGTCACTGGACACGTTCAATGGTTGCTGCAAAAATAATCATCAGTGCCAAGTCCGAGCGGAGCCTTACATACCAGTGAGATTTCAGCACAGCTGTCAAATTTCGGAGTTTGTTCCATCATAGCGTGAAATTTTTAGGGATGTCCACCGTACCCATATAACGGGTACGCATGACCCGTAACCGTATCGTAATGGTCTTTCCTGGGATGCTCGACGGTACGGTTTACAGTACGGTCGTATTATGGTCATACGGTTATTACGGGTGTTGCAGCAAAGAATGGCTGCTAGATCTTTTATATATAAGCTTTTTGACTTCTATCAAGAATAAGAACATACCTTCATGACTCTTCCGGTAAATGATACAGCCTAATTAGCGGTGCCGAAGTTTTTTTCAAAGAGAATGAATGCCATCCTGCTTGAAACAGAACCAGGCTGTCTTCTTTCGCTGAAGCCAAAAAGTCTTCAAGAGCATGCATCAAGAGAAAACTGATGTCTGGTCTGCTTAGACAAATACTTAGTCAAATATTGAGCCGCATTGTGGATTCCTGGGCTTTTGTGCAAATACCTGTATTTACGGCCATAAAACCGTATTACGCTGCGGGTTGTACAGGCTGATGCCGTACCGTAAAATAGTTCCTCAAAGGCCTGACGGTATGGGTATGGCACCCGTATCTGCCGTATGTATGGGGGATAGTGGGCATCCCTACGTGAAATTTGACTCCAAGATTGACCAGAAGCAAGGTGGGTAAGTTTCGATGACCTGTATGATATGCTGACGGCTCCTGAATCCTGGGAAAGGGATTGGCAAGGGTATCGATGTCTGCAAGCTATACTCCAACAAGGCCATACGCGATGGGCGAAAATTTATCCTGGAAATGATTCATCTATCAGAGAAGCAGGGAAAGAGAATACAACACAAACCTCATAATGAGCTTGAAGAACCTTGATCTCTTCCAGAGGCTGTTTCCATTCCGATACTTGGTTCTGAGTCCTATGAATATAGGATACTCGGTTATTATCCAGGTGCTAATCCCCATGGGAAAATCCTATTTGTGGAATCAATCCATCACGGCCTTTGCCGATTTGCCATGGTCGGCTTCCTCCGTCCCGGTATCTTCCCTCTCGCCACGAGGAACACAAGACGGACGACAAGGCGACCTCTACTTCTCCTTTTTCTCCTCTCCTCCTTTCGTCGTGTTCATTGTGTTATTTTCTTTGATCTTATCAGAAATTACCTCGCACATTACTAGGGACATGGCGTCTGAGAAATAAGTAACAGAAATTTTCGGGTTTGTCGTTGTATTCAGCGTAAGTATCTAGTATTGCTTTCTCTTGTCTTTCGTTGATCTATCAAACAGTTCTCTCCGCTCTACTTTACAGTTCCATCGTCATCCTTTCCTCTCTCTCATGATCGTCCATCCTGTTTGTCTTTTTGGCCCTCACGTCAACGTCTTCCTCCTCCTCTTCGAATCCAATCTTCCGCTTCATCCTTACGATGGTCTCTGATTGCGTACTCGTCGTGTTTCTGCGTTCTGCCGTTGCCTTCTGTACCTTTGTTATCATTATACGTGTCATCATTATGTATTCTGTTACTCACTGTCGAGTTGTCGCTGTTGATGAGGGCCAATGCCCTCAGTATCATCTTCATCCTCGCCGTACCCTCGTTTGTCCTCAAGAACACGACCGAGCATTGCGCTTCCACTATGTCTCCTACTCGGAATATCTGCGGCTTGGCTGACACGTATCTGCTTCACGAACCGTCATCAGTCACATATTCAGTCCGCACATGACAAGAGAAAAAGACAAAAACAACATGAATTGAAAGAACGCTTGCCTTTTTTTCCCTCTTTCATCCATCACACCTCTGTAGTATTGTACCTCGTTGTCTTCAGTGTGAATCCATTTTCGCTGCGCCATCTTGGCCAGTATTCCCACAGGATCGACGTCATTTGGAAAAGGTATGCCTTCCTCGTCGTTCGTGGTATTGCGCGGTCTGAAGTATCAGTTAGACAACTCTATAGCATCCAATCCTTTCATCGACATTGGCTTCCAGTGTTCGAGCTCTCCATCTCTGAACTCTCGTTCGCCCATGACTTGCATACTTCTGATTGCGTCCATTGCATTGTCGAAGCTTTCGCTGCCCAGTCCTACCAACCATACTGACTGACTCAAGAACCTGACCTTCTCCTTCTGTGCCCTATTCCAGCGTGCCGTCAGTGTTATTTGGCATTACGTGTCGTGGCGCAATCTCACCTTGTCTCCTTTGCCACCGGCGGTAGGTCCATCGCGTATATGGCCCCCATGATGGTGAATACCATTTCTTCCATAGTTCCATCGTCCTCGGACTGTTTGATGATCCTCCATACCCCCACCTCATCATCTCTCTTGATGGATGCCGACTTGATGAAGTCGTTGTCCTATCGTACCTGGTTAGTGCAGCTTCCATATCGGTTGATGACGCTTACCTTCAATACTCTCGATAGGTGCATCCTGTCTTTTTCGATTCTCTCTTGTGTCAGTGATTCTATTATGTTTTCTGGCGTGATATACGGTTAGTGACATCGATTTGTTGACTAATAGTCGCTCACTCGCATCGTCTTTGTCGTAGAATCTGTCCATTCTGTACTATATGCTGGGGAGGAATCGAGAGTTACTCTGATTGTTTCCGGATTCAGTGTGGTTTGGCATATGGGGGAGGTGAGGGATGATGGTGGGGTATGTAGCGTTCCCGTTCTCGTTTTGTCTCTGTATGACTGATATCATTGACCCGTAAGCGTTGGGTTTCTATCCCCTTTCTCTCCCCTCTGGCCCCTACCCTCCCTATCGTTGGTGCATTCCATTGCGGTCCTGCCGGATGTTTCCTTTGTGGTTATGATATCGCCTCTCATGCTTAGTTCGATCTTCAGACGTGATTGTCTCCCTCTCGCCCCATCCCTTGCAACTTGCTGAAAATGAAACACCCTGTCACTGTCTGACTGCTTCGTTCGCAACCGTATGACATGCGTGCCGTACCTCGTGAACGATCCCCTTCGTGAATGTCACTGTATTTGCCCTGTATGCTGGTTTTTTTTTTTACAAAAAAAAACGTCCCGTGTCTGTATGCGTTGATCATTTTCCCTTCAGGTACATGATATTTGTGATGCTTCTTCCTCTTCTCCAGGTCCGGACCCGATGCGTCCTTTTTTTTTTAAAAAAAAAATACTCTTTTTGCTTCTTTTTTCCTGTTGCTAGTTATCCTCTTCCTCTTTTTTGCATCGCTCGACCTTTTGGGCGTCGATCGTCGCTTATCTGACCATGTGCAAGTTCCTTCCATGCCTCTGTATCGTGCGGATGTTGGGCAGGTCTAGTTGATGTGCATTGTGTCGAATTTACTCTTCCGCCTTGTGCACTGTCTCCCTTTCCATTACGGGCTTCTTCTAGGTTCTTATCAGTCTTCCCGTTGCTTTCTCAGTCCCACATGTCTTGCATGCTTGCATCCTCTGTTTCATTCTTAATTTTAATTTATTGTGTTTATATCTGTTCATCTTCTCTATTGAATGGTTTCTCTCTTCATCGTGCATCTATATTATCTCGGACTGCTTCTTATCTCCATGAGGATATTAACTTTATTCTTTGCCCTTCATCTTTTTTAAAAAATTCTTTTATCCTCTTTCGTGTTTCGTTGATTCTTATTTATGCCTGCTATTTTGCTCTCCCTTTCTCCGTCCCTTCTCTCGTCCCTTCGTCACTTTCTGCTATCTGCTTTTGTCTAGTATACAACTATGTCTTCCCACGACTCTGTCATTTCTTCTAACCGGTGTGTTCTATACGTTACTGCATGTGTTTTGTTGCATTATTAACCTGGCATGCTTTTAGTCGGTCTAAATGGGGTCGGGTTCAGGTTTCACCTACCGTCGACAATACTTTGTCAACTGTAGACGTTGGCATTCCTGCACCTGTTTCTTCTGCTCGTTCTGCCACTAGGTACTTCTCTGATGTTGCGAAGTTACCTGTCTCATCATTCACTCAGTGCTCCCCCCAAAAAAAGGGTCCGACGAGGTGATCCCCTTGACTCGCTCGATCCTCGTTCTCCATCTGTCCCTGCTCCCAGAGAGTCTGCTTACTCCTTGCTTCCGCCCGTCACCGTGTCGTATGGCATTGCTCTCTTTTGATTCAATATCTGCTCATTGTTGTTATTGATGTTTACAGTCATCCATCTGGTGTCGCGTATCAACAGCTGTGTCGCCGTGTGTCCTATGGTGATCTCACTCCTGAGGAGATCGTGGCCATCCTACATCAGAGGCACATGTGCATTTAGTCTTGTTTACCTTGTGTATCTGCTCTTATGATTTCCGTCTCCTCTCACTGCTCCTCGTTGCTTTAGTGCTGCTGCAGATCCCCGTGGTCTCGCTCCCTCGCCGGTGGCCACAGATCCTTCCTTCGGGATTGCTCCTTTTACACAGGCTGAGAGTGCCAATGTGGACAACGATGAAGGGTACTGTCCTATCTTGCTTCTTCTTCTGCCCTATGGCTTATATTCCGACAGTTCGGAATGTGGCAATCCATTCATGGACGATATCGCTGAAGAAAAAAGTAGTGGGTCCCCTTCATGAGCCTTGTTATAAACATCTCATCCCTCCGTCCCTACTCAACATGTTGGTTATTTCTCAGCTCGGAATCTGAGGATGAGGCTGGTGACGATGTCACTGACCCTTCTTAGTCTGGTCCTGTTGATATTGAGTCTCGTCTTCCCATCCCTGGGACCTGGGAGTCTGACTGTCATGCTGACGGTGTTCGTATGTCTGCATACGTTTCTTCTTGATCTCGATAGCTCCTGCATTTTGTTCATGTGTTCCTGCATAGGCATGTCAGGACCAAGACTACGAAGGGCGAGTATGTTAAAACATTGTCTGTTTCTTCTGATAATTCCTGTACGCTGTTCCCTTTCTAATGTGTTGTTTATATCAAAGGCTGGCTTCTGGTTTAACCGAAAAACTCACTTTCGATGATGACATCCACAATGATCCTTCCGTTGCCATGTAATATTATCTCCGGTATCCTCTTGTAGTGAACCTGAGCTGACAACCGTTTCCAGTACATCAAAGAAGTTGAAGCATCCCCATGCTGTCATTCCATCTGCATCCATTGATGTACCTGATATGTATGTCTGACGCATTTCGTTGAGTTCTGTATATGTTCTAACGATTTCGATCTGTTGTGCTCCATTCAGTTGTGCCCCTGCATCTGCTTCATGCCTATCTAGTTCGCCCAGGTCATCTGCGCCGTCTGCTGAAGTGTATCTTGAGGACCTCGGGTACCCGCCTGTTCCTGTATCTCGACCTTCAAAAAAAGGATGTACCCGTTGATGAGCCTAAACTTCCGTGGCAATGGCAAAAACCAAAACTCTAGAGGAGTTCACGGCAAATGGCGCGTAGCGGCAATAAAGGCTTTGTTGTTGTGCAAGTGTTTCAGTGCACCTCCGTGTGATGAATTCCTCAAGAACGCAAGTATACACTGCGACTTTTCAGTCAGCAAAGTAGTACCCTTAACGATCAAGTACTAGAAAACGTTGGCTGTAAGCCGGGAAGGGTCTCGATAGACGAGAAGGAACGGAATCCGGTATAACTGGGAATACCGGCAAACCATGAATGAAGTGACGGCAATTAACTAGTAAAAGCCATGGGCGATGTTGACGGATTTAGAGAAAATGCCGTCAAAGAGAAATACCGTTGGCAAGATAACAAATACCATGATGGCAAGAGACGAAGACTGTAGTCGAGAAACGAGAAACTGGCGGTAAAACGAAGATAAGACGGACTGGCAATGATATGAGGGGGGAACTAGTGATGGCAAAACAATGGCTGGGACTGGGCTGGACTGAAACTGAAACTATACTGAGGTTAACGACGGCAAAACAAAACTGATACTAATCCTGAGTCTACACGGAGACTATCCTATACTGAAACTGATGGCAAGATACCAAATACCGTGACTGATGATCCTATACTGAAACTGTTGACCGAAATTCTGTGACAGATGCTGCTGGTGGCAATAATGATCCTAATCTGAGTCCACACGGGGACGTAACGATCCTGAACTGAACTGGGTGAAACGATGGTGACGTAGAAGGTGAAAACTGATGAAAACGATCCTGGCTGGTGAAAGTGAAATGATGCTGGCGGATTAAAAGATAAAAGCGAGTTGTGGACACCAAATTCCGTGTATTGGCGCAATATGAGCATACACCAATACCGTTAGAAGAAAAGCCGTGACAGAGAGTATAACTTGGAGTGACTATGTTGTTATTGTCTATCTCCTAGCAAGTACAAGCGATAATGGCGGTCGATAACATGGATGATGGCTAGTGTCCAGTAACTTGTGTCTAGCAACTCTCATTTTCCGTGATGTATACTAGCTTTTATACTACAAGTCCGGAATAAATTTAGAATACTTGACGCGAGTCCTTAGTAAGTCCGTAGTATATAGATTAGTAAGAAATGATACCAAACACATGTTCCCAAGGTTCTAAAGTAACAGCACCCATATGGCTTTACCGCATATAGATGAAGTGATTAGCAAGAATGCCACCGATCTCCGGAATTTTGAGCTGCTGTGTTGCTGCGGCAAAGTACATTGAAGCAAGTGTACTGAAGTAGATGCTTGTGGCAATCTCTTGGTGGTATAACAGCCTTAGTAAAGACTGAGGAAAGGTCATGGCATTAGAGCTAATGCCACGGAATTGCTATTTGAGCTGCGGAATTGTGGCTGTGCTACGGAATTGTGGCTGTGCTAGGCAATCAGATGGGATTCTAAATCCGTGAGATCGACAATCAGGTGCCTGGCAGAATTAATGAAAGAAGACTGGCAGAATTAATGGAAGGGGCACATAATTGATGTGGGGTACAAGTGGGGAAGGATAATTGGCGGCATTAAGCAATATTGCCAGGATTGAAATGGTATGTTGGTGTGGTGGCTGGGGAATTAGCTATCTGGTAAAATCCGCGAATTCTGAGCGTACAGAGCCTGGAGGCTCATCACCGTGTCAGTAAGGTCAAAAAGACGTCTGTTCCACCTGACCAAGCTACCCTGCACGTGGTTGCTAATGTGGCAGCTTCTCTACATGCTGACGCAACCCCTTATACGCTTGAGAAGACTCTGGTTTCTGGTTGTGAAGGTGAAGCCTATCTTTGTGCCAACTATAGTGCTTGTTGCTGACTTCTTATTGTGCGTTGTCCTCTTTGCAGTGTCTCATGCTGCTTCTGCTGTTTCTAAGAGCAAGGCCGGTACTATGCCATCTATTGTTGTTCCTGGCACCAATTCTGCTCTTGTGCCTCGGAATGCTCCTGCTGTTCCACCCCCGAGCGACTACAGTGACTCCATCTCTTCCGTTTTGCCCGCTTTCGTAACTGAGTTTGCTTTGGTTCTTCTAGAACCATCGTCGAAGGCCCCAGTCAAAGATGATTTTTTAGCCTCCCTCAATGCGCTCATAGGGTAGGCATTCCTGTTTGTTTGTTTGTCTGCCCTTTGCATCATTAATGCTTCTGCTTTTCATTGTATAGATCCGACTGCATGGATGCAGAATCTGAAGAGGAAGAACCCGATGAACCTGAACCTGCTCCAGCTGCTGCTCTCACTGCATTAGTATTTCTGTCCTTTTGCATTGTCGAGCTTATCCTCACATGTTGCGGGCTTAGCAGAAAGCCTCCTGCTCAAGATATGGAAGAGCCAGCTGAGGAGCATCTGCATGTAATGCACCTCGAACTCCAGGAGGACCAGCTGAGAGCTATTTACGTGCTGATGCCTTCCATTGGGTGTGTGGCGTGCTGTCTTCTTGCTTTTGATCATCTCATCTCTCATCTCTTATTATTGGTAGTGGGTATCGTGCCATCATCGAGCCTGGCGTCAGTCCCGATTCCTTCGAGCATCCTCCCTGCATTACTCTCGACGAAATCATCCGATTCTTTCCTCAAGATTCAATCCAGTGAGGCTTTATTCTCATCTGCTTTACTGTCTTCTGATTGCTACCCACCATGTCATTTGGTATCATAGGTCTTTCATTGCGTATTTGAAGTTTCTTGGCTACGCCCCATACTGCAACTTGTCTACCATGCCCAGGTCCGCTTTCACTAGTGACGGGAAGAAGGCTATGTATTGTGGGCATACAGCTGTCGTGCTGATAGCCGGCGTTGTGACGGAGAGTTTCCTTCGCAATGTTGCTCGACAGGGAGGGTATGACGCCGAGTCAGTTGAACCCAGGCCCATCCCAATCGAAGGTGGTCAGGTTTATCATTCGGTCAGGATAATGCCCTTCTGCCAGCTGTGGCGTCAGGAGTCGACCATGCTATGTCTTATATTCCGACTCCCTTTTATGAAATCCTTGTCTATTTCTTCCAAGGGGCCCGAGTTTACGACACGTGGTAATTTGTCCGGCACTGGCTCCAATCAGAATGCTTGTATGTTGCGTCACTCTCTTTCTTATTGGTGACTGTATTGAGGTCGCCATCTAGATCCTTCTCCTGTGCAGCAGAAAGTGTCGTCCACCTCCAGTGGCTCTACTCCTGGTAAATCCAGATCCGCCTGGCCTAGTTCACCCTCCAAAACCCCCACATTGTCGTCAATGCCTAAGGAATATTACCACTGTCTAGGTTTCGAGGACGATGGTTCATTTCTACTGTATCTTTTGGTCGCTTTGCTTATTTGTTGATTGTAGTACCCATTTTCGACGGTCGGGCTAGCCAAGGTCGCCACTTCTTGTTCAGACCTATGGACTTCGACAACCTTGCATCTATGCCTAGGTACAAGCCGGGCCATGATCTAGGCTATTTTAGTCTTGTCGCCGTTGGGTATACCCCGACTGTTTGGACTGTCGGACGGGAGGCTCGTCTGTCCACTAATGTTCAGTTCGTTGTTGTTTTGGGTTGGGCTCCTAACGCAGATGCCCTTACTGCAGCTGGGTATATCGTGTAGTGCTTTGTGTGTAGTGTATTGTTGTGTCTGTATTTTGAGGCTGTGCGAATGATTATTCATTTTCAGTGTCTTGCAGATTGTGCATGTGTGTGGCTTGTAAACCACTGTTTAGGCTTTTGAGTTGGGTATGTCGCATACATGTTCATATCATCCGTCGTTACCATTTTTCGTTATACTTTTAGGTTGTCTTTTTCGTCCTACTATGTGATCTGTCCGTTGCTGTCACTGTACATCATGTTTATCCTGACTGTGATCGTCTCGTTTGGATTGATTGTGACTGACCAGTTTATGCAACCTATGATGCCATGCCTATCCTATGCTTATCTTGTTCGTGTTCTACAATTATCACATCTGACTTGTTTTACTCTTAATTATTTATTTATGTTTATTTATTTTTTCCAGTGTCCCTTTTAGGGGGCTCTTTTATTTTAATTTTCTTGCCTTCAGTCCCTGTGGAGTCACTGTCGCTTCTGCGACTCTTGTCCTGCATCCAGCTTCCTGATTGCTACTGATCTTGCACTATTCACTGCTGCTGCTTTGATGCATTCACGTTGCAGATCTCTTCTTGGCTGTATGGATGGATCCGTGTGCCCGTGATGCTCCACACTTTCAGGCTCCCTTGCATCGAGCAGTCGTGTGCAGTTAACGAGTGCCAACACCCTCAGTATCGATTTCATTCTTATGCCTCCACCTCTGTTCGTAACTGTGATGCAGTAGCTGTCGTGCTCGATCTCGTCCCTATGTTGTTTGGATCTCCTCACGGATCCATTACAGAATTATCTGTTGTGGGTCATGTGCTTCTCTAGATGGTTCACTTCTGAATTCTCGTGGTCATCATAGTTTGTGTCCTTTCGCCTGGGTCTGTAACTTGCTTGTCTCGATGGTGTCATTCACCCTTGGTCATATACATCAGGCTTCTCTCTGTCTCTCAGCCTCAGTCTCTCCCTCCTCCCCACCCCCTTTCCTCTCATTTGTGCTCAATGGATTTCGATCCAGATACTGTTGTCAATGGACCTGTACGTGCGCTTTCATTCCTTCCCTTCCCTACAGGTCCCCCCTTTTCTTTTTTCTTCTTTCTTTTGGTGTAGTGATTTTTTCTTGTTCTTTTTACATTCTGTTAGTATCATTTTCATTGCGTTGTTTGCTCACTTCTTGTTCCCCTAGCTTGATTATAACACGATGGGCCATGCTATCGATAACTACGATGACTCCCTTGCGGATTCCAAGCGGTGGACACGTATCGAGACTGGTATGTTCTTTCGCCGCCTTCACTTTCACTGTCTGGTCTCTGTCTGGTCCGTATCTTATTGTACCCCTTTCAGGTACCCATTTATACTATTGTTATATGGCACGATTGGTCGAGCTTGCCAACAGTCCGAATAGTCTCCTTCGTGCCTCTTTTGGGTATCGCAGAGGAATCGTCGACTCATATACAGACTGCCCGGAACATGTACCACCTGCCTTATCTTTGCTGAACATGTCGGTACCTCCTGTGTTGTCCCTATGTGCTCACGACCTGCCTCATGAGATATGGGACTTTGTGCTCTCCCTTCTTCCTCACGATGTCCAAAAGTCCTCATGGACGGTCTGTTCCTTGTGGTGTGATATGTTAACGTCTCGCACGCACGTTTACTTGGTGCTGTCCCTTCCGGATCATTGGACGGACATTGTCTCGCCCTAAGAGGGCTATGATCTCAGTCTCTTTCTTGAGGAAGTTTGCGATGGAGCTGGAGGTTGATGTGTCTGCAACTATTCGGTCATGCAACCTTACCATGTGTTGTTCGTGGATTCCAACTCCGAAATTGGCCGATTTTCCCATACAACTTCTTCCTCCATCTGTGTCCCAAGGTAGAGTCTGTAATTTTCGAGGGTCGCGGTATGCGACGGGATTTAGCATGCCCCCCAAATGTGCCATGTCCGTTCCTACTACCTGCTAGTGTCAAGGAACTACATCTCATCCATGTGTCTCTCGATGGTTACAGCATTGAGGGCATGCTGTCCCCTCGAGGTCATCTACAGCGTCTCTACATCGACTCCATAAATGAAGGCGCCCTGGTGAGTTGTTCAGTATGTGTAGAGAATGGCGTTTCATTGACGTTCCACTAGTACCTTCCAGGATACTTTGCTTCCTTCCCAACGGATACGCGTGCGAGACTCCCTTGCGTTTAACAGTTTCAGGGCTCCTTTTCTCCTTTCACCACCACCTGCAACCCTTCGCTACATCAAACTCGATATCCTAACTGATCCGTATGGCTTACAGATACAGAATCCTTTCCTGAACCCACATCTGGAGGGTGGGTTTGCTCTAGTCCACCAGCTATTCCAGTCAGAACTGGGGTGCGGCGAGTTTGATCTGTTTGTTGAGGACAACGAGACTTTTCCTCTGCAGACACGTGTATGCCATCTTGAAGAGCTTGATTTGCACCTAGGTACCCAGTACTATGGCGATGTTCCTTATCTCTGGTGAGAGATATTGCGAATGCTGACGAATTTAACACTACGGCTCTGTGCGTTTGTCTTACTTGTTTCACATCCTGATACTCATTCAATGTATGAATTATAGCTGAGCATCATAGTGGAGGGCACATGTCGCAAATTGACCTTAATGGCCTTGACGTCCTATCATCGTTAAGCGTGCACTCTCCCTACTATGGCATTTATACCAGTATGCGAACGATCTCAACTTGGGCATCGGCCTGCAAGGAGATGCCTACTTCATCACTGAAGCTCGAGCTGGAGATTCAAGGATGGACACGTGTACAGCTGGGTAAGATCGTTGACACTCCGTACATGATAAGTCATCTGGAAGGGAGCGACAAGAACAGTGGTTTCTCTTTCAAGGGCACCTTCGTTTTAAGCCTTCGCAATCCTGACTGGATTGTGCATGAAACCGACTATGACGACAGGTTTGCTGTTGGTCAGAGGTATATCGTCTGACACAGGCCTTGGATTGCGACATGCGGAGTGCCTTAGGTTCCATGGCGATGTGTTGATATCTTGAGTCCGCGTTCATGCCCATTTACCTCCCCTGTCGTATCGTGTACTTCTTGAACTATGAATATACCTGTTTTGATGTACCTCCATCTGTTGTCATTTGTGTTGCTCTTCGTGTCTGTCCTGTCCTTTGGGGTGTTTGCAGTGGTCATTCATGCTCACGAGCCTGTTCCGTATTGACTTCTTGTCGCTGCTCCTCCCTACTGTACTCATTACATATCTGATGCTTCAGTGGAACAACGATCGTATCATGTGGTGTGACCATCTGCACGTCTTCATGATCGTCTTTCCCTAGCACTTCTACTCGCACAGATTGAATCCTCTGGTTGTCTGTGACCTTGTACTCATGCTTCGTGGCACAGGCTGTTCTTATCACCGATCGACATCCTGTTCAGATAACTGTAGCACAAACTGCTCATCTATAGTGCACCCGTGACGATGATGTTCTTCATATTTGGAGATTGACTCCGAGAGTAAGCTGTCATCCTTGGGGAGCTACCTTTGGCCTCTGGTTTTTCTTTTTATCAACACCACTCCTCCCTTTGCTCTCTCTCTTTTCCTTTCTTTTTGGAGGTGCTTCTTACATTGCTCTCGATTAGTTGTTTCTCGTATATCATCCATTGTATTCGATATGTCAGGTATCTGGCTTCGGTCATGTGCTTGCGAACCACAGATTCAGTACGGCCTAGTGTACGTTCAGTCTTCATGCAGCTTTCACTGATATTTTCTTGTAGTTCGGTCTCACGCAGTATACTGGACCTCATGGCCATCATTGATTGTGTAGAAGCAGCATTTCCATTTGCTGATATCATAGAATCTTACAATGACTGGTACGTTCCAACAGCTGTCTCGCCTACATTGTCTGAGCATCTTCTCAAAGGTACACATCCATACTTGAAATACCAAGAGTCCGTTCTCTCTCTCTGTGATGAAGATGGAGAGCAGTTCTACGGTGCCATGCTCGATATCATACGTCATTTCGAATGCATGTATCCTCATGCAGTTGCCTCAGCCATCTCTCTTCCCAGCAGCGTCTCGCTGACAGTTCCTGGTACCCGCTCTCACATACCCGGTGTTCTGCCACTAGAGATATTGGAGCGTATCCTCGCTTTGTGCGGCAAGGCGGAGCGTTTCTCAGCTCGTTCTATCTGTCGTGACTGGTGCTTCGCTGCAAGCTGCTATACCCATCATGCAATCGTGTTCCGCATGAATACAGATTGGCAGTATTGGGTTAACACCCCTCAGGGGAAGAAGGATGCCGAGCTTTACGCATTTGCGGTGGAGTTTGTGGTTCTGCACATCGTGTATAAGTGGCGTTTCCCTTTGTGGGTGCTCAGTGTCTCCTACTTTGACTGGCCCACTATGCCTGGACCCATCTTCTACCGTGCCTTCCCCAATGTTCGAACTGTGGTGTTCCACGGGAAATCGTGTCGTCTTCGAAACTATCCTGTCTTACATTTTCCTCAGGTTCTACTGCCTTCCATTGAATCGCTGCGTATAGTGCGATGTTCCCTTCGGAGACATAGCGTGGAGTACATGCTGACCATGTGCCGTAACATCCTGATCCATCTCCTTGCACTCTGTATATTATGGACATGTGGTACAGGGTTATAGGCATTATTTTGTGCACATCAGTTGATCAGTCTTCAGTTCAGGTTGCACCGGTCACCCGTTCATTTGATCTTGAGGATGCATGTGACTGGTTGTCACTAACATGGAATTGTCCTGACTTCCCCCACCGGTGTGCTGGAGATCGCTTGTCCCACCCTCTGGCGGCTCACCTTGCATTTTCCTGAAGATCCAATACCAATCAAGTCCACAGCTACCTGATTTTCGTGGCACTCCTCCCCTCTTGCTTCAGCTGTTTCCTGATCCTCCTCCTGCTACGAATCGATATTTCCTGTGGGACGACAAGGTCTTCCCGGTTTGCCTCTGCATGTCATCTGTTGGTGACCTTGAAATATGCTTAACGCCAAACCTGGTCTACATGCTCCCTCGCATCATCCGCCACACCGGCGACACCTTGTCCATGCTGAGATTGACGTTCCATGAGTTTATTCCTTTGCTGTGTCAGATGCGGTTGTGCCAATTGCTCACACGTGATGTATAGCATCTGTCAAGCGTGCACGCAATACGTACTCCTTTTGTCTCGCCGGCTTCACCATGCTCACTCAGCTGCACGTCGAAGTCAATGTCCAGGATCTTAGTCATGTTTTGCTCTGCTGCGCATCATGGTCGTCTTTGGCGCGTGGTTCTGCTGAGTCTGCATTCCACGTTGTGCTCCTTCATACATCCGGATTAGCTGTCCAGATAGAGCAGGTGAGGCAATCGGGTTCATTTCCGTCTGTTTTATGCGCAATGGATGTGAATATGCTTCGTCCCCTCAAAGGTCTTTTTCAGCTGTCGATCCGGTCTCCGTTTCCATATTCCGATATGGGACCGCTGGAACGTAGTGTCGATGGGATCCTGGAAGATCTTAATACGTCCAGTCAGATTTACGCTGAGATCGGAGAGGTACATTGGTCATGCTAAACTCCAGTGTACGTTACTTGCTTCCTCGACTGCACCGTTATGCATAGTGTAGAGGCTCATATATTAGCTGATTCTTGGTCTGAATTATATACTATGTTTTGCGTGTGGTTTGGGCATATACGCCATTTGTATGTTAAGTGTTATTTGTTCCAATGTGTGTCTGTTTCTTATCCCGTTTATATCCTCCTGTCGACCCACTCGATCAATCCTAGCGAGTAAGGACGTGTACGTGATCCTTTCACCCCTGATTATATCTGACCTGATCCAGTATCGACGGGGCTGGGGGAGCGGAGTTCGAATGTTATTGACTGCCATCTCATCTTTACCTTGTGTTTTTTATGTATCTGCCATAGAGTACGTGGTCCTGTTATCCCCCAGGAACATTTCCCTGTAGAGTCTTCATATAATATATCCTGCTGTGCTTCTCCGTACACTGATATCTGTTAAGGTTAAGCATATCCTGACATGTGCACGTGTTGACACGCATTGATGTCAGTGATTGCCATATGAAAATGGCCTCTTACGTGGTTACCTTCAGCTCTCTACATCCTATATAGGTGTATCGCCCATGGCTTCTTTTCTATGTCCTGTGAATCTGACGTGTCATCTTTCATTATGATTGTCTCCTGCCTGTTATCATCGTATGGTGCGTAATTCCTGAGGATCCATGAACTTGCATGTGTACCGTCATCGTATGATCCTGGCACGCAGTGGAGTTGTCTGATATGGGCTCCTCGTTCTCTCTTCAGTTGGCCACATGATATCGATTCGACCACTATAGTTGTTCCTTGATCTAGCCTTTCTCAGCTTACGCGTCCTGTTGTGTGATCTGCTCCTTTCAAGTGATCTTCGCCCAGAGTCCATATGTGCTTCCCATTTTGAATTCGATTTATCCTGGATAATTCGCTTGCATTTCACTTCAATTGTATTTATCCTTTGGGTATGCTACGTGCTTTCAACCCGGTGCATGGGTATCAGATACCAATACAACTTCCTTTTACTTTTCGTATTTGAATCGGGTCACTTGTTTTCCCATTTCCCTTCAGCCTTCCCTTTATTGTCTTTAATAGGATACTTCAGCCATATCCTGTTGTGCCGCCACCCTTCTTGACTATTCCTCACCGTCTTATATTCAGTGTCAGGACGATTCTTGGTCCCATTCATTTGCACGTCTCATCCTCTCCCCTTTCTTACCCTATCATGTATCTCCCTCCTGAGAGGTATATCTATGCATCCGACGAACCTGTTAGTATATATCATCATTTGTCTATCCACTTATCTTTAAAAAATTCTCACTTTCACCTCAAAGTTTACTGTCGACAAGGTGTGGGACTTACTCGATCTCATCGACTCTGTCGAGATGGATCACAGTCTTTCTGATCTCGTCGATTCTTATAAGGATGGTTGGTGCTATGCAAACTGTCTGTCCTATTCATCGACTTATGTGCCCTCACCCTTCGTTTTTTTTTTCCTGTTATTTCTAGGTTCTCATCCGTATTTTCGATTCCAAGCATCTATGATTGATTTAGTCTCTAACGGCGGCAACATTCTCTACTCTTCTCTTCTCCAGTACCTACTCGATTTTGAGAGCGCTCACCCTGCAGTGGCTGCTGTCAAGTCCAATCTCTCTGCACGCAATTCCGTACTTGTCACTTCGACATCCAAGTTCATCCCTTCTCATTTCCCCCCTGAACTTCTGGATCGTATATTCTGTTATGTCCCAAAAGCGCAGCTGTTCATCGCTCATGCTGTTTCGCAGGCCTGGTGCTTTGCAGCTAGCCAGTATACCCATTCCAAGATCGTCTTTCATCTTCGTCCTAATTGGCAGCATTTCCTTGCACCTGACGATGAGCACAAGCATGAAGCCGAGGCTTATGCACTCGTGTATCAGCTGGCTCTCATCTGTGTGTCAATGCATTGGAATTTCTCTGTATGGGTCGATACATTGGTGTCTGAGAATTGGGCTGAGATACGTGTTCCCTTCTTTTTTCGGGCCCTGAAGAATGTTCACATGGTCGCTATATGTGGTTTGTCCACCACAGTGAAACACTACCCCTCGATTCCTTCTTCATATATTCTCCCTGAATCTGTTCAGTCTCTCCATTTGTTCCAGTGTTCTCTGCATAGACACAGCCTGGAAAGCCTTATCTCTCTCTGCTCTGATCTCACCTTCCTTGGTGTCATTGGTGTGCATTATGGACATGTGGTATGTCTCATATCGTGCTCTCACTTATTTTTGGAGTCATGACTTTCTCTCTAAGGTTGTGAGAGCTACTACACTGCCTCATGTGGCATGGTGGTGCGTTGAGAGTGGGATCACTACCTATCTATGCGATGTGGTCAATAACCCACCTCCTCCTATGATCAAAACTTTACGTATCAATTTTCTGGATGATCTACCCCGTGTACTGTCCACTGCAACTGACCTATACGGTATGCCTCCCCTGCTGAATCAGCTGTTCACACCAGTGGGGAAGGTATCCTGCATTGAAGCGTTTCTTGAAGGTGTCGAGGTCTATCCAGTTAGACTCCGTTTCGGTGCTCTGGAGTCTCTGGATATCAGAATGTCTCGACGCGTCAGTTATGTCCTCCCTCAGATTGCAGAAAGTGTAGGAGCTAGTCTTACCGGACTTCATCTGTTTTTTCGTATGTCGTTATTGATCGTCGTTGATCTCATGTGATCTGACCGTATCTCTGTTATTGCAGCACCCGGTACAAGGTTTAGCCGAATTCATGCTTTCACTTTAGAAGGGTTCCTGTGTCTGTGTAAACTGGAGGCATCCGTTTCCCTCCAGGATTTGTTGGCGCTTCTCCATATGTGCATGACGTGGTCTGCTCTTGACCTGCAGCAACACTGTGTCCGTGTTTCAGCTGTATGTCCTCATGGGACACAATCGTCTCAAGAACCTGGATGCCCTTCAGATTTCTGATGCGATAGTTTCCTCCGTTGTGCACCAGGGATGCCAACTCCTACCGTTCTCTCAAAGGTGAACTGAGATGCACCTTGGTCTTTCCTCGACAGAGCATTCACAATGCGGTTTCCGAGCACACCTTTGAGAAGGTATTACAGATCGTCAGGACATCTGATGAGGTTGATGCTTCTATCCCCACTGTAAACTCTATCATACGTTGTGACTTCTTCATCACACTGCTTGAACAAGGCATGTGATCCATCTGTAGTCAATATATCGTTGCACATGTAGTCAGTTGCCATACGAGGTAATACAGTCACCATTTCTTGCGTTGTATCTGTGCGCCTGTTAGCGACTGATTACACAAACAAGATCAAACAACTGAGCGTGACTCGCACTTCGGTCAGGCACTCTATGTTGTCCACAGGTTTGCGTGCAGGGAGCTATCGCTTAGCGATTTGAGATTGAGTTCAGACTAAGTTATCGGGTGAATAAACTTTAGTTCGAGACTGAGGTTTAAGACCTGCAGTCGAGCTACTTAAATACAATTCGGGTCATGCTAAATATAGTACTACAGTCTGTAACGGTGCATTAAGCACGCGGTGTGAGCATGGCTTGGTGCGATCAGAGTCGGAGGATTAGCATAACGAGATTACGATGAGGTCGATAAGATAGGATAAGCAGCGAAATCGTAATATTACCCCCCTGTTAAGGCAGTCGTCCCGACTGCAATGTGATTTTGTCTTGGTAGGTAGGTGCCTTTTAGGGTGTCTGGATTTGGCCTAATGAGGTATTTTGATATCGCCTGTACTAGGGGATGGTCGACCTCTGATTCCGTTACTGACTCAGTTTCAGACCAAGAGTCAGTTTCGTCTTCGTCTTCCCACCAATCGGCAGGGGGTCGAGTAATGAAAGAGACTTGTTCAAAGTCCTCAATGGCTTCCCTGGCGTTATCTAGCTCTTGTTCATCTACCCAGGAGTTTTCTTCTCGAGGATAACCCTTCCACTTTATGAGATATTCGGTTTTGGTGTGACGTTTGTGCCCCCGTCCTACTGTGCGTTCCCGTCTGTCCACGACTTCTTCCACCTCATATTGTTCTTGTCCGTCTACGAGGTCAGGAGGTGGTGCCGTGGGTTGTATTTGGATTGGGAACTCCGGCGGTTGATACGGGGTGAGTAATACTTCATTGAACCGATCATGGATTTTCCAGGATGCAGGGAGTTTGAGCTTGTAGGCAGATGCGCCGTGTTTGGACAATACCTCGAAGGGTCCTACTCGCTTGTCTCCCAGCTTCTTCATTGGTCGAGGAAGGTGTAAATTGGTTGAGTCCAACCAAACCTTATCTCCTGGTTGGTACTCTATAGCTGCCTGTTGGTGTTTGTCATATTGCCGTTTCATGGTTTCGGCTGCCTTCTCTAATGCTTTCGCGGTTTGCTCGTGTACGCGTTGTATGTCTGCTACAAATTCCCTGGCAGCCAGATTTGTCCCTTCTTTGATTGTTAGTGGCGCTAAGTGTGGCTTTTGACCATGATTGATTTCGAAAGGGGAATATCCTGTCGCCGAGTGTTTTCGGTTGTTGTGTTGGAAGGCCGCTAGGGGTAACCAATCACTCCAGTCATTTTGTCGATGATTGATGAAGATGCGAAGGTATTTTTCAATCTCTTGGTTTGCCCTTTCTGTTTGTCCGTCCATTTGAGGATGATACGCGGTTGACGGATTTCCTTGTATATGCAACATTTCGTACAATTCCTTCATGAACTTGGATACGAATTGTGGGCCTCGGTCTGAGATCACCTTTTGAGGCATTCCATGTTTTGCCCATACATGGTCTCTAAGTATGCAGTGAAGAGGCTGGCTGTGGGCACCTGTGGAATAGTGAGCGGGCTAAAAGGCGAACCTCAAAAACCCACACACACACTCACACAACTACACAAACTACAATCACCCTCGTAAGTTCTAGGGGGAGCGATTATTTCTAATGCGATCCAACTATACTTCAATAGCTCGAAGAGTTTCTCCTATTCCTCGCACTCTTAGCGAAGCTAAGCTTTCTCTAATGACTTCCTAAGTCTAGGAACTTTTTACAGGAAGGTCATTCACTGGCGCAACGCAACCTTCAAGGCAGATTTGAGTTATAATACACAAGGGACACTGATCCCAACAGAAACAGAGGCAATACACGCCGAAACTTTAGTGAGCTCGCTAAAAGAACACCACAGGCAAGCACTGACTTAGCCCGCTCGCTACACAACTGTATGTAGGGGTTCTCCAACTAACTCCCGCAGGTTATCTCGACTCAAGAACACTTCAGAAGTGCTCGGAAAACAGATTCAGAAATGGAACTTCGAACAGAACTGACACGGAACAGACTGAAACAGAACAGAACAGAACAGGTCTCAGATTTCCACTTCAACACATTCTCCGAACAGACTTATCACACTTAACAGAACAGAAACAGCATCACTGATTCGTATTCACTCTGACTAAGTTCTCAAAAGTCTTATCAAAAGGGTATCTCGTATTTCTCTGAGTGAGCTCACTAATTCTATGCACAGCTCGAAGTCACAAACTGATCCTTTGTTACAGTACCGCCTTCAATGCGTGCACGGGAACTCGGGGGCTCGAAACTTGGCCTCTACCTACTGTAACCAGTCTACTTATACTACAGGGGAATTAGAATTACAAACGTCGTGCAGTACCCAGACTCCTACATGTGTAGCACGTTGCCACCGCCGCCTTACTGAGCATCCAAGTCGGACTTCCCAGTTTTAGTCTCATTTCTATAGTGAGCTCGCTAAACGTGTGCCAAGAGGTGCTCTCCCGACACCCGTGGGCTCGTTCTCTAGCGACCGACAGGTCTAGGCGCATGGAACTATCAGTTCTGGCATATGTCGTTCAGGCCTTCTTTCTTGGATTCACAGAGGCTTCTCGTAGACACGGCAACAAGTGAGTCTTCGAACAATGGGACTCAGAACAATGGAACACGGGCTCACGGACTTCGGCCGAAGCCCATTGCCCAAGCTCGTGCCGGTGATATCTGTCAGCTCGCTTAAGGATTTCCCTGGATTTTCAGGTACGGCGCGTCACAGTTAGCGAGCGTGCTAAGTGTTCTCGGTGCCAGTGCAATCTTCAAGGTTTTATCTAGCTCCTGCGAGTGTGCTTGTAAGTTAGAGCCTAAGGCATTGGGTATAGGGTTTGGCCTTCTCATCACGCATGCCCGTCAGGTACAGTGCTGTGACTAAGTCCTGGTTAGAATCCCGTTGCTTCTTATGCCATAAGTTATATTCCATATCATTGCACCGTGTAGCATTAGTGTTGACGCGTAGTTTTAGTCTGCTCGCTCACTATTTCTCAGTATGCGTGTAAAACACTCTAGATTGCAAAATTACACGTGTAAATAGGCTGCAGTCGCAACAGCGGGCCCACCCTGCTGATGTTAACTCTGTGGAGCAGGGTATGGGTATGACTTCTTTGGAAAAGCGGTCTATGATCATGAGGATTGCGTTGTACCCATTGGAATCAGGTAGTTCGCCTATCATGTCCACCGTAATGTGTTCCCATGGTCTTGAGGGCACCGCATGAGGGTGTAAGGTGGCTCTCCACTGCTGTGTGCTTGTCTTGGTGCGTTGACAGGCTTCGCAACCCTTGACGTATCTTTCTACGTCATTTTTAAGTTTTGGCCACCAATATTCTCGTTGTACCAATTCCTTGGTTTTTTCGATGCCCGGGTGGCCAGCTGTGATGTGGTCATGATGTATGGCGATTAGTTCCCCTCGTAAGTTTGAATCATGGGGTACGTATAGCCATCCGTCGTAATACATTAACCCGTCCTTTTGGGTTATTCCTCGAGGATGATGGAGGGATGCTTCAATTCCCTTGTCCCATCTGGTTACGTCTCTTATCGCCGTTCGTATCCGCTTGTGTACTTCTTCCTCTCCTGGCATTATTAGGGCCCGGAACTGCTCTGGTTTGAGTACTACCACTTCTTGGTTATCTTCTCCCCCCTGGTCATGGTCCGCTCGTCGGGATAGAAGATCCGCTTTCTTGTTGGCCGTGCCCAGTTTGTGATGGAGGGTGAAGTGATATTCGGCTAACTCAGTTACCCATCGCGCTTGTCTACGATTGAGCTTTTGAGGTTTGCGGAAATACTGCAGGTTTTGATGATCCGTCCATATTTCGAAGTCTTGGGAGGCCCCCATGAGGTAGTGCCTCCAATCTTCTAAGGCTAGCATAATAGCCAGGAGCTCTTTGTCGTATATTTCATAGTTTCGCTCTGTGGTCGTTAGCGCCTTGGACAGGAACGCCACCGGTCTCCACTTTCCTTCTTGTTCTTGTGACAAGACCGCCCCTATGGCTCCCTCACTTGCGTCTGCCTCTATGCGGTACTTCCCCTTACGGGTAGGTATTGCTAGTACCACTTCTTCTGCCAGCTTTCTTTTGATTTCTCTGAACGCGTTTTCCTGCGCTGCTCCCCATGTCCATTCCGTTTTCCCGGTGAGTTGGGTCAAGGGTCGTACGTGTTTACTGTAATCCCGAATGAACCTTTGGTAAAAGTTGGTGAACCCTAGAAACAATTGTAGTTCTCGTTTCTTTGTGGGTTGGGGCCACTCGGTGATTCCTTTGACTTTTACGGGGTCCATGCGTATAGATCCTTGGCTAATGATCACTCCGAGGTATTCGGTTTCTAATACCTCGAATTCGCATTTCTCCGCCTTCAGGAAAAGATTGTTTGCGCGAAGAATGGCTAGTACTTCCCGTACCACAGCCTGATGTCTATCCTTGTCTTTGGTGCAGATTAGGATGTCATCTAGGTATACGGTGACATCCCCATGAGCAATCTTGTTACGGTTTATTCGTTTTTCTTCGTTTTACTCAGCAAGATTACTCATATGCAATCCCTATGGATCATTTCCCACAGTACTATTATTAGCTCACCCACATGTATTTAAGTAGAGCCTCAGCTGGCTTAGAACCCAGCTTCGGCTAAGGTTTAATCTACCTAACATTGAACTCCGTT